AGTACACTGGATTTCAGTCGTGCGGCGAAACTCGAAGCGAACTTAGAATAAGTTGCGCCATAACATCCCGTCCCCTCTGTGCGTGCCGCTGTTCGGTTCGATGAATAATAGATGCGCTCATAGATAAGTAGCGGTTCCGCCCCGAAACGATGACGACGATCGTTATATTTATTATTGTCTTTTCGACGTTATTGTCGGCACGCGACGATATCGGTATACCATCACTTCCCTGGGTTATTTGAATAGAAAAACTAAATATTATACGACGAGCGAGGTGTAATTTTTTTTGCGGGTAAGTTTGAGACCACAAGAAAGCGATAATTTTCGGTCAAAATTCGAAAAAAAAAAAAAAAAAAAGCTAAAAACCAAAACTGCCTACTGTAATACCACCATATAATAATACATATTGTGTGCATACGTCTTACAGTATGTTTATATTATGCGCGCGTATACGCGATATTGTACACTATCAAATGCGCGCAACACCATATCCGGGGACGGCAGGGGTGGCGGTAGGGACAGGGTGGTATTACGGCGAAAAAACTGGATCGTCGGAGGACGGAGACGTTTGAATCCGGTCGAACCGCAACCACCGTCGTCTGTAACGTGTGACGCGCGTGATGCCGTGCGGCGTTAACGGACCGGCGGAATCGAATGTTTTATTCGAGGTTCCGAATGTCATACCGCCGCACATCAATCGCGCGACTACGCGATAATTAACCGTTTGCCGCCGCCGCACGCAGCAAGTAGTCGTCGGCCGTTTGAATTTCGGCCGCCCGAGACTAGCGTAATACGTTGTGACGCCCGATCAATAGATTATATCGCTGCGGGTCCATTTCCCGGGAAACGACGGTCGGCGCGTAATCAATTATCAGCTCGACTGACGGAACGTGTACGGTTATTATGCAGAATTTAACACGGCTAATGGACGTTCTAACATCACGGTTACATGTGAAAATGTCATATGGTCCTGTATACACTCTGCACGATGGGCGCACACCATTGCTATTATTATTGTTATTATTCCGATCACGGGCGGCTCGCCAGGATTTAACTTCACGTGGTAGCCGCAGACGCGACTGGGTGCTAGGGAGAGTTTAGCAACCCTGAGTTTAAAATTAGAACCCCCTCCCCCCCCGCCCCCATGGGTGTATCAAAAATAATGTTAAAATAATTACGATAAATTTGTGTACGCGAAATTGTAAATGAAACGCGTGTTGGGTCCTATTGCAAGATACGTGTAAAGGAGATCGTGAAGGAGAACATGGCCCGCAGGAGTCTTGGATGTGCCCATAATTTCAGCGCTCCCAAAGTTGGTGGTCAAGTTGTGACTATGGGCGCACCGTAATTTATTTACTTATATATACAAATGTATGTTGTGTATGAAAAATGCAATTTTGTTTACCTACTTTAACTTTTTATTTATAAGTCAATCGAATTCGAAAATTATAGGTAATAAATTATTCACAGTTCCAATACTATAATAAGATAATAAATAAATACTAATAATACCTACTAAAAAATAATTTATAATTTAAACTCTAACTAAGCACGGATCCAGTGCAAAGATCTGGGGGGGGGGCAACAATTTGTTTACAACACAAATACATATATTACAATATAATATAATTCATTATGTACATTATTCTCTCATACATATTAGTGATTAGAATATAATATCTGGATCTACAGAATTATAAAAAAAAAATCGGAGAAACAATATGTCTGGTGGAGCTGGGCCCCTCTCTTGGATTCGTCCCTGACTCCAGGCACGTATTCAGGATCAATTTTCGGGGGGGGGGGGGGTTAAAATATTTTTAATGAAATAAATTATACATAGAGTTTGTAGTTAATCTTTGTTATATTATAAATATATACCTACTATAAAAATTTCGGGGGGTATTTGAACCGCTAAACCCCCCCCCTGGATACGGGCTTGCCTGACTCTGATTTCCTTTCATGTGTATCATAATGAAATACTATAATTTTATTGTTTATTTTTAGGTAATTAATGTCCGAACTGAATAAATTGCAATTTTAGATTCTGAGTGAAGCGAAGAAGCTTATTGTTTTAAAATTTTTTTTTGTTCTATGGACAATTTTTCTACAGGAAATTTTGTTCAGATTTACAATGATAGAACTTTTTCTAAAAGAAAATTTGGTGGGCCACTGTTGTAAGTGAAAAATTGGGAAGATAATAGAGAAAATTGAATGTATATCTGTAAGCAACGATAAACCATTGCTAACGGAGAAACGATTCTGAGAGGAGTTCAGTTGATAGTGTTGCTTGATCAACAATATATGTATCATATTGTGGTAAAATAATTGCATATACGTTACCCATATATTTTCTTTAATAATATTCGTTTAATATTGTACCTATTTTCCCGTTTTTCTCGGTTTTCCCATTTACTGGGAAAATCAAAAATGACTTGTTTAAAGTACCTCTACAGTCAGATTTCCTTTTGGAAAAATTACTATTATTGTAGATCGGAGCAAGATTTCTGGTAGAAATGTTGTCCACAGAAAAAAATATAAACATCTTCGTAAAACCGTATAAGCTTCTTCGCACTCCATTCAGAATTTAAAATAAAACATAAAAATAATAAATTTTAATACAAACCGACGTGTTGTGTTGTTTAATATTTTAAACTCCTCATCAGCGTTTACTGCAATAGTATTCTCTTGTCCAATACAAATAATAACATCAGATTAAATCCGATTGTATTTAAGCCGTTGTTGTTCAAAGTTTAATTAAAAAATAATTACTTGTGAAAAACAACATCCACAACTGCAACTTTTTACAGATATTGTGACAAACATCTGTAAACTTTTTAGAAAAATTTGAAAAAATAGCGATCCTTCTAGAATTGTGTAGTGTAATCAATATAATATTATCGTTCATGAATTATTTGAATTGAAATACCTATGTAGCATAGGTATTTTTTTTAGTAATTTTATTTATACACATTTTCTTCGTAAAGAATTAACTGTTATTTTTAACATTTACACATAATATTTTCACCCGTCACCGATTTTACCATTTTTTCAGTCAACTATGAACCACTCAGTAGTCGCCATAAATGTTAAACGATAACGACTACGGATGAAATAAAAATGAACATTCGACAATCTAGTCATTATCTTAATCTGACCAAATGATACCCGACGAAAAAAAACCATCGTATCACACTACAAACGACATTGTATATTTGTGTAAATATGTAAAACCCATTGTATAGAATCGTCAAAAAACCACCAAACGTGGCTGAAATTTCAGGTGCATCTCAGGATGCATAGACTGCACCTATAAAATCCTATAGGATCTATTATCGATCAAAACTAATAAGCTGTAACGCGTGTAGACTATCTTTTATGAGCTAATTTATCATAATCCGTTTCAAACTTACACCCTCTTACCAAGTGCTTTTGATCGTCATATACTACATATACTAAATTAATAGTAGTGGTGACTGAAATGTCAGGTACAGCAACGGCTGCACCCTAAAACCGCTTATGATTCCGATGTCAAGGCGTTTAAATAACGTGTTTGTTATAGACGGTAATAATATTGTTAAGGATAATTATTTGTTCACGCGATAAGTTAGAGTAAACCATTGATGCAATTAGAACAAAATCCTAAGAGAAGCTACAGCCCGATCTTAATATTATACCATTAGTAACATGTAAGGGAGTGAAGCCCCCACAAATCTTAAAATTTAAACACTAAAAAATTAACAAAATTATTTAACATTTAATGATTTTTATACATTATGCAATAATTATTAACAAATTATTCAAGTTCTCTTTTTCTTTTACATATAGCTATAAATTGTTGTACATTTTCATCAGAATCTTTTTCAATACTTAATATGAATAAATTACTAAAACGATCTAAGTCTATTGTTGACCTTAAGTATGTATTTATCCACCTCATGGTAGAAAATGCACGCTCTTATGTTGCAGAGGAAATTGGCAATGTAATGGCAACAATACATAAATTAGTACACTTTTACTACCTAACTTACTTGTACCTACTTTGTAATTATTTTTCATTCAATTAAAGAAGATATAAAGTATTATTTATTTTGAGGCTATTAGTAAATTTAGGGGGCTAAGCCCCCCAGTCTCCCTCCTAGTTGCGCTTATGGTATAAACACAGGATGAGAGTCGTCAGAATCTGACTTTAGTGTGTAAGAAATAAAGAATGCTTAGGTAGATGAGTAGTGACGAAAGAAGATAGGATAAGGGAGGAATATACTTAAGAGGTTGGTAGTAAAAAGGTGAAGGCTTGAGTATGTGAGCATGTCACAGGAAAAGAGGTATCTAAAGCAGAAATAATTGTAATAAAAATAAATGTAGGAGAAAATAGGTGGGGGGGAAACTAAAAAATAGAACGTTCATTACAATGGAGAATTATATGAAGGCAACTGGTGTATGCAAAGGAAATTGAATCAAGTGAAAGTTTAGAATTAGGGCGACTAATCCAAATTGGTTGAGATAAAGGCAAACAACAGGAAGAAGAAAATACACATAAGTATAAAATTACAGCTTAACATTTATAATAAAATATAAAAACATAATTAAAAAAAACTAATACCTACTTAATATGATTGATTTGTAATTTGTTGTAACTATTCAAATTCCAAAGGATAAAGGGGAGTTATTCTCATTGATTAAAAATAAAGCAAATAAAAACTTGCTAATATTTCATAGGTAATATAGCACAGTAAAAAAATAACTAAAACTAACAATAAAAATAATAAATGTATAAACACAATAACACATACATATTATAGGTATGTAATTACAAATATAAACATTTTAAACACCATTTTTAATAAATAAAACCTAAATATAAAATCAACAGCAACCTCCATGCAATTATTTTAAAGTCAGACGAAGAAAAAAGATAAATCAATAAAATAATATCGGTTTACTATTAAACATCTAATAAAACTATAAGTACCCAATTTACTGATAATTTTTTCGTTTTCTTTTCACCTGAAACAGACAATTGTACAACATGCTTAAAACTAATAAAAACTATTAAACTTTTAAATTTTAACTTTAAAAAATAAAGTTGTAATAAAATACAAAAATACTGTGAATCTGTGATTACAATATTAAGCATGTGTGCTGAATTAATATTATGCAAGCCTCGAATTTACATTACAAATAAAAAATAAATCGCTAAGTGCAAAACTATTACATTTTAATGAACTATGACTATTTGATTGTTTATTAGAAATATCAGGTATACTGTACATTTTAAATTTAAACTACTTCACCAGTCAACTTTACGGTTAATTAGGGACCTATTGTATTGAAATTTTGTTTAGAAATCAAAGGATATAAAAATTAACCAGCAGGATACCTAAAAGTTTATAAAAAGATAAGATCATTTCAAAGACAGTTTTCAGACAAGCATATCTGTATACATTAAGCTTTGATTAAAACATTAGGTTATTGTACTACCAAAATACAGATTATAAGTATACATTTCATAAATTAATTTAAACCAGTAACTTATTCAAGTTTGGAAGGTTTGTATTTTATTGATTTTTAATTTTTTTAAGTGAAACATGGACTACCACAAAATAATAAAGGCTTTTAAGATATTATGCCACAGAAGTATCCAAAAGATAAGTTGGACTGTTATGATCACTAACAAAGAAGTTTTAGAAAAGGTTTTATTGAAAAGATCATTGTGAAAAAGTATAAAGAAAAGATGAAACTAATGGAGGGTCATATTCTCAGACACGGGTGGGGGGCTAGGACTAATTTTTTAAGGGATGGTAGATGGAATAACTACAATTACAATAAATAAGTCAGATTATAGAAGACCAAAAATATAATTAATACCAAGAATTGAAGAGGAAGACCAGTCACAAAATAGCATAAAAATTGTTGCAAACCAATTATTAGATTGAAGACTGCAGAAGTAGATAATATATTGATCATCTTCTGGACCGGGCTACATATTTCACTGAATTGACCAGTCTGGCCTAATTTTTAAAATTTACTTTTGGGTGGATATGGGCTTCAAAATGTAGGTTCATGCAGGGCTCTAGACTACCTATTATAGGTTCAAATAGGAATAATCTATTTGATAATAGGCAATCAATTGTTAACAAACTATTTATACTATTTTAATATTAATGTAGTTGTATGAAATAAACCTGTAATGAAAATTAATAAAAATCTATAAATTTAAATAATAAAAACATATTTTGAATACGTAGGTATCTGTTGTTTTCTTATACAGATAGATAAAATGAAAAATTTAATAAAAGTAGTTTAAAGATAGTCAATTATAAAATAAATATGTATAGTACCTATGATAACATAATAAATTATTCCACAATAACGCAATAACTGTGTATAAAAAAAAAAAAGTATAAAACACTCATGCTAAAAAAAAGTGAGAGTAATTTTGATTTTAAAGAAATAATGCTTTATACTATTTATTGTTTATGATTCCAATTTTTTTCTTTTTTTTTTCTGTATACTCAATATTATAGTAATAATATACGATAATATTAATAATAATAATATTATACATAATATAATATATTATGTTTGACACCATAAACGGTAAAATGTTTATCCTCAATTGAAATATATTTCAATTATGGTCCAATCTATAGAGTATTATCATATTACAACTATATTCCAACATAGAATACAGCCTTCAATAAGTTAACCTATCAATATCATGAACCACACAACTGACCAAGCTGGTTAATTACAGATTACAAAATATTAAAATTCATTGATCAATTCAATGAGTTTTGCACATTTATTGATTGAAAAATAAAACTTCATTAGAACATAAACCGATTTATAAACCATTGCTTACATAACAAGTTTGTTATAAAACACTAAATTAGTTAGAAATTTTGTTAGAATACAAACATGAAATTGACACAATTTAAAAATGTTTGCTATTCCACTAAAAATTATAATAAAACATGTGCTTTAAAAAAATGTTGGGTTTTATAATTGACAAAAGTAATTTAAACCTACAGGAAATGCATTATTTACTACTACAATGATAGGTCTTAAAATGTACTATTAGAACTGGTATTAATTTATCTATTGCTATACCTAAAAAAAACTCTATTAAAATAATATATAAAGTACTAGGATAATGAATTTAACACAATGATTAAACATTTTCAAAGCCAATTGTATCTTTTAAGTACTTAAAATAATATATTTTTGCAATAAAAAAAAAAAAAAAAATTCATTATTATTTCATCATAAAATGATAGATTTTATATTTTTAAATGATAACCTCAATTAAAAATTCAAAAATAATGGCATCCTCATACTATAATGTTCCATATAAATAATAATATATAGAATATCTATACTTATTAATTCTGAGATAATAAAAATAATCAAATTCTATTTATTTATTTTTTTGTTTAGTGTGACAGGCAAGGATAAGGACTATAGGTATTGATAATTCAATTAAATTTAAGTTTTGGTAAAAATTGTTAAAAAAAAAGTCTTTATTTAAATATTTTTGAAAATGTGAAGAGTTTAATGATTCAACTATTTATTTTCATTTAACTTACAACTTTTAATACTTTTTTTAATTTAAAGAAAAATAATGTTGTATTAACAATAATAGTGTTTTGATAAACAAAAAGTATCAAAAATGAGATGAGATAATTTCAAAACACTATTATGTATTAAATTATACCTTATTTTTCTCTGAACAAACAAAACAATATTACAGATCACGAGGTTAATGAAAATAAAAGTTAAATTTAAATTTTTTTATAATGCATATAAATTTAATTGAAATATGAATACTTAAATTCATATCCCTCAGTCATGAAAAAAAAAAAAAAAAACAGTATTTGATTATTGTTATAATCGTAGGAGATATCACATTAGGTATATCTTCGTGGGACATGCGTATTTTAGAGTTTCAAATAGACACATGTAACAAACATCCTCCTCTAGACATTTATAATAAAAATTTTTTGATTTAAAAATATCTTATGTATTTCTTAAATTAAGTAAAGCTGTTTTGTGTAAAGCAAAATAATTTAAGGTGAAACTTCAGTGAAATTAGTAATTAATATGGAATTCATTAATCATTCAGAATATCAAATGATATCCAATGACCTATGAACTCGAAGTTAATACTTATTACTGTGATAAATAATAATTATTTTTTATGGTGATCTTTTACTATAATACAAGAGAAAACAAATTATTTATAGCAATTTAATGCTACAATTCAGAGATAAACACTAATTATAATATAAAATTAATAAATACACTTAAAAATATGTTCAGTGATTTTTTTTGTTAAAATAGTTATTTAAATTATTAAAATAAAAAATAAATTTAATATTTAATACAGAAATTATACCTATAGAAAAATTTTAGTTAAATAAATATTAATTGGTACCAAGGAAGTTAGAAACATTTTATAGCAATTAAAAATCATCAGTTCACTAAATAATATCTTCAAAACAGTAATTCATAATAATAATTAATATTTGAGTGTTTAGGTAAAATCAATTAATTTATATTTATCAGACTTGAGGGTAAAAAAAATTAATTAATCAGTATATTTAATATCAAGTATAAGAATACAGTATTAGATGAATTTAATTTCAACATGAAAATTTAAATATAAAAACACATTGGCAATTTTGGAAGAACAGTTTGAAAATAAATTGATAAAAATTGAATTACAATAACTACTAAAATAAACATAGTAAATTTGGCACAAAATAGGATAATTTTTAAATATATAGTTTAAGGTCAAACCATTGTTTCCTTGTCACTAATAACTTCAATAATACCATTTTCAGATACTTGAATAGCAACCCTAGTACAGTTTTCTTTAGTTTCTGTTATACTTCTTACCTTTGATTTATTATTTGTTCTTTTTTTGATACCCTGAAGATTGTCCGGTTCATCTATATTTATTTTTTTGTAATCCTTTGGGCAATATTTTATAAGATTTGTATTACTAGGAAAAGACGACAAGAAAACACAATTTGTGTTTACATACAATTTATCATTATCGGTATACTTACTGATTTTACATCAATTAGTAGCAAATAATAAAATAACAACAAACATTAAACAAATATAATAGGTACTCAAATATTAACACATAAGTTAATTTTGATGTTGCTTACTTATTTAGAGTTCCATACAGACCATGTTCTTTTATATAAGATTCAACTGAATCACTTATAAGAAATTTTACACTTTCATTGCGACATAACGCTCGGCGTACTTTGGTTGAGCTTATTTCATTTGATATCCATTCAGTCACAACAACTATATTGGCCTAGAATTTAATAAATATCTATTATATAAAATAAAAATGTATTTTTTTTACAAAAATATATACAGTACCATATATTTTGTCAAAATGTCAGATTCATAAATAAATTTCTGTGGATTAAATCCTGAACGACTAATAACGACCAAACCATAATCTCTCACAATGGATTCAATCTAAAATAAATTTAATTAATTAATATCATGGTTCTATACATAATAAATTACTTACATCATCTTTATTCCATAAGCCTGGAACAGCAAAAGATTCTAATAAATCTGCACCACATAAGAGCCTGACATTTATTGATCTATTCTGATTAGTATCATTAACGCCATTATTTTCAATAAACTGAACTGGTAATGATGAGTTGTCAACTTCATCAGTATCATTTAGTCTAGAAGAGATTATCACATTAAGCTGATTCTGCAATATTTATATAAAATATTATAAATTAGGTAGGTGTAAATGGTTTAATCCACCAGTAAAATAAATGCAATGGTAAATAAATATTAACTTGATGATATTGTAGTACTTGTCGCGTTCTTGTCCAGCCATTTTGCTTCACTTCCCAATCAGAAATCTTTACCCAAGGCAATGAAACGAGAGCTTGTTGAATCATTGCACACCGATGTAGTGATGGTGCTAAATCTTTTTTTTGATATGCATCATGTGTAGGCGAAATCAAACCTCCATGAATTTTGTACCCTAAACGATTTAAGTGATCTCGGGCGATTTCTAATTAACATAACGAAATATTTATTGGTAGCTTAAAAAAATAAATAATTTAAATAAACTTTACCAAACATTCGCAAATGCATATTGGTTGGAGGGTTAAACGACCCAGTTGCTAACAATAATACATTTTTATTGTCCAAAAACATGATTAAGCCTTTATAGACATTAAATTTCAGATATTATTCTTCGTACATGAAGTAAATGAGCTACAATCAATAAATGCTTGACTATTTATTAGCTCAGTCAAAATCATTATCAATTAACTATATTGCTTATCTATCTCGATGGTAAAAATGTATTATTGTTGGCAACTAGATTATATAACCATACAACCAATAATAGCGATATTTGATAAGAAAGCTCAAGGGTTCCCAAACTACATAAAAACGCTATAAAGGCGGTGAATAGGCGATAAATAGGCACAATTATTGCCCGATATGAAATTATTAAAAAGGCGCTGAAAAAAATTCAAGTTACTTTCTACGCTTGTCGCAGTAATCGAATTTAAGGCACGTTAAGAAAAAAAAAAAAAAAAAAAAGGAAATTGTGGCAATTCGTTTTCTTTCACTAAAAGACAGCTGGAGAAGTGTACTCTGGAGAAGCGTGGTCGACGACTAATCTCCTATCGGCCAGGAACTGTGGGGAGGGAACCATAAAACAGTCGAACCGTATTTTAGCCGAAAATATTTCAACCGACTTCGGCTGATTTATTTTCGGTTGTTTTACGCGCTCCCCCAGAAACCCCCTTCAATGCCTCGATTGCCCGGTCATAAATGGTAGAAAGTAATATGTTAAAATAGTACTATTTCCAAACCGATTTTTTCCGACGTATTATTCCGGGGATTGAACCTCGCGCTTGATCTTAAATGAATGCACTCGACCTCCTCTCAAAGTTCACGAAATATCTAAGTGAACTCGGGCACTGACGGGGAGTACGAGTGTCTAAATTTTTTATAAAATTCAAATTTGGGTCACATCATGTTATAGTAGATACGATATAAATTCAAACCGATATTCCGACGTGTTTCGGGGTTCATGACTCGATCAAGCATAAAACACATTTTTTGCAATACGATTGAGCAAATTTGTCGGTGTATCAAAAGATATATTATGGAAATAGAAAAGTAAACCGCTACACGATTTAACGTAAAAAAATGCTACAATTTTGCCATTTTCAATTGTAAACTATATTGTACAAAACATATTAATTTAAATGATTATAATTTATAATGCTGTGGCTAGGCGTACGGGTGTAAACAACAGAACAAAAACAGTTCATTTGCAGCTCAACGTTTATTGTCATGAATATGTTCTCGCGCTGACCTTTACATTACTCTGTGCGAAACGAGACGGCCGTGATTACATTTACAATATATTTATTGGCTTATCTGCCAACGTCCGAGAATATTCACGAGCGACCACTCCGGCCTTATCGCCGACTCAGATAACAAATATTCTCGAACCACAGTGGCAAAATCCTAACAATAATAATTAATACACAATATGGTATTTTGATGATTTGAATTTGACGTTAAAAACGACTTCAAAAGTTCGGAATGAATAATTTCAATTTGCTGTGTAGGAATTGATTCTTTTGCTTTTGTTTTGCAATTTTCTCTCAAAATTCGCGGTTTTATTTTTACAGTTGAATTTTGATTGCGATTGTGTAGTCCAGAAGTTCCAATCGCATTACTACGTTTATCTAAACTTGAGATTATTATTGGTACAATCTTTTCATCTCAACAAATTTTTCGTTCACTAATTAATTTATATTTGCGTAAACTCACAAAGATATTTAAAGGCATATTTTTAGTCAGCCCCCTCACCCCACCATCTATGATCTAAGGGTTTATGGACAGCAAAATAAATATGAATGAAATGGTAATTTGTCGTACTTACTACTTACATATGGTACTGTACTGTATTCATGTTTAAAACTTAGAGCTTATCGAGCATAAATTTTAATTATATTATCTAAATAATTTCAAAAAATACGAAAACACATTGATAATTATAGGAACCTTGGTATAACAAAATAATTTCCATAGAAAAATAAAGTATTCAGATCAAAATTCTATAAAATTGGGACAAGTATTCAAAAATAACTGGCTGAAGAGTAAAATTCCTCCTTAGTAATTGTGGGAGAGAGTCAACCTTCCTTAATAATTGGATTTGGGTACACTTTTGTTTTCTCATGCTAAGAATTCAAGACAATACAAAAACAAAACATAATTTTATAGTTATAAATATAAATTATAAAAGTATTTTTTATATATTATTCATGAGAATAATCATTTTTCTCTTGATAAAAAAAAACTGTTACAAATATTTATCATTTGTTACAATAAATTTGAGCAATAAAGACTACACGATTCTGAACAATTCATGTTTATATTTGTTTTGGTAACCAAAATAGCTTTTAGAGTTTCTATTTTCAATAGTGATTTCCCTTTTGTTCATATTTTATTAATTTAGATAAATACCTCTGTAGATGTATTTGACTCAGGTAGGCATAAAATATATTTTATAAAACTAGACATTAACTTAAAACGAATTTGATTTTCTTTAAAATGTAAGAATACTTCAACAATCTAAAGTATAAACTTTTTCCTATATAGAACTCATATGTCTATGCAGAGTCCAGATCATAACGTGATAAAAACCATAGTATTGGCAGAGCCGTAGCATGATTTTCTGACACTAGACGCAAATTTGACTTTATGCATCCAGTGCCCTAAACCCCAAAAAATTCTTAGGTTTCGTTTTAAAAAACTATTATTTATCAAATTTTTAATTAAGCGTGTATTTATTTATTTTTACATACACTGAATAAAATAAATGAAATATAGTATAAAGTAAACAAAAGAGAATTATGCGAAAAACATAGGTAGGTGGGTGTAGTTTTTCAGAATCACAATAATTGTACTCTTCTCAATTTGACTGCCGATAATTCATCAATAAACATTCTCATTATTAATTTCTACAACTTCATTTTTTATAGATAAAATGGCTAAATTTGATAGCATTTCTTGGTCCATATAGTGGATCTCGAATTTAACGATGTCGCCATACCCTTGCTATGGCTCCGAGTGTTAGTAATAGTGTCTGATAATAATTAATAACATAAAATAGATTATAGAAATTGTACAAAATAATCTGTTCATACAATGGAACATAAAATGTACACACCATAAGCAAAAATAAGAAAAAATTGCCGACATTTGAAATCTGGACAAAAGCGAGTAAAAGTCCGTACATTTTACTGTCCTGACTTGATCACAACATTCAATATTACACATGCTGGAAAATCAGAACTGTCTTGTCAAAATCGAGAAAATTTTTTCATACTATAATAAAGGTAATAATTATTATTATTGTCTGATATAAATAGTCCCTAGTGAAACTTTTCTCATTCATTACTTTTTAAGTTAATACTAATACCTGTGTAATAGGCAATCTAAATTAATATAAAACTTACATATTTTATTATAATAAAGTAATACTAATAAATTTGAAAAATAATAGCAAAGTTAATTACAGCAACTTGTAGCAATAGTAGGTATTTTTTGATTCTCAAATTAATCATACAATAAACCAAAGATTAGTAGATAAGAGCAAAATATAGAGAAGAGTAAGTTTATTAACTTTTATATCAAGTACTTAAGTTTTATTTTATTTTAAGCTATTAATAAATACTTGAATAAGCAAGTAGGTTTTATAAACAATTAATTTCTTGTAATTCAAATAAACAGGTATCTACTTACACTAGAAATTTCACACAACTCAATATTAAACAAATAATATATAACAAGACCTACTTAAATATTACTAATTACAAATTTTTTGTTATTTGAATTAATTATATTGAGCTGCATAATATTGTTTTATTTTAATATATTTTTGATGGTCTAATCACTAGAATGACTACAAATTTAATTTGTATACATTTATAAATAATTAAAAATATTTATGTATTATTCATAAAAGTTATAGTTATCAAAAAAATTAAATGAAGTATATAATACCTATCATTGATTAAATACATTTATAAATAAATGCTATTATATTGGTATATATTTTTTTTAATTTTAGAGAAAATAGGAAACCTTAGTTTTCTAGTACTCATAGTGTAATTTACAGTGGCTATTTTATAAACAACAAGTATAACTTGCAACCCTTATAATTAGAAAATACGAAATGTAAAAATATATTTTGAAAACCATACTTCATTAAATAGCACATGTTTTTTTTAATTTACTGAAAAATATAGATTGTATTAATTTTACTAACTAAAAACATAAAACATCAATTATTGTTTAATTTATAATAATGTATTTTATATTTAGTGACTATTTTACTTTCAGTCTATTAGTATTCAAATAGGTATTCAACTTATAGATACATGGCGGGATTTTACACACAGATCTTAAAACTATTACATTAATTATAATATAATATAATATAATATAATATATATATATATATCACTTAATAAAATGACTCAAAATGTTAAATTTAATTAGTTGACAATAACATAAAAAAAAAATAATAATAATAATATGTCTGTAAATTTACTATTATACTAAGTAATGTAATTTATATCTTATACAGTTAAAATAAATTTAACATTAATACTGAATAAAATCATGAGTATCAAAAATTCAATAATTTAATAATGAATCTACTAAATTTCACATTTATATACAATATTTTTAAAAAAAAACATTTATAACAATGATCTAATTAAAAATTTGAATATACATAAAATAAAAAAAAAGAAAATCAAAATTAAGTTTAATAATACATATTTAATGTCTTATGTAATTAAATTAAAATAAAAAAAAAGTAGTACATTCACAAATAGTTTTCTATTAACATAATTATTAAAACTTGTAAAAAATTGAAAATTAATAAAAATGTTCCCCTATAAATTTATAATATGGAGTTATTAAAATTAATATATATATATTTTTATGAATATAAATACAGAAATGGCAACACTTACTTTCGAAATCAATGATTATTGTATTTTGTTAAAAGGGTGTGTTTAACATAAGCCACATGACACATAACTCGTATTGCTAAATTAATTGAATACTTTAATCGGTATACAAGTTGTTCCTCATTTAATAACATAAAAGCTACACCATCAACTTGCTAAAACAATAATCATTTAATCATTTAAAAACTTAATAAATAATGCCAAATGATAATTATAATAATGTTAATAATAAGTTATATACTTACCCCTAAAAGAAGAACTTTTTTAATATCAGTACAATATTTATCATTTGATAAATATTTATAAACATCATCAGGAGACCAAAATTTTGGATTTGATGTAACTTGAATGTGTTCAAAATCATCTATATTAATTATTGTATTTTTATAAACTGGACTTTTACGGTAAAAGTTCTCAAAACTAGTTTTCCTACAAAATTCTCAATCATTATAACTATAATAAATATATAACATTTATTAATAGTCACACATACCAATCCTTAATAAAAGGAAATTCTTTCTCTTCAACTTTATCGAGTTCTGATTTTGTATTACTATATATAGCAATATCGTCCATGTCTCTAAGATAAGCTTTTTTTGTTTCAATTTCAATTAATAGGGCCAATTCATGTTGAGTCAAACTCTCACTTAATCTTTTTACGTGTGCTTCATAGTTAATTATACACGCCATATAATACTTATACCTTTCAACTAAAGCTTTGTTTGACCAATCTAATTCTTCGGCAGCTATATAAACATCATAAAACCATATGAAACAATGAATGAATTATATTTTTATTAAATAAATAATTTGAAAAAGAAATATTATTCTTAAAAAAAAAACCTACCAACTTTAGAAATTTGTTCATAAATTATTTCATTTCCATGTTTTTTAGAACTTGTAGAAACACCAAACTCGGCCTTTCTCTTCATAGGTTTCGCATTTGTTTGCACAGTATTTGTTTCCAACTTTAATTCTAAAATTATAAAAATATGCTGAATATCAGTAGTTAAATTAATGTAGTAAGATACTTTGACATTATTATAAAAATATGGTCGTTATTCCATTATATTATGGAACACTATAAGAGGTCTTTTTTTAAATACCTACATAGCATGCTATTTTTTATGTACTTGTAAAAAAAAAATTGAAGCAAGTTTACTAGGAAAAAACGTGTCTATAGATTAGAACAAAGATAAAAAAGAAACAAAGAGCTGATATTGGGGATGGGAGCGGTCACTGTTGTAGGTGGGAAGTTGGGAAGGTAGGATACATAAGGTTATTTCAGTTATATCTATAAGCAACGATAAACTGTTGCTTGATGGAAGACGATTCCGAACGCAGTTCAGTAATACATAATTTGAGGTGCCATAAGTTATTTTTCCTATTTTTGTTTAAATTTGATTTCAAAACACTTATAAAAAAAAAGTCGTCTGATGATTTTTGAAATTTTACCATGTCTAAGTATATCTAATATAAGTATTATTACTAAGTTTCAAGTCTCTATGTGTATTTATAACCAAATTACAGCAAGAAATTCCCAAAAATTTAAATTCTTTAAAGCTCAAAAGTGACTCAACAATTTTGGCTATGATACCGTAAGCAAGTGAATCAAAAAAGTAACAAAAAAGGTGTCTTGTGATTTTTTTCGATTAAATCATTTTTTCTGGTAGAAAATGTCGTCTGTGTTTTTATAAAATAAAGAAATTGTACGTTTTCCTATGTTTTTTTCCCCACTTAAGTGCATTTATTTAAAAAATGGCGCCGAAAACTAAAAAATGAACTTTTTAAAACACAATCTGGACAATTTAAGCTTTCAGATAAGGTGCTACACGTAAAAATTGGAGTAAGTTTACTAATAAGAAACGTGTCCACAAACTAGAAGAAACAAAAAATAAACATCTTAGTAAAACCAATACTTAAATGATTGCCCAATGAAGTCCATAAAATAATTGTAACACTTAATATTTATTGAAATTATTTTAATTTGTACATCATAATTCAGATTTTTGATTTTTAATTTTACCTTTTTTAAAAGAATTATTAGTATTAATTTATCATTAGTTGTCAAATTTTCCCTAGTTTTACATAAAAAGTACTAGGAATATTAAAAAATGACCAACATTGACAATTCTACCAGAAACACTGTAGATTTTTTTATTATTATTATTATTATTATTTAGTTGGAACTATGTTAATAGACGAAAAATATATACTATAGTAAATTAATATGTTTCTCACTCCGATAAGAATCTAAAATGATACTGTTATCATTTATAGAATTTTTTGAATACATTAATATAACTTACTTTTCTTTTTATTTACAATACAATGAGGACATACAGTTTTTTCAGTAGTCATAAAACATTCACACACACCAGTTAAACGACAAAGTGTTGAACAATAAATTTGAGCCATTTTCTTGGATTCCGGCAAAAGAAGTTGCTCAGAATAATTTGAACGAGTTCTCGTATTTCTTTAAAATAATATAGTGTATACAATTTGTTACTATTTTAGTATCATATTTCTATGATAAATGTAAATACTTACTGGGCTGTAATTACCATAGTAACACCACCAGGTCCATTAAATAACGAACTTTGATTTTTTTTGATTTTTCGCAACGCGGTTGAAGGAACATATTCTAATTTAACAAATAAGGTGAGTGCTTGATGTAAAATTGTAGATACAGGACCTGGTCCAATACAATTTGGTATCTTTGCGATTTTTTTTTTTATAAAATGATTATTAGTAGAACAGTTTTTGTTAAAGTAAATACACATTTTATAACTATTTTTATAAAATGTTTTAATTTGTTGTTTTACTTTTTTTTTTTTTTTAAGATTAACTTTTTTTTTAGTAACAACATTTTTTTCCTCCTCTTTTTCTTCCTTTTCATCTTCTTTTTTTTCTTTTTTTTTCTCTTTATCTTCTTCTTCTGCATTGTCTTCTTCTACTTCTGCATTGTCTTCTTCTACTTCTGCTTTGTTGTCTACTTCTAAAAATAATGCTTCACGGAATTTTTCATCTAATTTAGTTTGTTCTACTTTAACATGAATAATTGGTTCAGTAACAACATTATTATCCTCTGTTTTTGTACTAGGAATATTAACACAACTATTATTTAATATGTTTTGTATTGACTCTTCTAAATCATCTTTACAAGTTTGACCATCCCTGAAATCAAGATTTATTCTTTATAATAATAAGTGTTCTATTATATAAGTTAATAGACAAAATTACTTTTGGCTATAGTGATAGGGAATTTCCCCTTTGAAATAATTTGGATATTTTGTTAAAAGTTCTGTATGTGATTCATTGAAGTCCATATCAATATCAGATGCATAATAATGATTTTCAAAACTATTACAATCAGTAAAAGGAATTTTTGGGGTACCTATTGAATATTTGTGTTTATTACACCAACCAATTGGAAAAATATCATCAGAATAAATGGAACGTACGTGTAATAATTCTTGACACCTAAACTCACACAGTGTTTAGTTAATAAGTTAGTTAATAATTATTATATTTACAAATTTAATACCAATTTGAACGATCAAAAGACAAAAAAATCCAATTATCTGCAAACCCTTTGACAGTAGCTACTCGGATATGGTCAGGATTTACAGGATCAACAGCTTCAAGTTTCATGCCAATATGAATATTGCCCATTTTTTTCCTGCATGCATTATCAACTTGAGCTAATCTAGAATTCTTCATTGCAGTATACTTTGACCAATAAAATTTGTCAGATGAATCCCAATCAGAAGGAGGCTTTAATAAGAACTTGTGTTTGTCCGCCCAACCTAAAATTACATACAATTATGCACAATTACTACAAAGAAAACTAATTATTTAGAGATTATTATTTTAACCTGCATTAAATAAATATGGGTTTTCCTTAGTTGCCACAAAAGTTATACGTTTTTCTGTATCACTGTCATTGTTCATTTCAACTTTAAAATAACGATTGTCATATATTTTAACGATTGTAGCAACATAGAAGACCATTAAAGAATACGGATTTATTACTTCTAACATATCTCCAACTTTATAACTGTGTTGTTCTGGAAATTTTGGCTGATTGCATAAATATAAAATGATTAAAATATTGATGAATTAAATGTTGTTATTAATTTAATAGTTATAATATAGATATATTATTAGAGCAGGGAAAGTATAAAACTTGCATGTATTCAATTTTTATTTTTAACGTACTATGGGTTAGCTCAAGATGGGTTTTATTAAACTAAACATTTAAATTAAATATTAGTTTTTTTTTTTTTTTAAATACATATATATATTTAACTGTTCAAAAAAAAAGGCTGTCCTAGGATAATGGGAATGGGTGCAGCCACTGTTATAGGTAATTTAATGTATATCTATAAGCAACAATTAACTATTGCTAGTGAAAAAACGATTCTGAGCAAAGTTTAGTTGATAGAACTGCTTTGTTACTAATATATATTATATCATACAATGGTAAAATAATTACACATATATTATATAATTTTTTTTTTAATATTGTACCTATTTTCCTTTTTTTTGTGGTGAGGGGAGGAGGATTTCTTTTTAGAAAACGTGTGATCATTGTAAATCGGAACAAGATTTTAGGTAGAAAATTTGTTCACAGACAAACAAAAAATTAATAACAATAAACATTGTAAACCATTGCATTCCTTACTCCACTCAGAATTTAAAATGTTGATAACAGAAATTATATAGTATTATAATTGTAGAAATATTGTGTAACAAGCCCATTTACAATTGATTACTTATCTGTAGTGATTACAATGACCTCAAGACAATATATTCAAATTTCTATTAGTAATATATAATGAATTGCAAACAATAATACATTTAGATATCAGAATATAATACATCATAGAATAAATCAAATTTTAATAGAAACAGATGTTATATAAAAAAAAAAATGATCTGGAGCTTTAACATGTACCTAATAAAAATATTACATTGAAAAATACAGTTAATGGATATATTAATGAAAAGATAATCTTCATAATTTAGTTTATTACAAATATATATGTATTACATCTATGATTTTCAAAGACAAATTGTTTAGATATTTGACTTCAATGTGTTGATTATCAGAGCAGATATTTGTATGCTTTTGCATATTTTTATTGGTTAGTCAAAACCTTAGTTTTTCTAAAATATAGATACATAATTTCCCTAATAATAAAAATAATAATTCAATTCATAATCTTAAAAAAATAATAATTGTAATAGCCTTCATTATATTAACTTTTCAAATATTTTTAAAATCCAAAGATTTCACAAAATTAATTATTATTACTTTATAATGATACAATAATTTTATTGTATATTTATTTACCTTTAATACATTCACTAATAAACTAGAATCATTAGTGGATTCTTCAATATTGACATCTACATTCATGACTCTCCATGGAAGACCTATAAACATTGATTTATATGTAGAATACATAGAACATATATTATAATTGTATTATAATATAGTAATATACCTTTCTGGTCTGCCCACCCTAAAGGAAAAATACGCTCATTTGAATAAAATAGCCAAAATGGTGTTTCTTCTGGAGATGATACTCCTAGCATTTTCACAAACAACCTCCCTCCTACATTTTTAAGTATCTAAAAATATATATATATATATATATATACATGTACACAGATATTACTAAATAGACTGTCAAGCATGTTGTGATGGGAAGTTACTAAAGAACAAGAGTAAACCTAAAAAAAAAAATTAACATAATAAAAACTATATTGGGTACTTTTGAAATCCAAACTCGATAAGGATATTCTTTATCTTGAACTTCTACAAACATTCCTGGCTTGAATATATTATAAATTGGAGCACCTTTCTGAAATAAATGTATACATTTTTATAATTATTTAAATTATGAAATTAAAAACACAAAATCATTATTTTTTTTTGGAATTCAATAATTTGTTAAAATAAAAATATAAATACCATTTGTAGGACAGAGTTAGGTACAACATTTTCACAATATTGAACTTTTTCTTTAATAACTTCTGAATTTACCCGTAGAAATCTATCAGGATATGGTGGTACTAGTTTTTTATTATTTTCACTTCCCCAATTTAAAGGATGAATTCGTGATGATTTCAATTCTAGCCAAAAGTCGTGTTTATCATTTTCATCACCAATATAATGTAAACTAAAATAATATTTTACTAATTATTTCATTTCATTATTAGGTTCATAAGTTTATTAAATTAAATTAAATTATACTTGATTATAACTCCCTTGGATGAACACACACTGGCAAACCAATAGCTATTCTGATCTTCATTTTCAACTTCAACAACTGATCCTACTTCTATTCCATTTTGTTCACTTTTACAAATCTGTAAATAAAATTGTTTTAAAATATGTAGGTATTTTTATTTACACATATATATTTGTTTATTTAACAAAAATAACTACTCACATGAAAAAAAAAATCTTCAGGAACTTCTTCTGAATTTCTTATTGTAAGATATTTATTCCAATCGAATGGTTCTAGATATTAACAAAAATTAACTATATGTATTATGAATTTAAAATAACTATTTTTATTAAATTTGAATAAAAACTCATGTTAGTAAATACTACTTTTTATCAAAATTATATTATAAGTACATTACATTAATGTTAAACATTATCTAAAAAACTTTAAAGTTAAAATATATACATAGGTATTTTCCAGAATGTACCTTTTACCAAAGTAAATAAAAAAGTAAGACATTTTTTTTAAAACTTGTATTCCTTATAATGTACACACATTTTATGAGGCAAACAAATAAAATTAATATTGAACATGTTTTGAAAATTAATAACTTTATGGTAGGTATTATTGAACATTAGAAGCGTAATCTAAAGCAAATAATATGTTTGAAAGTGAAAATTTAAAAACGTTTTTATAGATTTTAAAATAATTTTTATTTTCCTATAGAGATTTGTGATAAAAATTATACTTTTGGTGTTTTGTACAAATTCCTTGATTTTTAAATTTTCCAAAAACTATGGCTATTATGATGTTTAGGTCCAGATGGACGTATAGAAGAGCTAGGCACATATCTAGACATAGGCAATTCAGGGGCTAATTTATTTATTAATTTCTAGTAATATACACAATAACATAATCTCAGAGAAGCATATGATGCTGAGTTCATCGAACCCTAGGTCTCGAGCTCCAACCAATGGAAAACTTAAGTGAGTGATTCCAACTGGTATAATAAATATGGTATTGTTTCTAGAGGGTGGAGGAATTCACTTTATAGTTAACAATAACATTTTTCCTGTGCGGTGCCTCTACTTGTTGTAAGTGTCTAATGAGATTGCATTAGGTTGACAACCAGTGTAAAATTCTAATAGCAGTATGAGGAGTTCTAAAAAACTTCTATAGATTGTCTTATCTCTGATATAAGAGGGAATATCAGATGAAAGAAGTACAATGTTGCATGATGTTTGCAAATGATATAATAGGATAGCTTTAATAGCATAGCATTTGGAATAAGTTAAAGATTCCATTGAGGAATGGGGAGTAGTAATTGAAGAAAAGGGACTAAGGTTAAATAGAAGTAAAACGGAGTATGAATTTGGAGGAATAGGAAAATATAGTTAACGAAAATAAGCGATTATAATCGATGTTGAGAATTTTAAATATCTCGGATCTTTTGTACAAACAGTGGCTTTTGTGAGGATGTGAAACATAGGATTAAATGTGGGTGAATAAAATTAAGAGAAGAGGAAAGTGTTTTATGTGGCATGAGAATTCCAATAAGCTAGAAGAGAAGTCCAATATATGTGTGGTGAGACCGACTATATTAAATGGTTTTCGAATTGTTAATGGAGTGTAGATAGAAAAATAGAATAGAGAATGAGTGTAACAGAGATGAAAATGATTAGGTGAATGAGTATACTTAAGAGAAAAATATACATAGAAAAAAATAGGTAGACAGGAAAACTGAAAAAGAGATGGTTGGATGCGATTGCAAATGATACGAGGTGTAGTATATTAAAATTAATCATTTTAAATTATTTAAATAATATACATTTTTTTTGTCAACAAATTCACATCAGATAATTTTATAAAAATAGCTTAAATTTCAAATGTGATATATTACTTTGAAAAAAACAATGTGTTACACAAAATTATATGCCTAGTTAGGTTTAATCCGGCCTTGATCATTTTCACTAAATAGGTAGACATTAATAATTGGCTACTAAATCATAACTTACCAATAGTCGAGTCATCAAAGTTTGAAGTTGAACTCATGATGTAAGTCCTAAGTAGGTAGTTAGTAATTTAAATTTCTCTTATTATCGACATAACAGCTAAGTACCACGTAGGTACGTATAACTCATGTCTACAAATACGATTGATATTATTAATAATGAGTACTTAATAAAGTTATAATTTAAAAAATAGTTTAATAGGTACAGAAATTATACACGGAATGTGAAATGTATAGTAGTTTATAGTTATAACAAGACGTTATGTAAATAAAAGGTCTGAAAACTGGATAGGGCAAATGCTATTCTGAATTTCTGAACATGTCAGACATATAAACAATATTCCTTAACTTAAAGGCTAAAGAGGAACTGTGCAGGAATACAGACGTAGCAATTGCAACAGTGGAACAGAATACAACATCGAGCATAGACAATACTACAATATCACATTATGTCATGCTCGTTTAATCGTACACAGTCGACTTCTCATACCTCGCGGACCTACGGTTTTCCCACCATATCATCAACTTTGTTCAGGAGTGCCAACATTTAATACTAACTTAAATTAATCTTTATTCAAATTTTAGATTTAAAATTAAAAATAATTATAAAAACATAGTAGCGATATTTACAAAAAATATAATTTTCAAATTGGCTAATATTTTTCGACTTTTAACGATGACATAATTTTAATAATTAAAAATCTTTCTCCGAAATAAACACGGTTGAAAATCGTAAACACGGATTTTTATCAGTTAAGTTAATGTTTTTATCGTGTCCTTTGCACACCTACACATTACACACTACAGCAGGCAATCTTATTCTCAACTTCCCCAACAAAACGCGCACACGTACACATCCAACTCGCGCACGCACACCCTCACAGGTATATTGCAGCTGATTTCTTGATCATTGAATAAACATAGACATGCCAATATGTCTATGTTGAACAAATTATTAAATAATAATAATAACAATAACAATAGTAATAAAAATATAATATATAATTTTTTTCCTGTGCGGCACCGTATACCAATTTAGACAAAATATAAAAAAAAAAACCTCCCGAGTACAATGTGCAGGTAGAAGCGGATGACACAAATATTGCAACGAGAAAAATTTGCACATATTGTGAGTATCAAAATAGCCTTTTGTATTACGAGTCTTACCTACAATATAATTGTGTGGAGTATGTAATAATATTAAGAATTATACAATCGTACTTATTTATGATAATTTTTGGTTGACATTACTTATATCTTATTGGTAGCTGACGACATTTTTAATACATCCATTAAATGGGCGTGACAATAATATTATGATGTTTGTATGTATGTATGTATGTATGTATGTATGTGTGTGTGTGTGTGTGTGTGTGTGTGTGTGTGTATATTTGTGTGTGCCCATAGTTTCGTGTACACGCACTCGTATGTATACATATTATACCTAATGTAAATGTACTACTTTTTTTAAGATGTATTTTGCGACATCACTTGTGAAAATATTTGAATTTTTCTGCGGAAATCATTGTTATAGAAGTTTTAACCATTTACCAACCAATTTAGTTTACCATTAACCAACGAAGTTTGTCGTTATTACAGTTTCGCTTAAATGGCTATTTTCGTGACGTCTGTACACATTTTACTGTGGAGCAATGGATTACGCGGACATAGCAGTATAAAGTTCGATAAATACGAATCGAACACAGCAATTTTTTTTTTTCATTACGTTATTTTCACCGGGTTTCTTAGTTCACCCAAAATGCATTATGTAATATACACGACGTGGTGTTGCTAAAAAATCTGATTTTATTTTCGAATTAAACAGTCCGAGCGAATGACCATTTGGATATGTTATTTATAACAATAATTTGACGTTATAATCTCGTCAGGATTTTTTTTTTAATTATTCTGGTTTCAGTAAGTAATTAAAAAAAAAAAAGATAGTATTAAATGTTTTTCCAAATATAAAATGTGATGGAAAAGATACATTTTCCCACTGTTTCTTCCAAACCAAAAAATATTAGTTACCTCTGATTTTACCAAAAACTTCTTTGTTATTACGCACCAAATAAGAAAAAAAAATAATCTAAGAAATTATTGTGAGTTACTTTAATATGCAAATGATTGAAATAACATTATAATTATGTTTTACATGATTTATTAACAAGAACATAAAAAGTAAGTACGATATAGGTGAATTCTGATTTCATCACCGAAATATTAATATAATATAATTCCTACCATTTCTAAAGAAAAAATTCTAAAAATATAAATGTTTGCTATTTTAAACTCAAAAACACAAGTTTTAGACAAATTGTGCATTTTAAAGTTTTTTGACCATAACTTCCAAATGAAGTTTGAGTTATTTTTTTTAAAGTACTATCAAATTAAGCATGGCAAAACACATTTTGAAAAAAAAAAACACTTGGGAGCTAAACTGCATTTGTTCCTAAAATGGAATTTATGTAAATCATAAATGAAGCAGATGTGAATTTTAAAACAAGATTTAAAGAAAACATTGTTGAAATTAAATAAGAGAAACAAAACTCTAAATCAAATTTTGCAAAACATTTAATTTATTTATGTTATTAAAATACAGGCCAGGGCTCAAAATAATGTGAAATATATAATAGATATTTACAATAACTTAAGTGAAAAGAAGTAATATAATAATAAGTAAAGGTAATAATGTTTATAAATAATGATAGTAAAGACCCAGTTGATAAATTAATTTAAGGATAATTAAAGAAATTCATTAGCAATACACATAAAACGATAAATAGGGGAGTTTAATAAATAATTAGAAAATGAAAATAGTATTAAATTTAGAGGAGTGCATCTAGAGTAATGTGGTAGAACTTTAAAATTAAATTTATTAAGGAGGGCAGTCAATTAGGTTAGATAATAGCTTAAGAATAAATGAAATATTTCTCCAAACAGCAAGACTGGATAAATTTAAAGCTAAACGGATGAGCTTGTATTCATTTGGAGGACAAGGTACTTACAGTGAATAAGTAGCAAATTAAAGAAATTTCTATTAAACCTTTTCTATCATTAGTGTCAATACACAATTGAGGGTTTTAAATAATAGATCCGTACTCTAAGATTGGTCAAACTAAAGAGTAAAAGGGTATCTTTAATAAACGGTCTAATTTAAATTCAGAAATATGTATAATAAATCCAAGTACCTTCAATGCTTTACAGCAGATCTCTTGAATATGTAGTTAAGAGGATAAATTTAGGAGAAAATGAAAACGTAGGTCACATACTGAAGTGCTATTTGTGATTGGAATATTGTGAATGGTGTAGTTTACAATAATTGGTATTGCTGTACAAAAGTAGGACATAATCTAGCCATAATATGGGTAATAACATAGAAAAAATGTAATTATAATGAACACACAGTAAAATAAATATTTAAATTCTGTTTTAAAAAGCTACCATATACATAATGATAGTGGCAGTTTTTGAATATTTTTCTGGAGAATGTCTCGATTATAACATACAAAAAAAAAATTTACCCAGTATTTATTAATTTATTTTAATTAACTTGCATATTATTATTTTTTTACTTATTTACATGAATATATTTGTTTTAATCAACAATAAAATTTAAGTTCAACTGAAAAATTGTAACAGAATATACTTTCCGTAGTATATACTTGTAGTCTGGAAGGGGTCCATATTTATTTTCAAATATTTGTGGTTATTGGTTAACCATTTAACAATGTTTTTTTCAGTAGATACCTAATGATAGTAAAAAACTAAAACTAGTAAAATGTCTAAATAAATATTAAATTTAAATAATACTATGCCAGCTTAAAATTATTTAAACAATATTCCCTACCTAATTTTTACAAATTCTTAATTTATTATTGTACATTTAATCTGTTTAACTACAGTTAACATAATTACACATATTTTATTATTAATGGCTGAGTATCTAGTTAAGTGGGTATCTAGTTCAAATTTTTCTAAGTATAATTTTTTATTGAAACTTTAAAACCCAAATATTTTAACCTATTGTACACATATAATAGATTTAGGACCAAAATAGCTGGGAAATGATTTGAAGGAGAAGTGAATGAATATAACTAATAACAATATAACTATTTCTAATTAAATTTGCCATACAATTATAATTACCTAAATAAGCAATTACTTTTAAGTAGATACATGTTTTTATTTTTTTTAAATAGTAGATAAATTGTAGTTCAACATTATTACTTTAAAATGTAATCATTCAAAATATGTAATTTGATGTATTTTGGTTTTTTTTTTCAGCTAGACAGTGTCTAGAATACAATGTCCTCTTTTCACAATCAACCGTTTGTTCAAGACATTAACACTACTTTTGAAACAACTCAAAAACAGAACTGGTCTAAATTCCATGATGAACTGTGCAGCATTCCCATCGACGACTATATGGACAATTTCAAATCAGTAAATCCTATTGAATTATCAGATGAAGATATTCCTGTATTTGGTCTTATTCCTCGACTTGAAAATTGTTTGTTGATATCATGTAGTAAATGTTCAATGGTAGTTAAAAGAGACTGTTTACATTATCATTATAATCGTCGCCATAATGACCCAAAAAATGATAATTTTTCACTTGGACATTTTATATTACCCACAGTTAAAAATAATAAACATAAAAAACAAAAAATTAATGTTCGCAAAATTCCAGAAAAGAAAGTAACTTATAGTGACAGTACTGATCCTATTGCGCTAGATATTATCAAACTTGAATTTAATGAAGAAGATTTTAACAAGTTTCAAGTAAAAATTGAACAAGAAGATGAAAACCATTATGATAGCGCTAAATATGATGATGATTATTATGCTAGTGATGTTAATTTAGAAATACAAAGTAGTAGTACTTCTACTATAAATTATAATGATTCTGATTGGATTTATGAACCACATAGTCAAAATCTATTTCAGTACACTGATGATATTTTATTTAATGAATCGAGTATTGAAGATACTTATAGTGAACTTAATCAATTATCTACTGCTGAGTTAATTATTAAAACAGAACTAGAACCTATTATTAATGATAAATCATCAGATCCTATAGATTCCAAAAATAAAATAATTTCTTTGGAAAATTCTAATGAATCATTAACTGATTCAATAGATTCCAGTAAAAATCTACAAGATTATAAATATGTGTATTCAGGTTTTTTGTTTGATGATTACGATGAAATTTATAATGATCCTGTATCATCTAAAATTGAATATTCTAAAAGCAGTTCATATCTAGATGTGAGTAACACAAATGCTAATGAAATTGTTGGTTACAATCAACATTCAACTTCATCATTTGTTGTCGAAAAAAAAAAAAATCATTTACTGTGGAATAAAGTAATGTTTTCACCTCCAAACAATCAATATCAGATAAAAAATGAATTTTTTGATGATGATGATCCTATAAGTGATCAACAAATAATTACACCGGTAATTCATATTAAAGAAGAATATATGGAAACCAATTATTCAAATATTGTAAATAACAATTATAGTATTACTTGTGATCAATCACCAGGTATAACAGAAACTTGTAATATTAGTGAAACAAATTCAATATCAAAGAATTTAGATGCAAGTATTGGAATTTCTAATAAAATTCAAACTATACGTTGTAAACCGCCTTCTGAATTATATAAAACTTCGAGAATTAATAATACTAAAAGAAAATCTCATCATTCTCTTGATTATTCACAACCAGCTGCAAATATAAAAAACAAAAAAATAAAATTAACATCTAACACCAAGTTCTTAGATCTTCAAACATTAAGTCCAAGTTATCAATATTTAGACATAAATGATATAAGTAGTTATATTAAGCCTGTCAATAGTTATAATCAATTATTAAATTTTACACTCAATCAGTTACAACCTGTAATATTAAATAATGAAACACAGACAAAATTGCCAGCATGCAATAATAGTATTTTTAATGAGTTTTCAGAAGATATAAGTGGCAATGATAAAACAAAATGTGTACAAATTAATAAGTGCAAAGTTGTTATTGATAATGATAATGTTGTTTCTAGAAATTATCAATCTTCAACTTTGCATAAATTTAAAGTTAATAATTGTACAATTATTTCTGATATTGATTATGTTATTGATGATTATGATTACAAACAATGTCCAATATCGTTTATAAATGTTAAAGACAGATTAAAATATCCATTATTTATTGATAACCCAGGTAAAAATTATGATGGAATTTCCAATAATGTATATTATCAATTAGTATTGAATTTTACTTTGGATGAAAAAGAAATTGATAAAATATGTCTAAGTTATACAGATTATGATTTTACAAATACTGAAATAAATTGTACAAGTTTAATAAGTGATGAGGAAAAAAAACAAAAATATCTACATTATACAAATACTGAAAATTTAATTTGTACGGATTTTAAAAAAGAACCTGATGAAGTTATTCGAAATTCACAAGATTCAGACATGGGTATTATAAAGATAAAAAATGAAATTAATTCAGGTAATGAAAACGTACATTTAAAAAAAACACGTTCGGAACTTTTCAAATTGTTAATGAAGGCAATTAGATCTGATAGTGAATACGTAGAGAATACGAGTGATAAAAAAAACCCAGATGAAATTAATGAAAATTTAGAAAATACAGATTTTTTTAGAATTTGTGATGAAAATTATGAAAACAATATAAATTCTGACGATCTAGTTACTGAGCATTTTCAAATTAATAAACTTAAACCTAAACTTAGTGATTATGGTTTTTACTTTATAAATGAAAAAGAAGAATACAACAAATTGAATAAAAAATTGATAGATTTTTTCATTTTAGATGACAAAGAAAAAAATGAATCAATGAATACATTTTCAAACAGTTTGAATACGAATGATGAAAAAACATTACTTACACCTAGCATTAAATTTGCAGATGTTATAAATAATGATAGTTCTGATGCTTTTATTAATAACAATAAATTACAAATTGCATCATTAAGTAATAATGTTGATTCAAAATATATTCCAATAATTGATTATTCTGATATTATAATTGATAATGAAACTGACAATTTTGAAAATGAACTTAATGATTCTGAATTACTCATTAATCAAGCACAATCTTCATGTATATCAAATTCTAAAGATTTAGATACTATAAGCAATGGAAGTTCTCACGATTCTGTAACAAGCTTTGATGAATTATCATCGGTTACATCATTAGATAATGAAGAAATAGAACTCATATCAAAAGATTGTGTTAGTGATGATGAAAATTCTAATGATTCTGTGACTTCTGATGATCAATCGTCAACTGAATCACAAGATATTATAAAAAAACCTAAGTCGATCACACAAACTGATCTTTTTTTAAACCATATTAATTATCAAAAATTTAGTAATCCTGTAACTTGGACTGATGAATCAATAGTAAAATCACTTGAAGTTTTGAACTGTAAAACTGAATGTATAAATTGTTACAATGCTGCTAGAGATTTACTGGATACTTATTTTCCAGTTAACTCAAACACTGAAATTGTAGATGATTTTATTAATAGTTTTACTTCTGTTAACTCTGATGTTGCAACCACTGAGTATCCTGTGAAATTTTCTATTCCTGTTAATTCTAATGTTCAAATGCCTATTAATTATTTATCTCCTGTAAGTTCTGGTGCACAAATTGTAAAGAATACTATTTCAACTAAAAATCATGAATTATTAGATTGTGATAACTGTAATTATTATGTTCCAAATAATTCTTATTATTTATCATCTTTCCACACATTTAAGTGGATTTCTAAGAGTGAAAACAACCATACAAGTTTTGCTGATTGTTTAACACATAATTGTATCATTGAAAAAAATTGCTATACTGGGAATAATTTTAAAACGTATAGTTCCGAACCTTATGTAGATAAACCTAAACAAAATGAAAATATTTTAAATCGTAATACAATTAATGAGTTAAATTATATAAATAAAAACCATGCGATTTGTAAAAATCATTTAAAGAGAATTACAGATAAAAAAATTGTTTTTAGCAAACATTGTAAGATAATACCATACAAATATCATAATATCGAAGCTAAGGTGAAAAAAAGGTTGCACAGACCTTTAGAAGGACAAGTCATTGATGATAAAGAAAATAATAATCAATTGAAAACTAGAAGTTTAAAAAAACTCAAAAGAGTAAACTTTGTAATGAGAAAAAAAATGTCTTGTTCTGATGAATCTGACAATGATAATGTCAATGAATGAAAACATTTATGTTGAGGTATTTTACTACAACTTCCTTAAGGTCTCATTATATTTATTTGTTCCTGATTTTAAATATCATTTGTATTCTTCCAATTGAAAATTAAATATGTTGTCTAGTAACTAATTTTTATTTTTGTCAATATTTATTTTATGAATATAATTTTTTACTTTCTTTTTTATAATATCTTGTTATTTATTGTGTACTAGAAGTTAGAAGTTAATCATATAGTTTTCCTACATGTTAAAGTAAGGTTCTTTGAATAAATCAAAAGAATTTGCATAATATTTTGAACTATTTTATATTTAATTTTCCAAAGAAAACCACTATCAGAAATTTTTCTGACGTGAGTAAAAAAATATTGCACTTCATTTAATGTAATGTGTTTATTATTTTAGATTCCATAATCCAAATTCAGTAATTTAGATATACCTGCTGAAATAATAAACTATAAGGCAATAATAATAGTCTTACATGATTATATCAGCTAGCTTGTTGTCTGAAAAAATTAGGTAGATATACCTACTTAATTAGCTGTTTTTTGTGAATATTTAAAATGTATGGTTGATAAATATTAATATGAAAAACATTGTCCATTGTCTAGTTTATATCATAGCCAATTATTTATGGTTACATAATACAATTAATATAATATGTGTAGCATATGAATACTAATTGATGAACATTACACTATTTATGTGAATCATTGATCAACAATGTTTCTCTCTTCATTTCAAAACTAATTTTACTATTACATAATACCAATTTGATAACTATATACCCTAGTTTCTACTATAATTGATATTATTATAGCTTAATATCTATATGGGTGTAGTAAGTAGTAATTTTTGGTACTTATACCCAATCATATTTTTCGTTAAGTAAATTTGGTTAAATATGGTTTTATTAGATTATTTTTAATAAATTATGTGATGATGTTAACAAAATGTATTGGTTTCTACAGCGAATGTTGACACATTATTATTGGCAATTGTATTTTATTTACAAACTTCTATTAAATAAAATAACTAGACTATTTCTTCATACACCTCTGCAAAGAAGTCAAAATGTATAAAATTTGTCACCGCTCCAGATTTCAGGTATTTTTCCTGATATAGATATTTATATTGATTTTAGAGAAGAAGAATCTCTTTGACAAAAAAATATTCCACAAGGCCCCCCCCCCTACAGGTCATCCAGTTCCATGCTACGGTCAATGTGTTAATTTAAATGAAGTTGTGTTACAAAATAATAAGTTTAAGTAAATTAAAATCTATCTTCATTCTTTTCCAGATTTTCTAGTAAAATATTTTCTTAATAATTTAATTTTGTAAAAATATGTTAATCTACTTATTAGTTCACTAATTTATAAGAAAGATGGAAAATAAGAAATTTACAATTCAACAAGTTCAGGTAGATGAAGGTTGACAAATATTCCAATTTTTTAAGTACATTTATTACTTAGTTAAAATTGTACTTAATATTTTTAAATTTTTTACTGTATAATAATAAATATTTAATTTAAAAGCAGACTCAATTATGTTACAATAACATTTATGTGGAAAAAGGATTGGCATGCATTTTATTCATGATATAAAGTGAACTTCTATCCTAACGATAATTGTATGTAATATTCCCAAGTAGATGTTATACATATATATAAAAAAAAAAAATTATAAAAATTCACATTTGTAAATAAGAAATTATATACAAAATGCTTGATTTTAAATTAATACATGTCCACATTTATAGTGTATCTATGAGTACTTACTATAACAAATAATAAATAATGGGTATTAAATTAAATTTTATTTTATTATAACTTGTATACATTTCATTAAGTTTATAATGTATGTAAAAATCATATTATTGTATCTAAATACATAATATAAACATAAATTATGTACACTGTATTTAATCTATGATATAATATAGTTTTAAATTTTAATTCTAGTGACTAAGTAGAACAATAATAATTAATGGAATTTAAAATGGAACACAAATACCGTGTATATATATTATATACAATAAAAACTTAAATCCACAATAACAATACCACAATTTTTATCAAAATTTGTCAGTAGTATATGAGAGCATTATTTGTTTTATAATTTAATAATATAAATAAAACATATAACACATTTTCTTTTTGTAATGGCAATATTGACATAATACAATTAATTTAATTTATATTTTACCCATTTATATTCTCCAAGCGTGCTGCTTAGTAAAATGTTTTACGTGATTGAGTTTGTAAGTATTCCCAATACCATACGCCACCAATTATTAAAACACCAATTATGATAATGACTGAAATGACAATGAAAAATATTTTTAAACCACTCCAACTTTCACTTTTAGCATCTTCAACATGTTCTGAAAATAATAAGAGTATAATTTATATAAATTAAAAAGATTAAAAGCCAAAACTAAAGTACCTCTTGGTGGACTGAATTTTTTAGCTGAAGGAATTATTTTTGAACGGTCTTTAATAATAGTTTCATTCTGAAAATAACACCGCGATAAAAAGTGTACAAACATATTAATTACATTCTTTAATTAGATAGAATTCTATATAAATGAAGAGTTACAGGATCATCAGAGTCAACTTCATACAGCCGAACTGCTAAAATGTCATGATTATCTGATAAGTCTCCTGTTGCTGCTGAAAATCCAAAATAATAACCAGTTGGTAGTTCTATTCCATCAGCGGTAAAACAAGGCTTCCAAACTGCTTTATCTTCTAAATCTGTCATTACTAAAACAATTAATTAATTTTAAAGTAAAAACCAATTCCTAATTTGCTTACTCGACAATTAATATTAGACTTACAATATTTAAGTATTGCTAGTGACATTTTGCTTACATTTCAAACCATTATTATACTTTGAGATTATTATGAAATTAAATATAATTTTCAACTTATTATCATATGATAATTATACGATATTATAAACATTATACACATATAATATATAATATAAATTATATTTTTAAAAAAAATGTATCAGCATTGATATTATAGTTCCACAATAAAGACTGTAGACCCAATATTAGCATTATTCTCATGACATGATTATTTGTCTAACTGATATTTAACAGTGATCATTTTATATTTTATTAATAAACCAAATATTCCTTTTTATAACAAAAATTTAATTTATATTACTTAAGCAAATCTGTATGACGAAAAGGTAAAAATGTTATGGAACTATCTTTTATGGGTAATAATTCTATGAAGTAACATAACATCATAGCGTCAACACAAAAATACAAAAATGATATCTGCGACTAATTTTCTTTAAAATGAAATAAAATAAAATTTACCAGTAAGAGTATTGCTGACATATCTTATTAAAACATAAGTTTCAGTATCCAAATTTCTAGCTGTAACTTCACATCCTGCTAATTCTGTATGCGTACCATCACGATCATGATCATAATGCAAAGTTCCATTATTAATCATCGATGAGATGTATGGATGTTGATGCTATTTAAAATCCAACATATTAAATTACAGGAAAATGTTTAAAAGATTATCAATAAATTAGATATGCACATTATGTTCTCCATTATGATTACTATACGTGTCAATTATAACAGCAAGTCCTTCAAATAAATCTTTATTGCCAAACACTGGCCCATATTTCATTCTTTCTCGAGTGTACCAAATCGCCATTCCATCACCATGCAGACTTTTTTTATCTTTGCCGTGAATTTTAAAATGCACTTGTAATTCCCAATTATTAAGAAAACATGGCTACAGGAAATAATGCATAAGTAATACTAGTCATCTTGTAATAACTAATTTTAAAATACAGATACATACAATAGAATTCCATATTGAACCAGACTTGCTTTGCAAATCGGGTGTTAATCGCACATGTTTGTCTGTTATTATAGTGGAACCCATAAAATCCCAGTTGGGTATTGTTATGCCAGATCCTATAAAAACAATAATTTGACATTTGATAATAATAATAATTGATTAATCTTACCTTGATAGGGTCTCAATAGTGAATGTTTTCGTTTCATATAATCCTTAGTATTCCATTCAGAATAAACTTCTTTCATGAGAAATAAAAACAAAAATGTAACTAAAAAAATACTAGGACTGGTATTTTTTAAAATTGTTTTACTGAGCTGCATTGTAATATTATGGTTTGAAAAACTAATACAAATTTGCTTGGAATCGATTAAATATACATTAATACTAAAATAAAAACGTAGGCTATTTAAATCACTGAATTTAAAAAGTCACACATAGGTATTTATAAATTTAAAATGTTTTTCAGAAGTCAAGATTTATAAAATACTCTAGAATGTTCGAAACTTCGAAAAAGCAAACATAGTTTTCTTGAGTTTTGAGTCTTCAAATAAAAATTTGGTCTCTTCCAGAGAAAAAAGATAATATTCAATATTATTATTCGTCTTGTAATTAAACATAGATAAGGTTTATAACTTCTTTGACAATTACTGATACTGTGATTAAATAGGTAGGTAATGTTTTATTTTTATTCAATAATTTTCTTTAAATTTCAAGCTACCTAGTTAGAAAAAAAAAATAAATTATGTTTATATATTTAAATGATTTTAATAAAGCATTAAAGCTAAAAAAAATATAATTATTATCATGGATATTAAATGGCTTAAAAGGTACCGTATATTTTGCATTGGAGGCTCAATTATTCTATGCGTTCAAATCATATTAGCATTTGTATTCTTTTCCATTCAAGAATATTCCTTTAGCGAAGAATTATTACCGAATGTAAGCAAATAAAGTTATTATAGTGTAATGTATATATTTTATATGTACATTTATTTGATAGTAATATATAGGTACTTAGTGTAGATAATGTAAGGGTATATAATACTGTCTTTATTTGTTAGTCATTAAATCGATTAAAAAATGTAGCTGATTACGGTATTGGTGATGATGATGAATCAAGCTATAATAATGTTCCCAGTGGGAGCAATCATCGCAACAAATTACCACCGGATAAAGATAATAGTGCATCATCAAATGAATATTATAATAAAGTGCTTCAACAGCGGCAAAACTACAAGACTGATTATTTGCGAGTATTAAGAGTAGATGAATTAGGATTTATGCCACCTTGTGATATAGGTGGGCGTGAATCTGTATCAGCATTACATCGAGCTAAAACCCAAATTTGTAAACAAATTATAGCAAACATATCATGTCTAATTAAGATGAACCCACCATATCCTAAAAGACTGCTCCATCAATGTCCAACCAATAGTAATATAATGTTATGCTGTTGAAACCTATAAATTATTTAACTAAGTTTGTTTCGTTTTTTATTAGATGTAAAAAATAATAAAACACTGGGATGTTTTCGTGATGGTAAAGAAATTAAATTATTACCTGGTTATAAAACTACTCTTATACACTCAAATTCACAAGAAAATTGTTTGGATCTATGTCTTCAGTCCGGCTTTGTTTATGCTGGAGTTGAATACGGGTAATTTATTATATTAATGTAAAATGTAATATAGTTAGGATTGGCAATATCTTTGTTACAAGTACCTTAAATTTGTATATTAGATAAAATTGTATTTTGTATCGTGATATGGTTCTTGAAAGTATTGAATATCTTGTATTGTGACACTGAAATCAATGTATTGGAGTATTTAGATACTCATTACAAAGTATCTTATCCAACTCTTAAATATAATATTACTAAAAGTATATAGGTATTTACAAAAAAATAAATATTGTTGTATTGTAGAACTGAATGTTTTTGTGGCAATGAAACTCCTGAATGGAGTTCAAAACTTCCAGATACATTTTGTGATATGCAATGTCCAGGAAATCAAAGTCAGATATGTGGTGGACATTATACTATAAATGTTTTCAAGACTGGTGTTTCTAGTGGGTTATTTATTTATTTATTTTTTCTGGTTAATTAATTTTTAACTTTTTAGAATTTATTGCCAGAGTTGCTTCGGAACCTTCACCAAATTTAAAACACGATAATCCTGTACGAATAGTATTTCTTTTAACTTTAAATGGAAGAGCTGTCAGACAAGTTTATAGATTAATCAAAGCACTTTTTCATCGCGATCATTATTTTTTTATCCATGTAGACGCAGTAAGACATATTTAATTTAATTAATTAATTAATTAATTTATGCTTATTAAAGTATTCTTATATTTCACTTTATTTTATTCAAATTTCAGAGACATGATTATATGTTTAGAGAATTATTGAAAATTGAACTAGCATTAAGCAACATTCGACTATCAAGACGAAGACATTCAACTATCTGGGGAGGTGCGTCATTATTAACCACCTTAATGGATGCTATGTCAGATCTAGTACAGTCGTCTTGGGATTGGGATTTTGTTATTAATCTTAGTGAGTCTGATTTTCCTATAAAGTAAGTATTAGTATTTTATTTGAAACAATTCAATTCATGTTATTGGCTATTTAAGATGAACATCTAATTTTTTATCCTAAATTTATATTTTAACAATAATTGATTTAAAAAACCATGCTAGATCAAATGATGCATTAGTAAAATTTTTAACTACAAACCGTGAATGCAATTTTGTCAAATCACATGGTCGCGAAGTACAACAATTTATTCAAAAACAAGGATTAGATAAGACATTTGTTGAATGTGAAGCAAGAATGTGGCGTGTAGGAGAAAAAGAATTACCAAAAGGCATTATTTGGGATGGTGGAAGTGATTGGTTAGCTTTATCGAGGCCTTTTGTCAATTATTTAGTAACTGGAGATAATTTAATTTCTGGTTTATCACAATTTTTCAAGTATACTTTACTACCAGCTGAGGTAAATTTATTTAATATTAAATTAATTGTTATTTTTCATAAGGATATAATGTATTTATATATTTTTAGTCTTTTTTTCATACTGTGTTAAGAAATTCACCTTTCTGTGAAACCTATATTGATAATAATTTACACGTTACTAATTGGAAAAGATGGCTTGGTTGTAAATGTCAATATCGTCATGTTGTTGATTGGTGTGGATGTAGTCCAAATGTCTTTCGATTCGATGACTGGAATCGTATTAAGGTGATATTTAAATTTATATTAAATAGGCCCTGGTTAGGATATAAAAACTGAAGTGTTGGGCATTTATCTTCCTTCACCATATTGAAGAAAACATTTATTTTATGAATATTTTTAATTTTGAATAATATATATTTAAATTTTTAATGTTTTTCTACAGAACACTGAAAAGAAACAAGTATACTTTGCTCGTAAATTTGAACCTATTATCAATTTATCTATTATAGATACACTTGAAGTTTGGTTGTATGGAGAGTATCCTGCAGGTAATACAAATATTTTCAAATATACTAGAATATTTAAACTCTATGTATCATTATAATTATTACAGAATATATAGATTTATTTATTTTTTAATTTAAATTTTTAAACATTTCACTTCTCAATATTTAAAAAATATTAACTTTTAAGTTTAATATTTTTAAATTATTTATAAAATGAAATGGGAAAACATTTTTTTTTAAATACAATATCATATAAATTCTTTAATTTTCTTAATCATACCAAATTGCCAAAATATTCTAAATCGGTACTATTAAACTTAATATTTTTATTATTAATGTTATTAAACAAATTTGTATTTTACTTTGCATGTTTTATTATACTTGATTTGTTCAGTAATAATTATGTCAAATACATTTTTTTGTACCTTTATATTTTACATTAATTTCACATCAAGAATTATTTTTAATGTTTGAGAATATCAAGCTTTAATACAAGCAAGTTTTATTCAAATAATATTTTAATAGGTTGAATGTCTGTTCTATATTTCATCATAATTGAAAATTTAACATTTAATAATTTAGATCTTAAAAACCGTATGAGTTATTGGCAAAATGTATATCATTATGATGATGTACATCTACTAGCTGATGAATCACTTCTTACAATTGGAACTAGTCTTGCGCGAGTTGCAACAAAACACCTAACTACTTCACATACAACCTGTCAAATTCGTAGTCTTGACAAGTTACTACAGGTGTTTACTTATCATCACAAAGATCAATTTAAAGTAATTTTGGTTGAATAATAACATTTAAAAATTTAAATAAATATTATATACAAATGTTCTTGTCAGGGATTTTTAATTCAGTATGAAGTTAGTTTCTCTAATAGTTCTACTAAGTTACAGCTTGAAAGTTGGTGTTGGCCAAAATTACAAGGAATAATTATGTATAATAAAGATCCAATCAACAGATTATTGGTGATTAAAATCAATTTTAGTATATAATTTTAATAGTAAAATATATTATAAAATCGGGACTTTTTTTTTTTTTATTTCAGAATTTTATTGTTAGTTCAGATTTTGATCAAAAAGAACAAATGTCTAGAGATTTTATTCGTCTTATAAGCCCTTATACGGAACCAGTATTAATACATCAGTGGGCTTCGGGTGAACAGATATTTACAGTTACATTTTTATGGTTAAATCCGTATGGTGAACTTGCCAATATCACTTCTGTGACTATAGAAGGATCATCTTTGGTTAGTATTTTTATTAATTTTTTTTAGGTAACTAGTTTTACATATTTTAAAACTATAACATTGTAGATTACATTTGGTAAGCCAGTTTTACCAATGCCATTGGTTCAAGGAATATGGACAGTATTGTTAGTTTATGAAAATGTGACTATGGCTTACACTCAATTTCTAGTTATTCCTTCTCAGATTACTAAAGATACATACATATCTGCTAGTCAAAAAAGGTAAAATTTTATTACAGCATTAAATCACTGTAAATGTAATTTATTAAAAATAAAGATATGGTTTCAGCTTTATAAATAAAGGTCAGAATTCTGAAAAATTGATTCAAGAATGGGCAAGTGTAATAATTGCTTTTAAAAATTCCATAAAATTGGAAACAAAAATTAAACCAAACAATCGATTTAAAACTAAAATTACTGGTTGGATTGATAGTTTAATTATAAGGTATATTTATTTAATTCAGCTAGACTGGTATTAAAGAGTAATAGTTTTCTAGTAAACTTTTTCAAATAAATGTATGTATTGTATTATGATTATAATAAATTTATTATTTACTCGCAGTGCTTATAATATTAAAGAAACTTGCATTGTGGTTCCATGTAAATCTGTTATGGATTGTGAACTCACCAGATTAGTTAAATGCGCAGAAACATCATGGAGTTCCTATTCACCAGATCCAAAATCTGACATAATATCCATCAACAAGGAATCAGGAACTCTAAACAGGTACAAATGAATATAATATTTAAAGTTATTATTTTTAAAAGTAGATTCATAAAAATAGCTATTAGCTATGTTTATTTTAAAATATGTAAATATATTTTTACCCATATTATTATTTACCTAGGTTAATTATATGTTATGTTAAATTTTGAGTATAACCACCAATAAATTATAATATAATTTAGATTATGGCTCAACAAAAGATATTAGTTTTACAAAGTTATGATTTTTCTCTCAGAAAATACTTTTTCGGTTAGTAAAAATGTTCAAATATTTTCATGCCATACCCAAAAACACTTTAAGTTTTCTTTACTAATGGTACTTAATGTAAATTACCAAAATTGTAAACACAAAACATAGTGTATAAATATTAAATAATACTTTATATGAAAACATTTTCAAAGTTTCTAATATTTTTCTCAACAAATTATAATGAGCTTTTTTTTCATGCATTATTTTTAAATATCAGAATTTAAAGCCAGTAATAATTTTTTTGAATCATTTTAATTTGCAACAGTTCATTTCATAAGTCCTTTTTATTTGTTGATTTCTTTGACAACAAAAGAAAAACAACTAATACTATACTCTATTCAACTTAAGTACACCAGACGCTAGATGAAAACAGATCCGTTTTTGTGCATGCGTTCCCAACTGATTATTAGTATTATTTTATCAACTCACTCGCCTATCAATTGGTCCTGTCACTTCTACCACCTGTTGATTATCTTGCCGCTGATAAAAATGATATACGACATAATATGTAGTGAGCAAAATATAGGTATTTTGTTATAACCGTCTGACCACGTATACATATTTTCTCGCACAACCATTCTGTGTTTATTTAAATAATAGTTACAATTTACATTTTAAGTAACATAATTTTGCCATATTTCCCATTAGTTTGACTAAAATAGTATATGCCTGTATATTATGATGATTTATGACAGTCGCAAATAGCTAGAATATTTTTCAAATTTGACCATGTCTATAAAGGGCTAATATAAGTATTTGGTTGAGATTGCAGTAATCTTAACTATTTTAAAGTAAATTACAACAAACAGAAAAATTTAAAAAAAAAAAAAAAAAAAAAAAAAAAACAATATTCACATTTTTCTTTTCTTTTCTTAATTTTTCTCAATTATTAAGAAAACTGTTGAGAAAATTAAAAGATGACCTTCAAAATACACAAACTAGACAGAATTTTCTTTTTGAATAGTTGATACCACTTAAAGATAAGAGCGAGGTTCTGGTTCTGGTAGAAAATGGTTTATAGTTATGGAAACTTAAAACTAAAGAAAATTAATTCCTTTTCAGACATAAAAATAAAAATAAATCATAGTAAACCAATACCACTACAACACTTGGATTATAAAATTTAAAAAAATCAGTATAATTTCATCATTTGTATTTTTATTTTCAGATTTTAATTATTAGACTGACATAGTGCCATATCATTCATAACTAATTAAACTACTTTTACATAAAATATATTTCTACTTAAAATTGATGTACTATTGTACTTTATATTATCTTTTAAATATTATTAGTCCATCTGTAATTTATTTGAAATTTGCCATTCATTGAATCACTCAAATTTTAATTTATCAAAATTAAATGAGTTTTATAATAAATTACCTAGATCTTCTTGATAATATGTGTACTAGTTTAACTTTGGACGTTATTACCATTAATTCAAATAAGAATGTATAATTTAAATCAATTTACTCTTGCTTTCAAAAATAGATTTAATTATTTTACAATTGTTATAATAATTTTTACATATTATATGTGTTACCATTTTATAAAATGTCAAATTTTTGTCTGACAAATGAGAAACATTGCAATTTCTATTTGTAATTTTGTTATTCTTTTTATTTTACCTATTAATTAATTCTTCAGATGTTTTAAACCAGTAAAATAATAAGATTAAAAAATTAAATTAAGTTTTTAATTATATAACTGACATATTTGTTATGTTTCAACGATGATTTTTTATTCATAAATTACATTTTTGTTGTTAAATTCTTAAGTTAAATTATATTATATTTTATAAATAATATTGTGTATTATGATGTATTTTTTTATAATCTGGTTTATATAATATCAACAACATGATACAGGACAACATATTTAGATTTTTGAAATATTCTCTTTATCTACTCATATTTTTTTATTCTTTACCTAAATTAAAGGTTATATATATATTTTAAATAATTTATAAGTTTAGACTTTAATTTTCCCAAATTACATATTTAATAAAACAGTTTTTTTTTTTTTTTTTTTGTCACATTAATATTAATTAATACAATTTACTTATTTGAAAATTTTTTCTTTGAATATTATTAAAAAATGATCGATACATTTTTTTCAACATGTTTATTCTTTATTCAATTTCAAATAAATTGTATATTTTTTTAAGGGAGTAATTTTGCTAAATATTGTTTCTTAATTTCATCTCATTTTTAATAAACCCAATAAAAGAGAGGTAAGCCCAAAAAAGTACTTAAAAACTTTTATTTCTGACCTTATTAACCCTGATATTTTGTTCTATTCTATACATGTTAGTTATTATATTTTCATTGTATAGTATATACTTAAAGTATTCTTCTTTAAATAAAACATTATTTATATAGTCGTATATTCATATAGTCATAATAGTTATCAAACTACACCTTCTATTAATTAAACTAGTAAAATGATTATCAAGAATTTGTTTGATCTCAATTTATATAATTTTTGAAATCACTTTTATGTATAATATATTTATTTTTGTACAACTAATAATTATATAATGTTTAATATATTTAATTATTAATATTATAAATGTTAAAATGATTGTATAAATTTGACATAAACACCACAAATTGTTCTTAATTTCTAATTTTTAAGGGGGATTAAAATATTAAAATATAGTATTTCAATAAAAATAAATTAGTAAAAATTACAAATAATGACTTGTTTCTAACTTACTAAACACATATCATAATTATAAAATTATAATTTGCAACTTAATTTTGAAAAAAGTACATTTTTGGGTATACATTAAAAAAAATATTTGGAACCATTGGATACAGTGCCACCATAACTAGGTATTTGATTGGAATGCGAGCCAATTTTCTACTATAAAAAATGTATGTTTACTATTCAGTAATAATTAAGTATATTAAGTATCATACGACCAATCATTAAGACTTATCAATTGTCCAGGAGTGCCTTGCAACTCCTGTTGTTGCCGTGCTGATTTAATAGTGTATACTTATAAATTGTTTGATAAAAATAACCAAAAGTCTAACATTTTTTAATAAAACCTATAATAAATCTGAGACTAGTTCAGTTGTTTTATCCCTCTGGAAAATTCAATTGTCTTATGTAGTTCCCAAAAATAATAAGCAACAGTTATCAGTTATTAAATTTCATACAAAAGTTAAAAATATATGTTGTATTTCTATGCAATTATTTTTTATTATAGTTTAAGATTTGATGACAAAAATTTGATTTTTTTTTTTATTACAATGTCTTAATTTAGTCAGACATATTTTTATTGCTCACTGAGTGTTGTGTTAATTTAATTCATTGACTTCATGATTGATATTTTGTTTGATCAACTTTAATTAACTTTATTAAAAATAAGATTGTTATCATATTATAATTAACTAAACATATCATATTATTATTATTTTTCATAAATTGTTTTCAAAACATAGTACATAGGGGTAAAATGTTTTGTATCCAAATAGTTATTTACAGTGTTTATTATACATTTATTATTAAATAAAAATATATTTGTTTAATATGTATTATGAAATATATAATTGGTACGAGTTGAAATTTAGATAAAATAATTTGTACACTGTCAAAAAGTAGTAGTTGTATTCATTACTTGTAAAATTAAGAGTATAATTGTTTAAAATAACTACTTTTACCCAACACAAACTACTTTTTGTACATATTATGAGCATTTAAATCTATTTATACATTTTTAGTTTTCGTTATACTTATTTTTGTATACTTATTTAATATTTTATGAACTTTGTATTGTACCTTTTAATAAAGAAGGTTATTTTATTATATACATATATATATATATATATTCACACAGCAATCTTAAAATGTAAGTTTTATAGCAATAAATCTTTATTGTTATTATTATCATTATTTTATAGCTAAATAAATAATAAATTAATTCATACTAAATTTTGATAAAGAAAAAAAATAACTAATAAAAATAATTATTTATTATGTAGTAAATATTTAAATTTTTTAAAAAAATACATATTTGTACAGTTATTTGTTGAAATATATTTTTACAACAATTTTACGAGTTATTACTTATTTTAAATGTTATGTAAATTGAAAACTCTTAATTATCGCCTAGAGTAGGTTCTTTTTTTTCTAAGTTCAGCTTCTATTCTGAGTTGATTCCACTCGGCAACCAATGAATGCCTTTGAAGTTCAAGATGTCTACTAGTAATTGTTTGATGTCTGCTACTAATTGTTTGATGTCTGCTACTAATTGTTTGATGTCTACTAATAATTGTTTGTTGCCTACTACTAATTGTTTGATGATAATTTGCATGTAAATGAGCCATGGCATTAACCTGTGCGTGCCAACTATGTAAACCTAAAAATTATATCAAATTTATAAGTTTATTTTTTAATAAATTAAAAAAAGAAAAATTAAAAATCTTACTTAAATGTGATTTATATGGACTGAACATAAATGGCTTATCTAAGTCATATGTATGTTTGTATGCCATCTGTCTCTCCCTTAGTCTAATATTTAGATCCTTATATAAATAAAAAATTTAATTAATTGAACAATAGTTAGTGTGTATCAATAATTATATCAAAAAATGTTTACTATTTATTAGATTCAAATTTTAAAATGATTTTTAGTTTTTTAGTACAGATTTTTATTTTATTTTTAATAAAATACTTAAGGTATCTTATTGTATAACATAATAAAACCTTACTTGAATGGGCTGAATAGGCAACTTGAAACCAGGCTGTCGAGCACTTATACTTCTCGTTTCCATAGCAACAAAATCATCAACATGTAATGATGGTGGTCTTGATGTGTTTGGTAAACGATAACGGAATGTTTCAGATCGTTGTATTGTCCCAAGTCTACTAAATACTTTATGGCGTATAGGCATTGTAGATATAACTGTAAGAGATTAATAAAATAATAAACTTATTATTACAAATTTATTTGTAAATTGTGTTTTTACCCGATGTATTCACATTGTTATCCTTTTCGTTTTTCTCAATTACAACAGGCTCGACTTGTTGATGTACAATTGGTTCTGTTTGAACAATACATTCTTCTATTTTAAATAAATCATTTATTTTATCTTTGATATTGAAATCGGGTAATTCTGCCATAACTTGTTCAATACTACACTCTTCCAGATTCTTTAAAGCTTCAGAACTCAAATCATTACTAGGGTTTATATAATTTTTGTCAATATTTTCAACAATATAAAAATGTCTATCTTTAAATGTAATCGCCAAATAGTCAACTGTAGGAAGTTGTGGTTCAGTTAATTCTACTATTGATTCTTGGTTATTATTCAAAAATTCAGCTAAATCAATTAAATGTTTATAACAAATAGAGTCATCTTTTTGTGTAATTTCTTTTAATAAACTTATTGGATGATTATCTTTAGGAACATTTAACCAATCCAAATACCCTTTTATCTGATTTGTATTCATATATAGTAATCTTTTTGAATGGATTTTATGTCTAATACAAGAGTCTATTAGTTTTATAGTATTTTTTAAAGTACTTACACAGTGGTAATCTGATTTATTCCATTTGTGTAATATATTGTTGAAAACATTATAAAAAGGCTTAGGATATGAATCTAAAACTATTTTAAATTGATAAAATCCATAATCGTTTTGAATGATCATTATGCATGTCTTCATAATTAAGGATAATGTACTTAGTTGTGTACAAGTTTCAAATAAACTCAAAAGTGCTTTTAAGATAGTGTTTAAAAACTTTTTGTTCAGAACACTGGGTTCAGGTAAATTCTCTTCGGAATAAGTATTACATAATGTTTTATCATTATCACATAAACATTGTATGAACAAAATAGAATGTTCATGCTCATCTACTTTAATGTTTTGACATATTTTTTGAATGAGTTTTTCATAATTTTCTTGCGTTTTTTCCTCATTTAATATTTGTAGGATTCCAGTTTTCAATGCTATATGTTTCTTATTTCCACATAACTGTAAGAGAAAATCTAAATACCTGTTGAAACTATCATTGTTATCAACATTTATTATTACATCCAATAGTGACTGTGCAACAAACAAACACATGGAAATACTTAAATCAGAAATTTTAACACATAAACATAACATAGGCTGTAATAATAAATTACTTGTACCCAAAATTGTAATAAGATCAATCAAATCAATATTTAATTTAGACAAGTGATCCACCCACGTGTTACGGAAAGATTTTAGTGACGTAACAACGGAATCCTCTAGAGGTCTCAGAGTTTGAATTGGTAATGGCGGAGGTAATAATTTACATAATAGTACTAATCCAGGATAAAAAAGAGATGGACAGGATAATGTCCAGGCTAATACTTCTCCTATAACTGAAGATCCAATTTTGATTTCTACATAAGCCTTAAATGTTTTGGTTATATCCTTGATTACTTTTATGGCATCTTCTCGGATTACAGAACATTCAGGAACATGATGCATTAAATTGTATAGTTTTAGAAGTATTTTGATAGGAGATAAATCTTTGAACATATTTCCTCTGCTTTGTATTAACAGTGTGAGCATACATCTAATCAATACCATAGAAGGACAAATAATAGATATTATATTCTTGGCTTTATTGCTTGTTAATTTCCAAACATTTACAGAAGGTTGTTTATAATTGTCACATATCTTATCAACAATAGTTAATAAATTTCCTAACATATCGTATGAATACATTTGTAAAGTAATATATTTATATTTAAGCTCAACGAAATCGTCCACTCCATCAAACACTGATTCGTCATTTGAAATTCCTAAGTATTTTAAAATTCGTAAAGTAGTTATTAACGTTTTGTTTATGTGTAAACAATTATCTACATTGTTTTTGACAATATTACACAATTCACTAACATCATCATGAAAAAATGTAGTGTGTTTCATTGCTGGTAATGTCCAAGCAATTAGATCATTAATTATGTGTTTGCATGCCAATTCATATATCAACGAACCATATTTTTTTAAATAGCTTACATCTTCTGCATTTTCCATAATGGTTATCATTAAATCAAATGCATACATAATATGTAAATCATTTGTTTTTGATTTTGATTGTTCCATATATTTAAAAAAATTTAGAATAACATCCAAATTATCTCCCATAGTCAAGACGTGCACTACAGCAGATTTTCCGATTGAAGATTGAGTTAGTAAAAACACATCATGGAGTATATCAACAGAATCCATTTGATGTAATTTAAAATCATGCAATAAATTACACTCCCAAAAATAGTTCAAATAATCTACAAGAGCTAATACTTTGACTTTGTAGATTAGTACCAGTTTGAACTCTGGATTAACTTTGGCAAGAACTTTTATTAATTTGTTGACCTCTTTATGTCTGCAACCCAAATACCTGAGGCCATGATCACAATTCAACAAACTCTGCAAAAGTTTTAGTATAATTTGTTCTAAAGGATGTTTAATTATTGGTTGATCTAATAGATTTGTAATACAGTTGATGAGCGATGATTCATCAAATAATCTATAAATAGTAGAATAAACATCATAGTGTGTTAATGTTGGGGTGAGCTCAAACTGGGCGTGAGCTTGTAAAAACCTTTTCGGACAACCCATTAAAATGGGAGCTTTAATATATATAGTATTTATTTCTGTCAAACATTCTTGTAATATCAACTCAGACTCTAAATCCAAAATTTTTGTATGGTCATTTATTTTTTGCAATAACTCATATAAATGAAGTTTTCTTAAAATACTAGTCACTAAAAAGCATACACGTGGTCTCTGATGTATTGATAATATTTTCAATAAAGTACTATATCCATTAAGGTCATCAAAAACTTCATCAAATAAAAACAGCCTTATAGGTTCAGAACCATTAAGACTAGAATCTAAGGTACGCAAGATATTCAACTTAAGAGATAGACTCATATGTTCAACAAAAAATAGATTAATTAACTTATTATGAATTTGATGGTGTTTAATAAGATGCTCGGATAAATCCTCATTGTAATGGCAAAGTGCTTCGATCATTTTGAGACCAATTTTTAAATGACGAATAACTAATGTTGTCATCGAAACATGCTCCTTTAGAGCACAATTGAAATCAAGTGTTATATTCACCAACGAAAATAACTTATGACAATATTCTAACAAAATAAAACATATTATAAAATTATTTATCAACAAACCAGTTTAACGTAAATGTAATAGCATGTATATGAATTTTATCATACCTGGAATATTTAAAACATGACATAAAGTTTTAGGTAAAATTAAAACAATTCGATCTGCCATATCAATCCATTTTTCATTTATGTCAATGTCTTTTGATAATAAATATTCTAAGCAATCCACAAGTTCAGAAACTTCATCACATTTAGAATCATCACCCAATTTTCTATGAATAAATTCAAATAAAGATAAAGATGGATCCTGGATGCTCTATAAATATAACATATTATAGATAAGCATATAACTTGTTTAGAATAGCTTGCTATAATTATTTCAATGTCTAAAAATATAATTCACTCACTCGAAGTGGAGTAGCTTCAAATATAGATGGGCTAAAATCTTTGATAATCATATCATCTGTATATTCATTATAACTTTCACCAATATCGCTATTCTGAAAAAGAAAAACGAAACAATAATGTAACTAAACTCATTTTCACAAAGTAAAAATCATGTTAATTGTGTATAATTAATGTGAAATATAACCAGTGCATCTTCTTCACTGTTCATTGCAATATCTTCATCACTACTTATAGCTTCCAACAACATATCTCCTTTATTTACATTGGATTTGTCTACATTATTCAATTCTGTTTTGTGTACATTACACGTTTGTTGTGATAAATCTAAAACAAAAATATCTTTGAATATTATTGTATGGAACTGCATCAAGATGTAGTATATCAATAAATATTGCCTACAACAGTTTCATATTTATTTTAATACATTTTATTGTGATTCATCTGAACACAAAAATATGCAATGATTATTTTACCATTTTCACAGTATGATTTAGGTATATTTTCGTTGTCATTTTCAGTAGACAGCACGACCTTAACAGTATGCGATTTTGGTATTTCTGTGTTTTGAATAATTTGGTCTTCAATGTTTGTTTTTGTATTTGCTAATTCTTTTCCTTTTTTAGATAATTCGTTTTCACAATTGTATTCCAATTGTGAATGAGAACTTAATGAAGAACAATCAGATTCTGAGCTATTTTCTCTATCATATTTTCTTTTCATTTTGCTACTTACAGTTAATACCTACATACCAATATTGTACAATTATTTTAAAATAACCATAGTGGCATAGTCTAAGAGGAAGACTATAAAGAATTCAAGACCATAAACATTAATTAATGACCATAAAATAAAGAAAAAACCAGATAAACACTATAGACTAGAGATAAGAAGTCACATTAGTTATCACGGTCTTAGATTATTTTATATTATTACCGAAAATTAGAATACCAACGAATTAAGATATGCATTATTAGTATATCTTAATTCGTGAACAATACCACAAAATTGGTTAAGTAATCTCACCACTTTTAAATCTTGCTGGTAACACCACGGTTATAGATAATTTAATCCAGCGATTCTCAACTTGTGTTACGTGGAAAGCTGGAGGGTGATACGTGAAGATAATATTAATTGATAAGTGAAAAAAAGTTATATAATGCTTATAGTTATATAGATTTAATAATACATATATGTAAAATAATGTACATATTTTATTTTTTTTTTTAAAAAAAAAAAAGGTTAATAACTGTCAGTGATACGTGAAAAATTTTAAAATGTGTAAATGTTATGAAAGTATTAAAAGGTTGAGAACCGCTGGTCTTATCTATAGCCGTGGATTTTATGAGACGATTCTCACTCACAAGTCACAGTTACGACAACCGTATTTTGATATGATAATAGAGATAAAAAAAGCCGACATTTAATAATGAAATTTTGTTTTCATATGCTTTATTTTGTACTTTACATTCGTACAGGCTATTTTCTAATAATAACGTAATTTATGATTATATTTATTAATTAATACTTACTGTTATTTCTATTTGCTTAATAGTACCCAAAACTTAAAGTGATAGCATTTAAAAGTGTATGAAGTTCACACATATATTACTTATATATGTACAGTTTACTTTGTAATAATTGTGTGAGTAATTTGTAATATTAGCTTTTTATACCAAAAATGGCCAAAAAAAATGTTCGGAACATTTTTAAAAAAACTGACTCAACCGTGGTAATCAATACTTCAAATTCTCCAGAGTACAAGACATCGGGCACTTTTAATCAAATTGAAGCAAACAAGGATCCGGAACTCATACCACACTGCATCAGCTCATTTTGTTATTTAGGCCTGTTTGTCTGGCTTTTATTGGACAAAAATTACAATCTATTACTTGATCGTAACTCCTTGGTTATTGTTGTTACTTGTTACACAATCGAATTTGTTAAATTTGCATGTCATTCTTATCTAGTCAGTAGAATTTCCAACCAAATTAAGTTAAAAACCAATCCTATTTTTTGGATGTCTCAGTTTATATTTTTTACAATATTGGCAGTAGGTGTAGCGTATTTTTTCTCCATTCTATTTGGCGCACCATTGATCACTAAACAAGAACAAACTTTTGTATTTTCTATACTCATAACTGCAGTCATAATCACACCAACTGCCATTCAATTAGGGTCAAATATACTTCCATTACTATTGACTGATTGTTTGGAAAATGAATTTGCCAGTACTATTGAAGTATACGAAAGGAATAATTTTCGAATTACAATTTTAGGAGCATTTATCGGTGCTGCAGTAATACCATTTGATTGGGAAACTGAATGGCAACGTTGGCCAATCCCATGTTCTGTAGGATTAATTGGTGGACATTTATTGGCTAATGTATACGAAATTATATGTTGGCAATTTAAATCATTAAAAAAGTATTCTTTTAAGAAAAACAAATTTTGATAATTTTTGTATTTTATTAAATACAAATACATACACAAACACATTAAATGACCAAAAACCATTATTGTATTCTTAAAAAATTAAATAACTAGACATTTTAATGTGTTACACTAGGTTAATTTAAATATTTAATTTATTTTATAAAGTGATTTCTTTTTTTTATATTATTAAATAATGTTAATATTTTATAATGTATTAAATATACAATCCATGATTTGTTATAAATTGTTGAACTATTAAGTATAAATAATATATTTAAGTAATTGTAGTAATTTTTTTATAGTAAATGCATATAATTTAATACTTGCATAGTAAATATGTTCATAGTTTGAAATTGTGTAATATTTACCCAATTTATTATTTTGTATTTAGAATTGTCTCGTTTACCACTAACATTTTTGAAAGTATTAAATTTCCTTGTAATGTACTTAATTTTTTAATGTGTTTAAGTATATCAGTATTATAAGATTTAATGTACAGATTTGACATCCTTGCTTTTAATTTGAAAACAAAATATTAACTTATATCTATAAGAAAAAATTCATTATATAATCATTATATTGTAAGTGTTCTATAATGCATATTTTATACTAATAATAAATTCTTTGTGATACAGATTTAGCTTTGTTGATAAATTTTCTTTTAAAACTCAAGAACTGTACGAATACTGAAATAAGAATAAAACAATAAATTATAATAAATAACAAAACTAAAGTATTTTATTTTTAAATAACTAACCTTTTTCCTGAATGCAGTAATTCAAATCCTTCATTTATAAATGTGAATGGAAGTTTATGGCTTATAAATTCATCTAACATCAATTTTTTATCCAAGTACTTACAAACTAAGTTAGGAATACTTTCTTTACTTTTCCATCCTGAAATATTTAATAATGTTGAATAACATTTTAATGTTTTAATGTCCATAATGAATCATGAACGTTTCGCCACCACACCAAAATCAAATAAGCGGACGTTTTGTCCCCTGCGATAGAACATTTAATTCCCAAAAATAATTAATCAAAGGATGGTTCACCTCCCAATATTTATGATACGAAGTAAAATGTAGGGGTACTATAGTTATAGTTGGTAACAGGGTCACAGTTGGGCACCATATTTTTAATGTCATATACTATACATTTCTACCATATCAAATTAAAGTAACCTAAAGTATGAACTATATTTAAATAATTAAATTTATTTTATAATTTTATATATTTATACATAATTATTTTATGATTGTTATTTCAAAATCAAAATTGCCGATGTATATAAGATAGTCAATAAATAATAATAATAATGTACTTACTATTATCACAAGAAGTTTTAATACAATAATTAATGTTGTTTATGGATAATGCAAAACTCAACATTTCTTATAAAACCACTATTTTAGAAGTGTAAACTTTATATTATTTAATTATTTAAATTTGACCATTAGTAAAAATAACATAGTACATCAAACACCTTTCCTGTTATCGGGAATTAAATGTCCTACTTTCAGTATTGTGGATATTTACTATTCATAATATATTACGCACATACAATCATAGGTGCCTACCTTTAGATTTTAATATGGGATCAAATAAAAAACTAAAATTACTATACATGGTATTTTTTTTATACATAAAAGCAAAATACTATATTAACGGGTAACCTCAGTTATAACTGTAATATGGGAACTACCTATACCCCCCTTAAAATCAAAGTATAGGGGCAATTATCCACCTAGCTCCTGTGAAGTCAACGCCTATGCAAATGATAATACTATATATTATAAAAAAAAATACCTCCAAATGCAGTTCCTTTCCAAGTACGCCCTGTAACAAGTTGAAATGGTCGTGTAGAAATTTCTTGACCAGCACTAGCCACACCAATAATGACAGACACACCCCAACCTTTGTGGCAAGCTTCTAATGCAGCTCTCTATGATAATAAATAATAAAACTTAATAAATATTAATTTATAATATTATTTTTATTTTGCTTGCCATAGTTTTAATATTTCCAATACATTCAAATGTATAGTCTAGTCCACCATCAGTCATCTCGATGAGAACATCTTGTATAGGTTTTTCATATTTCAACGGATTTACAAAATCAGTAGCACCAAACAATTTAGCTAAAATTAACAAACATAATAACAACATAATTGATAATTTTCTATAAATAATATGTATCATAATGTAAACCTAATTCAAATTTGCTTTCATTTATATCTACGCCTATGATTTGCTTTGCACCGGCTGCTTTACAACCCATAATCGCAGCCAACCCCACAGCTCCTAGACCAAAAACAGCACATGTAGAGTCAGATTCAACTTTTGCAGTGTTAAGAGCAGCTCCAAATCCAGTTGACACACCACATCCCAAAAGACAGATTTTATCAAAAGCTGCAGTAGGATTTACCTAAATAAAATAACAGTATGCAGTAATTGATTTAAATATTATTTTTATAAGAAGTGAATTAATAATAATTTTGCATATGTGTACAAACAACTTTATTAAATTAATTTAAAGAAGTAAAATAATATTGTACAATATTTTTAGATTCAAGTAAATAATTAAATTACCTTGCACAATGAAATATCAGCAACCACAGTGTATTCACTAAATGTAGAACACCCCATGAAATGATACAGAGATTGTCCTTTACAAGTAAAACGAGAAGTACCATCAGGCATTTTACCTTGACCCTGAGTAACTCTAATTTTACTACACACATTAGTTTTAGGAGATAGACAAAATTTACAGTCTCCACACTGTGGAATATATAATGGAATGACATGATCTCCTGAAATAAGTCATTACTTTTTGTTCATGGACTTAACATATAAAATTAGTAGGTATGAAAATTTTTTTTAAAATCACCTGGTTGAAATTCTCTGACATTTGGTCCAACACTTTCAACAATTCCTGCTCCTTCATGACCCAAAATACAAGGAAAATTTCCTTCGGGATCGTTACCACCCAAAGTATATGCATCTGTATGGCATATAGCTGTGGCAAGAACTTTTAATCTAACTTCATTTTCTTTGGGTGGCTCTACTTCAATATTTTCAAAAATTAACGGTTTGTTTGCTTCCCAAGCAACAGCTGCCTTACACTTAATTATCTGAAAAATATTATTATGGATTTTATAATTGAATTATCATTACCACCAATTTTGTATTACCTTTCCTACGGTATCTTCCATAGTTCTTCTGTTGTATTTATAACTATTCGAGTTAGGTTAACCCAGATGACTCAGATAGCTGTATAGTTATAGTTCTGTGTTCACTGATAAGTCGTTAACTGAAATTATAGGAGAATTCTAACACAGATTATTGAAGTCAGTTTGTCAGCCATCAATTACTCTTATCAAACATAACAATCAACAGGCCAAAGGGTAGGGTATAAAATAACAGTGCATGGTACCATAATAATTTATCTGTTGTCAATTATTTGTATACACTTTTGTTATGCAAGTATGTAACCTTTATAAATAAAAATTTCAATAGAATAATTTATATGACAATATTGCATTGCCTATCATTTATTCGTACAACATATAAATAATCAGACAATTATATGTGTATTTAAATACTAACTTTATTTGTTATTAAAATTGTTATACTACAATATTGATGCTATTATAATATGATAGTTTTTATTAATGTCACATTTTTTACATTATTACACAATAACTATTTTTATCAAGTATAAATTTACATTGATTAAAATATAGATAAAAATTATTTTCTTGATGTTCATTATCCAGTAAGTTTTATTTTATGTTCCAAAACCTCCACGGCAGTTGGGACTACTTTCGATCGGTTCATTTATCCATTGGTCTGGAGTTTTAGCCACTATTGACAATGCGTGTACACCTGACTTTAACTCATCGGCTAGTAAATGATTTACCAAACGATGTCTCTGTAACAACATTAGTTTATTATAAATGGCTTCACACATTTAATCATTTTTATTCAGTTTACCTTGATCAAAGACAAGCCTTTAAATTCATCAGATACAATAAGAACTTTGAAATGTGTTTCTGAGCCTTTTGCTACATTATGCATATACGATTCATTAACAAGTTGTAATACTGTCGGGTTAAATCTATTTTGTAATTTTTTCCGTATACAATTTTCTACGCACTTGGATGCTGCCGACATCATAATTTACAACGTTTAACAGTTCTTTTTTTAATCAATTTTTGTCATCACATTTAAAGACATGTTTATAATTTATATGTTTATGATATTAATTCTATGTGATTAATTCTTATCTATGGAGGTTGGAGGTTATGGTCGGTATTTATCAATATATTTTATTCACAGAAAAAAAAAATGGTTGAGGACATGAAGACTTGTACCATAGATAAAAATATTAGGTTCGTAACCATGGTCTAAAACGGTTTATAACATAGTAAATAACTAAAACTAAAACGTAGTTTTTTTAATCTGTGGTCTAGAACATGAAATCTATAAATCATTATAATATATCATAGAATAATATTTCAGACTCTATAACATAATATTAATATTATATAATAGAAAACTACTCTTCTATGGTCAAAAAATTCCCTAGTTTTAAATGATGAGTACGATTAAATATAGTGATGATTAGAAACTGAAGCGATTTTCTTTCCATGATTTTCTCATATATATATTTATTAATAAGTCTGGGATTTTCTATGATAAATTATACATAAATTTAAAAAAAAAAATATTGACATATTATGCACAATATAGTGCATAATATAATCTATTAAGTATATGGTTATAAGCCATTAGGAAGCGCTAGGACTAACTACATATTTAGGTACGACAATTTTATTTGCCTCGGCTGCCATTCTGGGGACCGAGTCTTATGGTTTTTTATTATTTAATACCGCGGCCATATCTTATCATAAACCTCAATATAATCATTGAGCTCTATATGATATTATCACAAAGTTCAATGTTAACATGTATTCATATTTATAGTTTATATTAATATACATAGATAATAAATCTTTATTATCTATGCTAATATGTTACTTATAAAATATTATGTCTAGGATACTAAATATATAGATGGAACCACGAATTAAGATATGTCTTAATTTGTTGATGGAACATCTCAGTAATGCCCGGGTGGATGATGGGGTAACTCGTAATGACACAGCAGTAATGCCATTTCTTACGACTAAAAACATTGTTATTAACGGCATTCTGTTCACAACTACAACTTACTGTATAATGTATAGTAGAATATACTATAATATTCTTTGATGCATGGCTAAATATATAATATAAGATTAAGCGTACTTTATCTTTATACGGTGTCACGTGTGCGATGTACCATGTACTACTTTGATCAGTGCACTCACGCATGGGACGCTGGAACTACAGACCGCCATATTTGTTGACTAATGATTAGTGTAAAACACTATTAAAAATATATTATAGATATCTTTAACCATGGTATTAAGTTCATCATATCATTCATTCATCTATACATTATCACCATCTAACTGTTGGAGTTACAATACAATACAATACAATATCTTTCACATTGTGTACATGTGGCAGACCTGAATAACATAACCTTGTTTAAATTAAAATGTAATAGATAAAAAACGATGGCAAATAATTGTTAAATGAAATTTCTTTTATCTTTACCACAATATCATAACATTCGTAATGTGAAATCTGTGTGGTATAGTGTACGTCGTTTACGGTACCCAGGGTACCGAAGCTATTATAATGTTTATTTTTCTAAGTTTTTCTTTTTAATTTAGAAAATTAAGTAGTATTTTAGTTCTTAAATCAACGTAACTCATATAGTTCATTTTAAATTGTGAAATGGATGCAGAATTTATGCAGCAAGTGGCTTATTTATTCTTTGATATCACTTGTAGTTATTAGTTATATATTAGGTATTAGTTACAGTTTTTATCATTGTATTTTTAAACAATGGAATATGGACAAACATATATCTAATGTGAATAGTGAATGCTCAAGTGAGTTATCAGAAACTCAGTCAGAACACGAAGCTCGTGTATACAGCATTATCCATCATAATGATTTCTCAGGGACAGCTGGAGTGCCGTCAATTGATCCAAAGTATGGTGTAGAACTCAATTCAAATGGTGAAGTAATAGTATTTCTTAAAGATTCATCTAATACACCAAGTAACCAAGCAAATTGTACTCCCAATATATTTTCTAATGTTTGCAATAATAGTGGTGTTACAATACCAATAATCAATTTGGATGATAATGACATGTTAAGTTCGAAAAATACTACTACTGTTATCGATAATGAATTTGCCGAAACGAGTTTGAAAAAAAAGAAAAAGAAGAAAAAGAAAAAAATAAACTTAAATGATAAAAGTATTGAGGAGTATATTGAAATTGTTAAAACAACAAATGCTTTACAAGAGTATAAAGAGATAAGTGGGTTAAATCAAATAAAACCTAAATGTAGTAATGCTGATAATATGGCTCTAAATGTCAGTTTAAATGTAAATGAACGTGGGATACCAATGAAATCAAGAGAAATTTTGAAACAATACAGTATTGGAAAGCCAACTGAATGTAGTTTATGGTATAGATGTCCTAAAACATGGACTCCAGAAATGGTCAAATTTTATACCAAAATTAGAAAGTCAAAACGCAATTTTGATTGTCAAGAAGTTGTGAGAAAAATTAAAGGTTGGTACTTGTAAATACTATATTTCTTTGAATTTATCATACTAGATAATAAATAATTTATATTTTTAGAAAAACATGGTTCCAATCCTGTTGATTGGACTTTAAGTCCTATGGATTTATATAGATCGCCTTCAAATAGAAGTAATAATATCAAATGTTATATTTGTAAAAAACTCGGCCATACTGGGAATTATTGCAAAGAGCGATTTAAGCCTGAAATTTGTATAATGTGTGGATTGGAAGGGCATAATTATCATAAATGTTATAATAAATGTTGTTTATCGGTAAGTTTTACTAAATAATAATCAAATAAATGTTACATTAAAATGTTTAAAATGCAACCTAACCAAATGACATCAAAAAGATTTTTGACCAAAACAATTCAGGGCACTGAAAATCTTATTGAATTAACTCAAAATGTATAAATGATATTTAACAGTTTCAGCTTTTATTTTAACTAAATGTATATTGTCTATTAAGCTTAAATACTGAATACAACTTCAATTTATTTATAGATTTGATTTTTCTTTTTAGTGTGGAAAATGGCAAAAAAATTTTACAAGTAACTGTTCTGCTTGTTTATCAAATAGTAGAGTTGTGTGTAGTATGTGCGAAAGAGTTGGTCATGGTTCAAATTATTGCACAGAATCTTGGCGCCAATTTCATAGTACTGTAAGTAATTAGCATTTAAAGGACCATAAGGTTACTAAATAACTTAGAATTATATTACTATAATTTAAAATTGTATAATGCTTGTCTAATCAATGTAATCAGATTTTGAATGGTGAATTTAATTAATTTTTTTTAACAAATCTTTTTATTTTTTTATTATAAAGGGTGTCCCATGATGATATACCAATTTAATGACTATATACATGTATATTGCAACTAATCTTGTTTGTTTTGGTAAAAATAAAAAAATAATAACTTATTATTTTTGAAAAATATAAAAATAGCCATTCTTCTGAAAATTTTGATTGACTGTTCAATTCTTTTCTCTGAACTTATTAAAAAATACTTATTAAAAAAATATTGAAAATTATAAATTTAATGAAAATTAAAAGTTGATATGTTAAAATTTTTATTATTATAATAATAATATATAATATACTCTGTAAAATGGCTATCTTTAAATTTTTCAAAAATAAATTAAAGTTATTTTTTAAAAATTTTACCAAAACATACAAAATTAGTTACAATATAAATTTTTGTAGTCTTTATTTCAGTAAAAAAAAAAAAACAGAATTTGATTATCTTCATTATCTTCAGAGATAATACAATGAGTATATCTTTGTAGGTACCCTGTATATTACATTTTATTTATAAGGAGTCTTTAAAATTGCAGTGGTGGCGATATTTATTGTCATTAATGTTGGCCAACATTATCAATATTGTGGTTATTTACTTAATTATTTCAATATTGAGATTCAAAAATATTTATTGAAAATATTTTGAGATGATTTATTGGGGCTCAATAACAATAAAGTTTATGGATGACTAAATACTAAATAGTATAATATAAAAGTATATTATATAAAGTAGATAATAAATTATGTCACATGGCGATATATTTCAAAGAAATAGTCCGCCACACCAAAAAATTTAATTAAAATTCAGTTATTACTAATTTTACATACTTTTAAGTATGTTAATTACATAGAATGTAATTTGTTGTGTTGTGGCAAACCTATTTCAAAATGCAAATCGATTTTGGAAAAATAAAAATGATATCAATGATTAAAAATATATCATTGGCTAACACTAATTACCCTAGATTATTATACTGTATACTGTAAATAATCAGTTTAGAAACTGGTTCAAATATGACTTACCATAACATGTTGCTATGTTATGTTTTCTATAACCTGGTTAGGTTACAGAAAACATAGTTATTTTAATTCATGTTTATTTGTTGTAAGTTTATATGATTGTTATTATATAGTAATGACTAGGGCTCTGATTTATATGCGTTTGCATGTTTTTTTAACAGTCAAAAAGTAGCTAGATAAACTACAAGTTTGGATTTGGTAGACTTGAAATACAAAGTTTTATTTTGAATATTTGCATATTTTGTCATTTTTTGATGTGTACTGCATATTTCTGTATTTTACTATTGTTCGGTTTTACCTACATATACCCATGGTTCGTAAGGAATTTGTTTCTTATATTATCTAATCACTTCTATATAAAGAAAATTCGGTTAATTTGAAATCATTTTTTGTGTATTTTAATGGTAATCAGTGCTTTAAATGCATGCATGTTTTGTATATTTTTAATTCATATAATTCCGGGTCATAGTAATGATTAATCTAATGACCTATATACACATTATTAATGATAAGGCTTCAATTTTTTCAAGAACATAATCCAAAAAACAAAGACTGCAAAATTTAAGTTGATGTAGTATAAGGTAGAATACTGAAAATATTTTAATATATACACATATTTATAAAAAAAAAAAAAAAAACAATTTTATGGTGGATAGGTCTCATATTAATACACAAATTTAGCGTTGGTCACATATTGAATCTACCCTTAATTTAATGTATGCCACTAAGTATCTTTAGTACTGCATTTTTGAAGACAACCTGAGTTATAGGTATATTAAATAATTAATAATAATTAAATTTAATAAATATATAAATAAAAAATGTATACTGCAGTTGCATTTTACATTTTGGCTGTGATATACCTAATAATGAATTTTTAATTCAAAACCAATCGTACAATGCATTTATCATAATACTCCAGGCGACGCATTGATTGATTTATTTATTTTATTTTTATTTATATATTTATTTACTTTATTTATTTACAAGTATTAACCATTTTAATATTTTGTTTTTACTTTATTATTTAATTATTTAATAATAATTGTTATTATTATTTATGCTTACTTATGCTTAAGTGAACCCAGTGCCCCAAACTCCTACTAGAGGAAAGTCCAGGTGGGACATTTCAGCAGGCATATGGTATTGTTTCTGTAAAATGGAGTAATTCATCTTATAGTTTACAATAACATTCTCCCTGTGGGAGAGGATCAAAATATTACCTATGGTACCTGTACCTCTCATAAGAGGGGACAAATGGAGTTGTCTGGTTGACAGCCAATGTAAAATTCTGTGAAACGGTATGAGGAGATTTAAACTAAACTTTGGCATATTGATCCATCTTGGATGTGCGCGGGAACAACAGGTGAGAGGAGATACCGTGGTTTATGATGTTTGTAAATTATGAGAATATGTTGTATGAGAAAATATGGAAGAAGTTAACAAGCTTGAGGAATGATGAATAACACTCAAAAAAATAGGACTTAGAATAAGTAAAAGTAAAATAAATTATATAGAATATGAGTTTAGGGGAACAGAACAAGACAGTCAACAACAGTAAGTAGTGGCATAATAGGTGAGGGTGAGAGTTTTAAGTATGTACCTTAATCTTTTGTACATAAGAACTGTAGCTTTGACGAGAGTGTGGTTAAATAAAGTTTGGAGAAGCTTCAGGTGTTTTATGTGATAAGAAAATTCTAGTTAAACTTAAATGTAAGTTCTAAAAAAGTGTAGTGAGAGTGTGGAGGTAGTAGAGGAGGGAGAGAGGAGAATTCTTAAGTGAATGAGTGAAGTGACAGGAGAAGACAGGATAATTAATAAGTACATTAGCGGTAGTTTACGTGTGGACTTAATAATAGACAAAATTAAAGAAAATTGATTGAGATGGTTTAAGCATGTCATGCGGAGAGAGGAATCTGAAGCAGTAAGAATTGTAATGTAAATAAATGTAGGGGAATAGTAAGACTAACAAAATGGTGGTTGGATGCGGTTGAGAATGATAATAAAAGGATATTCAAGGACAGCCACTGTATGTGAGATGGGTGATCAGGTCAAGTAGAAGTTTAGAATGAGGGGGGATGTGGGATGTAGCTGAACCCACATAATTGGGATAAAGGTGAAGGAGAAAAAGAAAAAAATGAATAATCATTATTTATGTCATTTTTATGTAATAACAATAAAAGGTTAAATGACAAATTTGAACTATTAAAACAAAACTTGCCTATTTAAGTTTATAAGAGGTTTATGAAGTTATTCTTATTGTTTAAATCATTACCTATATAAATTTCACTGGGTACAAAATATATCATAGTTTCTTTTTCATATGCAAAATTGCATAAAAATATTTTATTTACAGTTACAGCTAGCAAATTAATTACATGGCTGCTAAGTATCGTATTTATTTTGCTAAAAGTATTTAAAATTAAATTTAAAAAAACATTCAAATCACAAATTATAGTTTTTGAAACAAATTACTATAGTTTTACAACTTGTTAAAGGACTTTCTTGTTTCTTTTGTCATTAGTCATTCTTTGATGTAGATAAATATGTAAAAAATAAAATTGTATTTTTAACATTATTTTTAAAGATATTTTTTGTAAAAACAAAAAAAAAGTTTATAGCAGTTTTTTCTAATTTACCAATATTCACTCTTTCCATGTCCAAATACTTGTCTTATAAATTATACATTGTGTAAATGAATAATTAGTTGAGTTGTTATTATGTTATATTATTATAGTAATATGAAAAAATTTCAGTGATGTCCAATCAATATGTAAAATAATGAACACATTTCTATCTTAACAAAACCATAATTTTCATGTTTTAGATATCTACTATACCTGAAGGTGATGAACTTCTTCAATCTACCTCTAAATCAAATTGTAAGGTCACGTTGGCGCAGTCTACTAAGAGGAAATCTGAAACTATATCGAGACCATTGACACCCGAAGTTAAAGAGATAAGTAACGAAAGTCCAATAACTGATAAATCTGTTAAGATGTCACATAAAAGAGCAAAACGATTAAAATCAATACAATTGTTACAGTCAAATGTAAAAAATTCAAAAAATAATGTAACAATACCTGACAATCAGGCTATTAATATTGATGTTAATATTCAAGATATTACAGTGGAACGTACTTTGACAAAAAAACATTTTATGAAAAAAAAAAAAAACGATAGAAATTAAATAGAAAATAAGTGTATAGGTACTCAAGGTTAATTCAAATGACTATTTACTTAAATAAAAATTAGTTTTTTTTTAATGTGTTGTAAGTTGGTCGTATCATGTTGAAAATGGTAGCATTTAACAATTTTTGATTAAATATTTATGTAGATTACATTACTTATTGGGCATTTATAAACACTATACATATTAAATATTTTTTATAAAGTTTAATATATATGTTTCAGATAATAGCTGAAGTCTTGCATAGTTTTCATATATTTGAATTAATGTTCTTTATTTTATTAGCATATACTTTAATATTGTGTACCAACCTTTAAACCTAACATTTAAGTATTACTTTAATATTGCGTACCAACTTTTAATGAATCTGTGTACATTTGTATATTAAATAGCCAAATCTTAGGCAATTTTTAATTCTGTATTAGTTTTTTCCAAACCAAGAAAATATAAATATTTAGCGGTTTTTTATGATCTATTTTGTTTTCTAATTTTTATTTTAAAATTTAATTGTGTAATCCTTTCATTGGGAAATATATATTTCTGTCTTATTACCATACATATTATACTATTCTGAATAACATTATTAAAATATATTCTACATACATACATATATTTTAACATTTTGTCAAAATGAACTAAATTATCTATTTAAGTTTTATTTTTAATTTACTATTACTTATGTGTTGTATGTGTATAATGAAGAACTATCTAGTAATTAAGGAAAAAAAATATTCAAAAGACATAATATACAAATATATTTACAGAATATATATACATATAATAACAATAGTTATATTATTATAATTCCAAAATTCCATCCTGGTCCAGTTCGGATAGATTGTCGGCGGACAATGATGCATGTATAGTGTCTCCTAATAAATCAGTAATGTCATCATACCTAGAAAATATAATAAAAAAAAGTGTAATTTTTTTCCATCTAAAACCTAGTAAAATGACAGCAATGACAACAGAGTGAAGATGATATTCTATATTATTTTAAATCACGCGATTAAAAAACGAAAAACCATAAAATTTGTATGGTTATCTTATAATACAGTTTATCAGCCGGGTTAATTAGTATTTTACTCAATATTATAAAGTATTGTTATCGTTGGTAAGTTATGATAAATTATTACTGATCACGTAGCTGGTACTAAATAGATAATTTATTGTAAGTGTTGTAAAGTATTTGAATATTGGCATACATTTAGTTATGTTTTCAAATATTGAATGTGTACTTAAAATGTTTAAATACCTATTGTTTATGGCCAAGTATCTAAGTATATTTTAATTGGAGACCTCTGAAGAAAATCAATATATTTCCAAGTAAAGTAGGATTCAGTAGAAACAAATAACTAAAAGTTAAAAATTTGTTATAAACATTTACATTCTGGTGATTTAGGTCAAAATCAAATTTTTTTAACTTGCGAAATCAAAAAAGTTAGTTTGAAGTTATCTTGTTGTTGTGCTGCAAAATATACTTACTTTGATACACTTAAAATACATTCAAATTAAAAGTAATATATTTGGCATGAAGAAAGGTTTAACCAACTAATTGAATTATTTAAAAACTTAAAATTTTCCAGATATATTGAATTTATTTTGAGAAGTATGTGATGATTAAAGACCGGATCTGTATGCATTTTAAATTGTAAAATATGCATGCAAACATGCACTAAAAAATGGCAAGGTAATTTATTTTAAATTTTGCAGTGATAATTAATTATTAATTTTATTAAAATTTCCATAAACAAAAAAAGTAAATAAGTTAATAGTATATATTGGTATATAATACGGAAAAAGTACAACAAATTTAAAGTATTAGACATGTTTATTGGAAAAACAATAAGTTATCAAAGTGTGTTCCATGTTTATTTCTGTAAAATGATGACAATGATCTGTAAGTATGTACTTGTAAGATGAAAAACTGTGTTCAATGTAAACTCTGGTTATTATTGCATATTTAAAATTGGCTAATACATTCGGTGAATAATTTGGAACATGCAAATCGTTGAAGTTAGCACTGTCACTTTGAAGTATTTTCGAAATTTCTTTTAAAACCATTAGTCCTTTATTTTTATCGAAAAAATTTTTAAATTTTGTTTTAATTATACTATTGGCGCTCGTAAGAAGTTCATTGAAAGAATTTTCCACTTGTTTTAAAATGTTTAATGAGTCTACAAGTGACAAATTAGAATTTTCAAGCTTTTTGATGCTTTCAAAAAAAAATTGCCTTAATGTTGACAAGATCATGTTTTACATTTAATTTATTTAAAATTGATTTACAGTTTTTAATGGTTTCTGCTTCATCATAAAAGAATGCTGACTCTAGCCAAGCATCCCAGTGGGTAATTATTGGCTGTGGTGGTAAAGGTGTGTTTGGCAATATTTCTTTATATAAATGAATTCTTTACGGAGTTTTATAAAAAACCTTTTTCCATAATTAATTAAATTGTTAATGTCATGAAAAGTATGCATAATTTTTTCGGCGATTCGGTAGATACCATGAGCAACACAAGTTACATATACACGATTCGAATAAAATGGTTTTAAATTGTGTGCAGCTTCGTCATGTAAGGAGCAGCATCAGATAACATCAACAAAACTTTGTCATCATTGCTACCTTCGGGCCACAATAGTTTAAGGGAATTGTTTGCACATTGTGCTATAGTTGAATTATTGGTTTTTTCGAGAACTCTTGATGTTAAAAGATATGATTTCGAAGGCGAATCGGCATTCAACTTACCAACAACAAAATGTATTACTTACTTAACTCGAGGATCAGTAGTTTCATCATCAGCAAAAAAAATGTACGAGCTGTCTATATATTCTCGAATATTTTGTAAAACGTCGATATAACATTTACTGAAATAGTTTTTCTTAACGTACTTTCATCTGGTATGTGTTCGTGTATTTTTCCAAAAAAAGATTTATTAACAATAAATTGTGTTGGTATAAATGTAGCAGGAAATTCTATCAACCTAATCTCGTTGATAAAATTTTATCTAAGGATAATAATCTTGATAAAACAGCTAAACCCAATTTTCCACTATGTAAGTTTAGTTAAGCAATTTTTAGCGTCCGAATATTCTTTGTAACGTAAAATATTTGATATATTAACGTACCTATAATCTTTTTGTTTTTGTTCGACACCTTATTAGACCGTGAGGCAGTGGCGGCTCGTTTACATGCGCACAAGTGCACGTGCACTACCTACCCAAACTCAAGAAAAATTGAAAACATAAATCATAATAATACAATTAACTACTAAGTACCTGTAGTATTATTAAGATTATTTTTCAAAATATAAAATTATAAATTCAGAATATTATGAAAATAATATAATATTTAGTTTGCGTTATTTCGATTGCCAAATAGCCGGACTGTTGTCCGCGCGACGGAACAGTATCGGTGTGTATTATAGTGGTGGGAGTTGTGCACATATGTACAGTGTAAAAATTAAAACAAGCCGAAACACGCAACCCGCGTTATAATGGAATTAGTGTGCACATTTNCGTGTCGTTGCGCGTCGGCATCAGCATTATAGTTTATTTTTACTCTCATTCATTTATTATATTCCGATTATCAGCTGATAATATTGGCTAGTCAATCATTATCGGAAATTCAAAACAACAATCGTGTTTCTGTTTTCTATCGACGACCGACATTACGTTTATTATTATTCGTGTATTTGTTTTCAATTTTTAAAATGAATTCAGTACAGAAAATACTGCAATGCAATTTTTCAAAAATCTCGTTGGAGAAAAAGATGGAAATAAAAAATAAAGGTAGGCCTACTCCAGACTTAAATATTAAACATTTATTACTAAATGTGAAACGAGAGAATATGTAAGAAAATTTAATAATAATATATATAAAACCTATGGCTGGATTTATGGTTGTTCAGAAACTAATTGTTTTGTATTGTTCTCCCTGTTTACTTTTTGGTCAAAAATTTAATGATGTCGCTTAGGTAAAGAATGGAAATAAGAATAAAAGGTAATTGGTAAATAACTAAAGTTTGTAAACAATTATTTAATACAGTTTATAATATACAGTGGAACCTCGATAACTCGAATCGGTTGGGGGCGAANTTTTTTTTTTTTTGGGTGTGCACTACTTCATTAAAAACCCACGAGCCGCCACTGCCGTGAGGTGTATCTTTGCAAAAGTATGCAGTATAAAATTTTGATATTCAATCAGTTAGGTTTTGATTCACGGACACCCATTGACTGCATGTATATGATGTTGAAAATAGCAACGTGCATTTCATGCAAAATCCGGTCTTTAATGATGATTATTTGGTGCAACAACCAGACATCCCCGGAAATATGCTACCATTAATCGGCTCGAGAAATATATACCTCACATACCTTTTGTTTTGTTGCACCATACAAAACACCACACATATCCATTTTTAAAATAGATACCTATCTTTGAATTTAACGTACGGATTTGTTTGATTATTGTATCAATCGATGTACAATATTTGTCTTCGTAACTTACGCTCAAAAAGTGATTTTGACCTAAATCTGGAGATATAGATATCTGGTTATTGTTCCGAGATTTTCAATTAATGTTTTTATAGGTGCCTATTCAAGAAACCCGCTGTCCTTCAAATACCATAATTCAATTATTATAACACGGTTATGGATGGGGGTGGAGGAGTTCACTTACTGGTCGTACGAAGTGGACGCCTGTCCCTTGGGCACGATAACGAAATCCGAACGTTTTTGCAAAAAGTCTTTGAACGTGACGATTATATACAAAAACGATAGCCACAACAGTAGGGCACCTAGAAAGACATATTTTTTTAAGGACTTTAAAATCTAGTTGCATTAGTTTGTAGTTGGTATTATAAATGGTGAAACGATATGTCATCTCAGTGCTACATTTTTATTTGAGTTTTTCTCCCTTACACCAGTGACGTATTTGTGGTGGGGATCGCCCGGAAATCTGTCATCTGGAGGGACGTGTTGTTTACGTGTACTTAACGACATATGGATATAGGGATATCGATGTGGATGTCCCAAACAGTAATCATCATAGATTGGTTTGTAGGAGAAAAAAAAATCAATACTGTTGTAAAATCGTAAATATTTTTTCGAAATGAATACGTCATAATGTATACATATTATGATACGGCCGTTATGGGTAAGCGCCGAAATCGTGTTAATTTCAGAAATACCCGGGCAAAACGTCATATTTCGGCTTTTTCCCATCAAATCTATATTGTAGTGACCAACATCATTTGGATAAAACTGTAACGTCCATAAATTTTGACATTTCTGAGATTTGCTCGATTTTGGCTTTTAATTGTAACTTAGATATTATACGTACACACCTTTTTAATTTTTTGTTTTATGTATATTATTAATTATAGTTTATTCCTATAAACTATTTTTTTTTAATTGCCAAGAAGAGGAATTGTAAAAAAATGTTAACTGTTGCTTTTTTGTAGGGGCGAAAAAATCTCTCGCGATATTTTGTCGCGTATTACAATTTTTAAACTACCCCCTCCTTAATTAAACTCCAGATACGCCACTGCTCAACACGTGTATAAAACGTCACAAAATAGTACCGCCAGTACCAATCGAAAATATTTGTGTGTAGGTAGGTTTAACTATTTAACATAATATAGTATACGGACCTGCCACGTTAGATAGCCAAAGGCCGTGAGGCCAAAAAAAAAGCACTACAGCGAAAACCGTGTACAGTAGTGATTTTTTCCAGAGCCGCAACCACAGTACCACTTCCCAGAAGTTGAATATCGGGCTGAATTCGTTTCTAAAAATCGTAAAATAATAATAAAAATATTACTATTACTATGGCTAATATTTGAGCACACACACACACACACACAGATAGGTGAATACCTATTGTCAATAAAATCTTAAAATACCGCAAACAATGTTTTATTGTCACCGATGAATTATGTTTATAATTAATATAATAATCAGTACGAGAAGAATGTCGAGAGGGACTTTCGATTACAAGGATAACGAGAAATGTATTGGTTTTTTACTATAATGTGCATTATTTTTCTGCCTATTTGTGAACAATATTTCTACCAGAAATTTAGCTTCGATTGTCAACTTCAGGTACGATTTCTGGTAGGTATTTATAACATATTTAATAATTTTTTGTCCATTTGGTAAATCTAAGTGAATCTTAACGTACCTACTTATAGTTTCGGTATTGCAATAATTTTGGTTTAAATTAATTTTAGATCCCGGGCGTAGCGAGGGGAGCTATCGGTTTTATAATGCTGTTTTGTTTTTTTTTTTTTTCTAGTTTGGGGATATGTTTGGGATACTATGTTCCTAGTAAACTTGCCCCGATCTTTACGAACCACAACTTTTCTGAAAGCTCAAGTTGTTTAGATTGTATTTTTTTGATTTTCGACGCCATTTTTTAAATAAATGCCCTTAAGTTGGAAAAAACGTAGGAAAACGTTCAATTTCATGATTTCATTATTTTTTTAAAAACACAAACGACGTTTTCTACCAGATAAAAAGATTTAATCGAAAAATCACAAAATACTTTTTTGTTGCCTTTTTGATTCACTTACTTACGGTATCATCGCCAAAACTTTTGAGCCACTTTTGAGCTTTTAAGGAATTTAAATATTTGGGAGTTTTTTACTGTAATTCGGTTGTAAATACACGCAGATGGAGATTTGAAACTTGTTAATAATATTTATATTGAACTTACCTAGACGTGGTAAAATTTTCAAAATCATCGGAAAACTTTTTTTTTTTTAATAAGCGTTTTTAAATCAAATTTAAACGAAAATCGCAAAAAAATTACGGCACTTCAAATTATGTATTATCGAACTGCGTTCGAATCGTCTTTCGCTCAGTTTATTTAAAATCTTATATACACAAATGTATCATAACTATTTTAACATTATTTTTTATACACATACGCATTGTCGGTAGAAAATTTGTATTTTGTTCTATTCATTAATTATTATGAAATAAATGAATAAAATATGTAATCAATACTATGAAAGAGCCGATTGGGTTTTTCGGGATGCTAATTTTAATTCTTGAGGTGCTACAGACCCCTAGCATCCCTCTTGTTGTTTCTATACCTGTTGACGGAAATCAAAAATGTCAACACCAAAATTTATTAAAAATAATATTCCATCTGTTCATCGAATTTTTAATACAGGTTTAGTATGTGACTTTGAAAATCAAAATTAGGTAGACGGTAATCGTTTCACCTCAAAAATTAGGGGTGACAAAATTAATGGAGCTACTTGGTTTTGAAATTGTCAGGAAATAAATGTTGAAAAAGTTAATATTTTCCGAGATAATGAGTATATCCACTTAAATGGATCGCCTTGTATATTATATTTTATGTAGCCTTTAATTTAATACTACATAATATTATGTTCGGATTGAGTAAAACGGCTTTAATATTGCGTAATTATACGAGTATACTCGAAAGAGATAATACGCTGTAATATGCTATGCCAACTCACTTGCTTATATAACTGGCGTATTTAAAATGAATTAACGTTTTATGTTGAAGATTCCAAGTGAAACTAACATTTTGATGAAGACTGTCGTGATTGCCCGCGACACAATATCGTTCATTCCAGCGTATACTGTACTGTACTTATATTTACCGACTGCATAGATGCAATTCTTTACTTAAGTGCCTATACTACGCATTTAAATGATTTTTCGTGTTTTGGTACATATTTTATTTTTTCTATACTTTTCGTTTATTTTCAATAATTATAAATAAATAACATAGTATTCTAATATTATTGTTAAATGGATAACTGTGTATTATAATACAACTTACTTAATACACACGTTTAGAAACAACGTAATGGCCCAAGTTATTTCTAAAAAAAACACCAACAACGCCATGACCCTGTGAACAGATATGTAGGTACGATAAAACAAAAATCAATTACTATAGTATTATTATTCGATATTTTATAATTAATTACACATTTTTGTATGGAGTTTATTATTACCTATATAATATAAGTTCTAAACTGTACACTATAAAATACTAAGTATTATTTCGGTGAGATGATGGAAGTTTCAAAACCACTCGTAAAACAACAATATTCGAACACCATATTATAATATATTATATTATACAGGATGATTTACTGACCGTGCTCGCCTCATTTTTTTGGTTACATTTTCCATATATTTAAATTCTGATTTTCGAAATGTTTAAGTGTATATAGTTAAAGCCGATATTATCTAATATCAAGATTTTTCACAACATTTAAGGAGTATCCTTTAGAGAGAACAACTTTGGTTTTTTAAGTGAGAACCTATACTAGTGGTTTTGAAACTATTTTGACCATGGCACACTTCGCTTTCACAACATTTTCACGGCAAACTGTGACCTTTTTTTGTCATTGTTTAATTTTTTTGTACAAAATTAGAACTAATGAAAAAATGTATGAAATATACTCAAAGTCATATAGTCTTTTATATCAATTTTATAATATTTATATTTATTGTATGTATTTATGGTGAATTCCATACATTCTTTTTCTTTCGCGTTCAAAATTTTCTCATCATTATATAATGTAATAATCCACAAATGCATGTGAATCGTTTCACAATAAATTCAATAAGGAATTCAATACCACTCATCTCAATATTTTTAAAGCTATTGACATACTGACCAAAATGTAATCCGGAACGCAAATAAAAGCTCGTAGTCATGAAAATACTCCTAGCAATAAATTTAAACCAATAAAAAAACAGGCGCTTGTTGGGGCCATCATAGACGAATTTTCATCTAATAAAATAATTCGAATGGAATATATAAAAAAAGTGTACCTTAAAAACTTTTCTTCAACTGCCTGAATTTCAAAAACAAAACATTTCAACTTGAATATGATTTAATATTTATAATATATTGTACTTTTATTTTTTAATTGAACTTTGAAACAAAAATGTATTGAAAATGTATTTCACTTATAAAATTAAAAAACTGATACATTTTTAATCAACTTTTCTTGTTTTAATTCTTTTGAAACAGTCCTAAGTTGATACGTATTTGTGAGTCGGAGGCCGTTTAGGAATTGAATTTTGGAACAACGGAAGCCGAATGGGCTATAGCTCTAATAAACTCACCCTGCTTAAATATAGGTGTACTTACTCGTATATAAAGGAAATAACACCTGTTGTATTCGTATGTCTGCAATATAATATTATATCGTATTATATTAATGTATGTCCATATCATAATAGACAAACCATTATAACTTTTACAAAGTTTAATGAAAACCACCGGTGTAGGTATAGGTATATAGTTATCCTTTTGATATTTCCATCTCTCTTTAATTATGTAAGTTTCCGTGTGTAGATCTAAACTAACCTATAAGTGCCTGTATGCACACCTCGTATATATCAACTAAACACACGATGCCGAACTTTTAATATTTTATACATAAATGCAGGTATACAAACATGTTTTCTATATTCCTAAAATAATATTTTTTTTAATTATTTTTATGTAAAAATTTGGAAAATAAATTATAAAAATAGTAATATAATAATTTATATGTATATACTATACATGTTTCTTATTGTAAGATTCGGTAAATTTTATATTTATTAACAAATAAATTCTATTTGATCAGCACAATGACTGTATTTTTGAATAGGATGTTGATTTTTTCAAAAAGAAGAACCAACCTCAAAAATCAAAAGCTTAAATCTTAATCAGGGACGAAATACCATAAAAAAATGACTTTAATATTATTGACAATAAAATTAATATTTAACAGTGTAATAGATGCGATAAACGCAGTATCATATATTTTTAGTTATAGTTAGTCTATTTACGAATTGTTTGTTGTATATTTTGCAATGTGTAATATTATAATTATGTATAGTATCAAATTATTTTGTATTGTTTCAGAAATCGAATTTTTGATTATTATAGGACGTGCCTGAAATTTGTCTGATATATTATAAATTTGTTTCAACTTGAATTGCTATAATACATTGGCGTTTTTATACAAGGTACATATGAGGTTTTTTTGATTTTTTGAACACATTTTCGTGGATACAAAATATTTTACTTGAGTAAATTCAGGGCACGTTTTTTAGTTTCTTCAAGAACGTATCAGCGTGAGATCTTTTTGAACATAAATACCTGGTGTCGAAAAATCGTTTTTATCTCGAAATTCGTTGGCATGCGATTTAGCGTGAAATAGGCTATATGATGAAAATGATCAAACAAGACTAAAATTTGAAAATAACTTGTTGTAAAACTAGGCCACATTTTAATCTTGCAAAGTTGCAAAAATCTACTGTCTCATTGAAGTAAATTGAAAATCAATAGGTAATTATTAAGTTATAACCTATAATACTCGCTGTAATAGATAATGTTTTTGTCTTTGAATTTTTACAATGAGTAAAAACTCTGAAATCACTCTGAAGAGTATTCACCTTTTTTCTGTTTTGCGTGAGCGTGTTTTTGAAAACAAATTTCACGGTTACAAAATAAGATAAGCATAATATAAAGCACCTTATTGTAAATTTGAACAATTTTAAATCGAAGATAAATGTTGGGTTTTTTTAAAAATTCTGTTAAAATTGACTATTAACGTGACCCCTTAAATATTGAGCGTGTGACAATAATAATGAATATCTTCTTAATAACTTAATATAGGTAGTTTTTTCCTCCCGTTTCCGGGTGACCTAATTTTTTTCTTTTTCGTTGTATAAGTACCCACCCGCGCAAATCCTGTTCCGGTTTTACTATCGTTAAAAAGGATTAATGGCCTTACATCAATATACGCGTATACCTGCATTATGAAACGGGACGACACCGTATACGGTGTAGCTGGCAGCGTGGGGGTGAAAGGGACGGTGACGAAGAACCTTTGCAAAAAATATATATATTTAAATACAGGTTATCTATATAAGTATATATAATAGTGGCGTACTTAGGATTTCTCCTAGGAGAGAGTTATTAAATTTGAAAATAATTTTGTCACATTATATATCGTGTAGGTATATTTACCTAGGTAATAATAATAAAAAAATAAAATCTATTTTTAATAATTTATATATTTCTTTTAGCTATCCTGCCAATTTGTATTATTATTATTTTACCCATATTCATTTTTGGTTTTGGCCGTGTTAGAATTGAATGAAAACAAATTGATGGAAAGTGGGTAGTCCACCTTCGGATGACTAAATGTGTTCTATTGTGAAATTTGAATAGTGTAAATAATAGTAATAATTATAATTACAATAGTTTTCTTTTCTATGGCAACTCTTGAATAAATAAAAATCTTATATAAATTAAATAAAGCCGGGTTAGTTACATCATTTATAACTCAAGAACGGCTGGACTGATTTTGATGATCACGTGATATTTTCCGACTAATGTCTATTAATAATAAATCACCATTTTTTTTTATCCCTGTTACTGAGGTAACACAAATCAACAAAAAAATGTATTTATTATATTATAAACTAAATTTTTGGTATTGCTCGTGTATATATATGTATTAGCGAAAATACTAAAATTGCGATTAAAAAATAGTGGGTGAGAGTAAGAAGGTAAAATATATTTTTTGACTTATTCTCAGACCTACCAAATATACACGATAATTTTATATATAAAATATAAGTAATTATTATAAATTCAATCTGTCCTAAAATTACTACCGAAATCGAAAACTATAAACATAGGTGCAATCGGTGGAGGTAAATAATTATTACTTAATTTGCTTCTGAGGTACTAATAATCTATCTTTGGATACAGGTCTCGTTTTAAATAAAAAAAATTTTACGTTTTGCACATTAAATTGTTGATTTGTCCAACAAAAAATTAAAGAAATTTGAATTTAAAAATATGTTATTGGGGAAGCGGATATATCTCCCAAACGCCCCTCGTAAATACGCCAACGCTTCTTATATAATTCTCATAAAATTACTCGGTGAGTCGTATTTAACAATAAACTGCACGTGGTAAAATGATAAATTACTAAATGCGACGTTATGTACAGCTACTTAGCATAATATAATATACATTTGTTTATTTTTTTAACAGTTTATTCTGTAACAGTTATTATTAAATAAAAATTGAAGTTTCATAAAAGTATATAACTTTTTGATTAATAAATCACACGGGTGTAATTATTATTATTTTCTAAAAAATGCACATACCTACACTTACAATAATAAGCCCATACATTATAATCTATAATATAAAAAATGAATCGTGACTTCGGAGCCGAAAGCGTTCGTTTTGATTTGACGTTAACGCGCGTACGGTTCTCTCCGTCGCACTCATTACGTCTTAAACGGCCGATTAAAATTTCCGCGATCCACCGATAACGCAAATTTATTGTCGATCCGGCCGATGGAGAATATAATATATAATAGTTAATAAAGCAACACAATCAACCGAACCCCTCTCAGAAGCTTTTTTTTTGTTATTTTCAGGAAAACAAGTTAACGATATATTATTCCATTTTTTCGACTTAATGTTTCAAATATTGCATTGTTAATTTATATACTTTATTTTAGAAAGTGAAACTTGCATATCATGTTTTACTAAATTCTTAGAATTTTCTTATAACCCAAAATATTTACAGAGTAATGCAGTGGCGTAATTTGGACATAATGTCATTGCAAAAATTACTAAAGGTTGCAAAGACCAATGTGTGTTGCCCCACACCCCAACATTATAAAAACAAATAATGTTTTAATAAAATCATATTATTATATATTATTAATATAAAATACATTATAAATCTAAATAACTCTTCTTATATAGGTACATATTATTAAAAATTATGAATTATAAATCACATAATCTTTTGAAATTAGAATACAAAATTCAGAATTTTAAAATTGTAACTGTTTCAGTGTTGTTTTCTTTTTTAATGTATTTATACAACAGTGAGTAATGACTCATACATTTATTGGTTATTTCAATCTTTGTTTAAATATTTTTTTTTTCTTAATACTTAATGATTAAAATATTCCATAATTTACATAAAAAAAAATAATCAAATATTATATAAGTAAAAATACGACAGATGAGTTTGAATCTAAAAATAAATGTACTTTTATTTAATTAATTAATTTTTATTTTATTTAATTTTTATTTAATTGCTAAATAATGAACTATACATTTTTATCAATTTTATTTTCATCGATTGAGTATTGGTAATATATAATTTTAATTTTATAATTTTCTGACATGTTTTTTTTATATTTAAATAATTGAATAATTACTTACTTACCAATTTTTATTTTTATTTTACTAACGAAAAACTATAATTAATACAGAAATTTCAGTGGTAGTAAATCATTCGCGATCCCCTCCTTCCAAATTATATATTATATATTCGTGCTTAAAACTTTAAAAGGTTTATCTTTTATAAGAATTATGTACTGAATTTACAATGTTACCAAGGTAAGGTCGGTTTTACTAGATTAAATTTATTTTTATGATTAACTATAAATTAGCATGTACAATTTAGGATATCTTTGATTATGTTAAAATATTTTTTTTATAGAAAGAGGATCAGCTAATATAATATATAGTTAGGTGTTGAATATTGAAATAATAATTTTCGGGACCCCAAACGAATACGGATTACAATGTAATACGCAGTTATAACGAATAGTTAAATATTATTTAGGGTAGGTTTTAAGGGGTATACATCCGATTCGACAAAATTGAATATAAAATAATATAAACAATTTTGATTTTGATTTGAAGATTTTATTTTTCTGATGTTATTACCATTATAAAAGTGATCATAGTGATCATCATAATGTAAGACAGTCAAGATCTTGGAAAGTATTAACATTTTCGGATTTTTTTTTAGATTTTTTAACTATTTAAAATACAAACAGCTTTAAAATGTTAAATAGTTCTTTTTTGGGTGAAACTACTACCAAATTTTGATTTTAAAATTAAAAATTTCATAAATATATGGAGTTTCAGTTTAAATACATTTTGGATTCAACCCCCTGTCAACTCCTTGACGAGGTATTTCACTTTTAAGTTTTGGTAGTAAGAGAGTAGTGGAGCACTATTCAAACGCCGCGCGGTACACAAGTGATGCTCCTCTACTCTCCTTTTATCCACAAAACGGCAAACTTAAAAGTTCAACGAGCAAATTAAAATTAAAAATTACAACACCAAAATGTCTTACACTTAAACTTTGTTTAAATCTTAAATCTAATAATGGTATTTTTAATAACATCAAAAGTGTGTGTAGTGATTTCATTTCCTGAAATAACGAAAGTATGACGGAAATGTTACATTTTAGAGTTAATTCTCTAAAAAAAGAAGTTATATCTTTTTGAGGTAATAAATATCTTATGTTAATCTCTCTGTAGTCTGTACATATATTTATCAAACTCATAGATTTTTTTCGAAACCTTAAAAACAATTCTATTAACATTACATTTTATGAAATTCAGTCTCTTAATCAATGTAATCGAATATAATATCTATATTATTTCGTGTTTTTTAAAAACATTTATGTCTTGAAAACTGCAATAATATTTTTATCTCGTATATATTACTTATACCTATTTTAAACGTCAATAAAAAAAAAACGCCATACATATATTTATTACAAAACGACCTTCTGCAGCATTGTAGTCACATATGTAAACATATATATATACATATAATGTGTATTGTTGACGTTTTATTATTATATTTATTATGAAAGTTATTAGTCAACATGCCTGTTAGGATAACAATTTTCTATAAATACAAACAGTGTATTTATATAATACTCGTATAGGTACATGTAAAATAACGCCGAAGTTTTAAAAATTTAGCTAGCCAATTTTATAAATTATTGGCGTCAATGTTCGTCTTTTATAATATCATTGATCTTAATCCATAGAAAAGAAGTGCTGAAATCAATTTTTAGAATTATTTTTCGTGAATTTGTTTCCCTTTATGTTTCAGTTAAAATGGTATAGATTGATGTATGTAGATTTTAACACAGGTTATACTCAAAATTAAAATATCTTAAGTCACTTATGATCATAAGACTTGTAAAATAAAACAAAAGTCTTGTTTGCCAAAAAAAAACATAAATCATATTACCTTTAACTATACGATTTAAGTAATTTAGAATGCCATATTTAGGTTAGTCCATTTAACCTTGCCATTTAGCAATTTAGCCTTTTAATAAATATGCCATTTTATCATTTAACAATTATTTTCAAAATTTAATTTGATTTTATTGAAAACTATAGCCCTTTAACCTAAGCCTTTAAGACTTGAGCCCTTTTTTCTTAGGAGCAAAGATACATATATCAATTTGAATGGCCATCTGTTTGTTATTTACACAAATCTACAGTTTTTTTAGGACCTCTATGGTGAAACTTTGCACAGTTGATAATATTCAAATAATAATGAGAGAGTCTGACATTATAACCCAGAAATCATAACCTAACTCTAACGTTCTAAAAAACGTTTTGAATAAATGTTGTCCTTAAAATACAAACGTTTTATTTTAAAGAAAAAAAATGTTTATTATAATAAAAAAAAAAACCATTATTAATATTCTAGTGGACGATGGTTTACAGTTGTAACAGATGGTTACGGATTCTTAAGGTGGAATGGTGTATAAATAAAGGTTATATATAATATAAATAGCTTAAAAATTGCCCAAATGTTTTGAAAATTCGTTCACATTTAGAAAAAGTAAATATAAGCTTTTTGTCTAAATTTAAAGTCTCTACGAATATTTTAAACACTGGATTACATTAAAAAAACAAAATTCGTTAAATTTCTTGTTAATTCTACGTATTTTTTGGGTTTACTCAATTATTACACGAAAAATCAAAAACGTCTTTCTTACTCACCAACTAGATTAATAATTCAACAACAATGATAACTTGTCGTTTTTATTGAAGCAATATTTCTGGTATAAAACATAAAGCGTACAAATTTAAATTAATGAAATTATAGTGCCGTAAATTTGTCAGTTTTCATTTTACGTTTTTTTTTTTTTACGGATTTCCTAATTATTATGAAAAACCGCTTGAAAAATCAAAAAATGAGCTTCTTAAAGTATGAACTAAATGAAATTTCTTTTCAAAAAATGTGCTTTACTTGAAACATTAAAGCAAGATTTCTGGTAGATATTTCGTATACAGTAAAAAAAAAATATCATTTTAAAACCAATATATATATATATATATATATATATATATATAGATATATATCGTTACGTTCCGAATCTAAAATATTTAGGTAAATATCCGTAATATGTACGTTCATAGAGGCCTTTTGTTTCTGTATAACATTACCTAACCCATGTGCAGCTAGGGGAATTATTTTTTATAAGGCTTATAGTTTTGCTCTCCTGAAAATATGTAACAAGTGAGTTACAATAGTCTTCGTTGGAGACGTTGATATATTCATATATAATCTCTTTTACAATACGCATTTATATGATGTAAATAAAATGCGGCTTATTCTAACCTAACCTCAACAGGGACTTTGTAACTAACATGTGAAATGTAACATGTATGCCGTACATCGTATAATAAACACCTGCAGGAGTCAGTATGACGGAGAGGAGAGATTTTGAAAATCAAATCCGCAATCAAAACAACGATGTAAATTTTAGTAACAGTAATAATATATACTCACATGACGTATAATCCAAATTGGTAATGGTGTATCGCTATGTCGACTCCTACCCCGAACATGACTGAAAAACAAGAGAACACGGTTTAATATACGCAGATTACAGACTCTCAGAAAGCCAAACATTTTCCGTCAGACACTTATTATCTCGCGGAAATAGATATATAAATATAATATTTCTGAATTTTTTTTTTTTTTTATTTAAGACATATTTCACAGTTTTAAAATATGTTAGATTACTTGTGTTTGACGGTAAAAAAATATCGATGGCCATCATAAATAGTACTATAAAATAATACGGTAACCTAAATTTATAATATTATCATAAATTGACTAATCGTTAATAATATATTTAATATTGTATGTTTCGAGATTATACCTTATATAATATGAATGTCTTATGGAAATTTCATCATCCTGCAGTACACATATGCATACCTGTACCTCCGAGGTCGGTGGTGATATCGTAGTCAGATTTATATTTCAAATAATATACGAGAGGTATATTCGGCTCTTGGCTCTAAACTCCGGGGATCGTTCAATAATAAAATTATATAAAATTAATATGTTTATAATATCATAATGCGGGTGTCACAAAGATACTAAGGTCACGGTCCCTATCGAGAGAAAAAAAGTTACAATTATATACTACGTTATTACGCCCTATAATTACATACGGATTAGAAATATGGACATTAAGGAAAACGAAAGAAAATAAATTGACCATTCTAGAGAGGAAAATCCTAAAAAAGATTTTTGGCTGAGTAAAAGACGAGATAACTGAGGGATGGAGAATAAGGAAAAACCAAGGACTAGAGGAACTCTTTCAGAAGCCAAGCATATTGGATATAATCCAGAGTAGGACGCTTAAGTGGGCTTAGTCAAAACCCACTATTGCACAGAGAGACCTGGAGGATTGGTTGTTAAACGAGATGACCCTAGTGACCGGTAATTACCCCTCAAAAAAAAAAAAAATGCAGGTTTACTGAAGGTTTTTTTTCCGAAAAAATTATTATAATTTTATTAGGTTCAAATGTTGAACAATTGAATGAATTTACAATATTGTAGGTATAAGTAGGTATAACAATATTACGTTCAACTTTTGTCAACGTGTTTTTAAATGATCAATTCGAATATAATAAAAATTTACAAATATAATAACCAAGTACTTTTTACGGTTTTTATCACGGTGAAATGTTTTAAAAATATTTTTATATTCTATGTTTGAAATGCGAAATTATTTTATTTTTGGGTACTAAAACCGAATTTTAATGTTGATCCGAGAGCGATGCATACTGATTTTTTTTTTAGAGGTCATGGGAAGTATTTTTACTGTGGCAACTTGAATGAATATTAATATATTATCCTAAGAAGCAGCTGTTAGATGACCAAATAAGGTGGGTGAGTGAATATGTGACACTTTCACGGGGGGGGGATGAGGGGAGTATTTTTCTTAAATATCTATAATAAAATACAGAATGATTTTTTAAGGATACTCAGTGCCAATTTCATTTTTATGGTTAAATTATGCATAAATTAAAATTCTGATATGTGAAATTTTTAAATGTAATGATTGACAATATTTTTAAATACTTACGATTTTTCATGACACTTAAGGAATATCCTGTGACAATATCAACTTTGGTTTTATTAATGAAAATTTACATGTTTTAATGTCAATTGTCAACCAGATAATTATCTGAAAATGTTGACGTATTTTTATCGAAATTTGAACGAAAAATATTATTATTTTTCTAATACTAAACAAAAATAACTAAAACCAAGAAATTATTTATACACATGAAACATTTGATATGCAATCCACGTAAAAGATTTAGTGTTTAAAACAAAATAACTCAGAAACTTTACGTTTAAATTTCGATTACAATATCTCAACATTTTCAAAAAATTCAGAAATTTGCATAATTTTCCTCAAGACATGTAGGTTCTCATTTTAAAACCCAATGATGTTATCGCCACAGGATAATCCTTAAAATAACCCTATAATCTACCAACTGCCAAACGCCGATAATTAGTATCTATAGCCGTGATAATAATTTATCAATAATAAATATTGAGTATTTTCAATTTTATGATAAAAATATTCTACTTGTCATATTTTAGTTTATCAATTCTTTATATTAGTTGTATTTTCTTGTAATATACGGTAACCACGAAGTATATAGCCAATGGATGTAAATAGTGTTTATAGCTGTGGTTTTTACCGTGTGAATGCGGAAGTAGTGGCGATAAATTTAGTGAATTTTCGTACTAGTGTATAGTGGTGTATTGGTGTAATCGGCACCAGTGTTTCTATGGCTGGGAATTTTTCAAATTTATTTTATTTTTCTTAGGAAAAATATTGAAGATTCGTCAATTGTTGAGGACATAGGTGTGTCTACGGGTCGTGCTTGTCATGTACAGGCTTGACCTGCGGAATTTGATCTAACTTACATTGAAATTGCGATGCATAATAATAAAAACGTTTTTTTCTCAATTTTTGATTTCACATTATATTTTTTCGATTTTCATCATTTGGACTTTTATCTATAATAATTGATAGTATACTATCACAGATTATATACGTTTTATACATAGATATATAATAGAATAGACTACCAAAATTGAAGAGTTTAACTAAATTGTTAGTGAGTTCTGTACATTAGTTTTTTGCGATCTAATGACAAATTCCATTCTCCACCATTGATGAAAGAATATCATTACTAAATTATAACATTTGTATCATTTGATAAATAATGAAACATGTGTGAATGATTCACGTTTATTCATTTATTGTGTAATGTGTATTTATGATTGTCTTTCACTATTTAATTCAATGTTTTTGATATAGGTAAATTTAAAACATTCCCCTCAGCCCCCTCTTGGACAGACCTATAATTGAGAAAAAACTAGGGATTTTGGTAAGACACCCAATTACTTTAATTATTTTAAAAAAAAAATGCATTATGATTTTTGTTATCATTTATCAAAAACTGAATTTTCAGGATTGAAATTTTATACCGTATACGAAAGTATATGATCTAATATCATTTTTCATATGTGTGCACTGTTACATTAAGAGTGAGCAAAAGTTATTGTCCGAAAAATTGCTCAGTGAAGTCGAATAATGATTCACGTGATTACAATTTTTACTGTTATTAATTTATTTATTTTTGATAATTATTTACGATTTATTAGTGGTGGCTCGTGGGCGCTGATAAAGGGAGTACGACAATATGAAAAAGTCCCCCGTCCTAAGATTCCAAAAATATAATAAGACACATAATTTTTTAATACCAAACAATATGTTTACGACTATTAGTGATTAACCACTCTTATCTTAAATGTTATCATCAGATATAATGCTTTCTGCGGGCCTGTGAATTGAAAAGACCTAGGAAAACTCATTATTCTTGATAGGTATTATTATTTTATTATTACTAGCCACTTTGTGCTTATCAGCGTATTGGATGTTAGTGCTCTCGTGAAATTATACGCACGTCACACACAGGAAACTTCAAAATTAATGATGAAATAATTGTATATTATTATTATCTAATTTTAATAATAACCATACTGAACAATACAATTTTGATAAATTTAAAATAAAATTGTAAATTGTCTTCGCCTTCAATTTTACACAGGGGCTGCGATCGTCCTGACATCCAATAAGTTACGAGTAGCCACTGTGATTTACTATACATTACGATTTACGATACAACTAAACTGACTAAAATAATTCCATAGTCAGCCACATAACAATTATCTATAGGTATAATCGTGGACGAAGAATTTAAAATCGAAAATTTATTATTTTTGTTTATTTTTACAATAGTTAATAATAGTTATCTATTTTGTATTTCTGTTCAAAAAAAAAAAAATAAAAAATTCTTTGATAATGAAATGGATTATTGTTTATTCATAATAAATATCTTACAATAATTATTATTATAGATGAATATTATATGTTCAAAAAAAAATAATCCAGGACTGAGCACAACGAAATTGAGAAAGAAATTACGGTATTACCTATCTACTTGAAATATTTGATCAATTTAATTTTTCAATCATCAACAATAGTTTAAGTTAATTACCTACTTAATAATTAATTTAAGTAATACTACATTTAAACCAACGGGTTTTTAAATTTTTATTTTAAACTAAAAAAAAAAACTAACTTCTATTTCTACTATAAAATCCCCCCCCCCATGAGGAAATAATTTGAACGCTAAACTTTATAGATAATAGATATACATATAATATATTATGTTAATATGTTAACAACCAAGGCGAAGTACAGCAATGTCTAGAGTAGCCTTAATTACGTCTTCTAATTCTTCTGGTCATGATTTGTATGAAGTGTTTTGTATTTTTATTTAAACTGCTTCATACAAAATGAAAAAACGTCACGCTGTCACTGATCTCTAATGTAGCCTGTCTTTAAATCCAGTCGGGAAAATATGGCCACGAGAGTTGTATGATTTTAATATATTCGAATTTCATTTTTTATTTAAATTAAATGGCCGAACTTGCCAAAAAAGGTCCAAAAACACTAATTTCCTATTTACAGTTTTAAAAATATACTAATTTACACAGAATTGTTGTTTACAAAAAAATCTTCTTCAATTAATTTTGTAATTTGTTAATAGTATCGTGTGGATGTTATTAAGCGATTTCGGTAAAATTGGATTGTTTTTTGTTATTTTCATAATCAAAAAAACAATCCAAATGTTGTTTTCACGATATACATAGGTATATATTTTTTCATATTTGATGTGATAGTTTGATGTGACAGACCTTCAATTTAATAGTTGTGAGCATAAACAATTTTTAAAATAAGTTTATTTTTTCGAATATTTTTATTGAAACGCAGTTCGACCTTTATCTATTTTTTTTTTTTTTAGATAACCCAAATGAGTGTAATTCGACTATAAATAGGTGCAGTTAAAACCACTAAAATCTGGAGGTTAGAATTATAGGTGGATATTGGGGTGGCTAGGAGGGGGTTATAGCCATATTAATCATCCTTAAATCCCGTAAAGTTTTTCAAAAATAAATAAATAGTTATTCTAGCCACCTAAACATGATATTCACTCCGGAATTAAAATGACCTGTTATGGTTTATTACATTTTTTTTTGTTCATCATTAAAGTAGTCCACCCTCGTCCCCTAAAAATTAAATCATATCTTCGCCTATGATTAGAAGACAAACATCAACTAACTTATTGTAGTGTTATTGAGTATATTCGGGACAAGTATATAATATAATATTAAAGGAGAAAAACAAGACGCGACCCATAAGTGGCGACCGGTCCAGTCGCTGTGTATATTAGCTCCGGGTCGCACGCAGCACACACGAAACCATTCAGTAGCGTACAGACGTATTCTATAATAGGGCGATTATCTTATATTGGGCATCATTCGGGGAATGGAAGGGGGGGGGGGTTAAATCAACAATATAATACTTATAATAATACACCAAATGCGTCTTACCGATGGCGGTGAACACGCCGAAAATTCGTATCACGTGCACGAGCTTGCCGAGTACCGAAGCCGTTTTCGTATATCTGTACTCGTTCATATTATCTGTCGATCTCGAGAAATACATCACTTAGCCGTCGCGTTCGCGTACTTATACACTTCGGGATTTTCGGGATTTTTCGGCTATCACTCCGTCAACAAGTCGTCGCCGTATTTACAATATAGTTGCCCGTACGTTACTGTGGCTGGTCGACGACACCCCCGGGGGTTGACATGGTCAACGGCGGCGTCGGGGGCAGACGGGTTTTGTCGCTTCACGAACACCGCGAATTTTTCATATTTTATTATTGTCACGGGTTAAGTATTGCAATATAACAGTGTACGCGCGAAAAATCAAAAGACTGCGGAATAATTTCGACCGACAAAACGCTACTAATGAATAACACCGTGCAATGTTATTTAATAATATATAGTAACGCTTTGCCGCTCGTTTAGTAGGACACTGACGACAAGACTTGTCCGAACGTTTTTTTTCTCTTCTCTACGAAATTCGTTTGCCAAAACCGACTCACCTTCGCTACAGCCGCGTCCTGACCTTATGGCGAGTAAACGCGAACGCGCGCGCGTGTGTATAAAAATAAAATATAAATTAAAAAAATCTCGTACGCGTTTACCGGCAGTGGCTGCTGCGGAAGTGGGAAAGTATATAAATATAATAGTTACGACGGCCGCTATAATATTTTCACGATTCATGCAGAAAACTTAAGACCCGCCGTTGTTCGTATCGTATATAATAACATATGCATATTTATAATAATATTAATAACAACAACAGTAGGTAATCGTAACGCGTACGGTATACTATATAATAATAACAATAATAATATAATTATCGTAATTATTTATTAATTTTTTTTTTCGTATTCATCAGGTATATTATTGTAGGACACAACATTATTATTAATTTTCTTAAAACAATTTTTCTCGTATATTTCGAAGCTCCATGTTTTTGTTAGAACGTTATTCGGCTGCGGGCGAGTCGTGTCCCGGCGTGTCGTTTATCATTTCAGGCAGGGACCGGTGAATTGCGGCCCGGCAAACTTTTTAGCTGTGTAGGCGATTCACGGCCCGAGTACAGCCGCGTGTTTAGGAATTATTCTAGGGGGCCGAACGTGAATGACGAACATTTCAATTTACAGGCCCGTGGTGAGGGGGTTACGTCTTTCACGACCTCTCCCCCCAACTTACAAATAAATACATCATTTTTCTTAAAACATCGTTTTTTAAATTTTAATTAAATTTTTACAAAATAATTTAGTACAAACATTAAAATGTTATTATACTTAAGTTTTTTTTATACTTCAGTTATCTACAAAGGTGGCCAAAAGTCGCGCAACAAATTTGCAACACAATTTGTAATAGTAAAAAAAAACGTTTATTTCTTCAAATAAAAAAAAAATGATATAAAAATGAACATTACAAAGTAACATCATCTCACAGCAATTATAATAAATGTTCAAAATGATGTCCTCCAGCTTCAATAACTGCTCCACAACATTTTTTTACCGCATTTGTGGCGTTGTAAAGATACGAATAATCGATGTTCAAAATTTGAAATTCTTCCTCGATTCGCCTTTTTAAATGGATCAAATTTTGGATTGGTGTCTTGTAAACTCGATCTTTGATAACTCCCCATATGCTGAAATCACAAGGTGTGAGATCGAGTGATCTTGGGGGCCATTCCGTCGTCCCACGGCGACCAATCCACCCGTTGAAGTTTTTATTCAAAAAGTCACGAACCACAACCGCATAATGGCTTGTTATTTTGTTACCAGATAATTCGCTTATCACGGAAGATATCGTTGTTGACGAGTTCGATCTTGACTTCTTCAAGCATTTTGAGGTATTTGGGACCGTTACCGTCGTGAAAGTAAGGACCGATTATGGTGTAAGAACAGATGCCAGCCCACACACAGACGCCTGGAGCGTTTAATTCTTGAATAATGATGACATTTGGGTTCTTCGATAACATCTTTAAAAGAACCTTTTTCTGTACCACAATTTTATTAACAAAATGCGTTCAACAAGCGATAATTTTGGAGAGGGCATTTCGGTCGGCAGTGTTACGAACGATAACGAACATGAAACTGCGTCTAATAGGTTATGTTGTTTTTTTATAAACTTTGCTGTTGCTTTACGTAAACAAGATAACGAGACCAAAGTTGCATTATGACGTAACGGAAACGACGTGGAGGGTGAAACTGTGCCGTAATGTGCGTTCCATACAAGACGGTAGGCGTTGCGCGACTTTTGGCCACCTCTGTACTTGCAACATATGAAGAATTGAAGTCATCTTAACATGAGCAGGCTGCATATTGTAAAATTGTTAAAAACTATAAAATATTTAACGAAGAAAATATAAACTTCTAATTCTCCCGCGCCCGGCATTGCCCGTGCCAATTTTTTATTCTTTTTACTTTTATTCCCGGTTTGCTTTGTCCGTATTAGTATATTGGATGAAAAAAAAGGTGAAACGTGTTCTAGTATGTCATACATTTTTCGATTCATGTTACCATAGATACTCGCACAGTACAGGGGTTACAGAGAAACTATACTTTACTATAATAACGCTAAAATTATGAGGACATAATAGTATTATAGTTTGTTACTGTACTAAAAAATATAGATTCAAAGATGACGTTTTACGTATTTTCACTTTTCACTTACTCAACCAGTACAGCGCAAAGTTTTTTGTTTTTTTTTTTCTTCATTCATGTTACCAAGGTGACTCATCCTATTTCAAGTCAATAATAGATCGACAGATAATCATATAAACTCTTTACCTTAAGTTTTTATAGTTGTTAAGGCATTTTTATTTCTGTTTGTTATTTATTTTTTTTTGGTTTGAATTGTTTTTCATTTTATTCATGTTATTAAGGTAATCCATAATTCAACAAAAATAATTTAATTTTTGTACAAAAAATACCTAAAAACTTTTCATCCTCTTCAAGTTTTATAACCTTACTTTCACATTTATAATGTACATGTAAACAAAAAGTCTACAAATATTTATATTTCAATTAATTTTCTATGTTTTGGTAAAAAATGTACAAAATAATATTTTTATTATTTTCATAAAATTTGAAGATAGATTTGAATTTATAAAGTTTATTCTTCTGAAAATTTTAATGTATGCATTTTTATTTTTATTGAACTTGTGATTTTTAATAATTATTCGAAGTTTAGAGAAAGAGAGTATACAGTCAATTAGTCAAAATAATAATAAGCAATTATCAATAAAAATTAGATTATAGCTTGCTGAATAATATTGTTGGTACTTTTATCCTTTAAATTTAAAAAAAAATTGATTAATAATCATGAATTTAATGAAAATAAAAAGTTGAAATGTTAACATTTTCAGAATAATAAAATCTATAAGATGGCTATCTTCATATTTTTCGAAAATTATGAAATAAAAAGTTATTTTTTGAGTTTTTTTACCAAAACATAAAAAGTTAATTGAAACATCCCTGTGAGTAATATAAAAAAATATAATTTGATTATCTATATTATCTTAGGAGATATTGCAATGGCTATATCTTTGTGGTACACACTGCATAAAGATATGAAAATGATTATTCAGTCACTCTAAACTCTCATTAAATTTTTCTTTTACGAGTCAAAATTATCAACTTAAAATCCAAAAGTCGAAAACATATTATAATATTTTATATCATATTAATGAGATAACAACTGTGTGTTTTGATAACAACTAAAGAAACTCTATAGTATGAATGGATTCGCAGCTGTTGCCGTCCTCTATTTCAGACCACACGCCGTCACGGTCACACCATAGAGTAGTACTATTCTATGATGTGACCGTGGTTGATGTTATTGTTTTTAACAGATAAGACCATATATATACATATAATATTATTTAAAATGTTTATTACTTTTATCTGTGGATGAGACTGATGATTATTTTACCAAGATAACCGCACATTTCACACGTTCAACAAAAATTATACAACTACGGATTTTAATTTTTTTGATATTTTAAAATTATTATTTAATATTAGTTATACTTCGTATAATTTAACAATGTATATTATATAAAAGTCATGGGGGTGGATTTAGTCTCATGATCCACCTACGTAAATGCGCCACTTCCAGAATAGGTATTTTTTTTTATCTAGACAGTTTTACCTATTTATAAAGTATCGAATCAAAATCGCGGTATCTAACCTAAAATTTGACTACGAACTATGAATGTTTCGCTAAACGTCGATAGTTCGAATACACATATTTTTTATTATACACTCGATCCGTCGATTATATATATGATATTATATATATATATATATATATATATATATACTGTGACATTCTCATACAATCTTATGAAAATGGTATAAAAATAGTAAAACTATAGTGAAAAATCAAAGTCTACAAATACAAAAAAATTTCTTTTTTTATAAAATAACTGATTTTTGTCCTGTGAAGTAGTGATTAGAGTTAACCGTGAATTAACTAATCAAATTTTGCAAATTTTTGGAAAATAATTGTCCGTAGACCTGCAAAATAATTTAACCGTTGGTTAGCGCTAACCGGAAATATTACTTAAAAAGAAAAGAATAATATAGCATTTTTAGGAGACTGAACAGGCCAACATCCCTGTTGTGTCTCCTTGGTAACGCTGTATAGTAAGCTCATATGAAGTGGTAATTATTATGTGGTCGCAATTCGTACGTAAAACCCCGGGCCGCATCTCGTACTTGATTTAGGGAATGGGCCGCAATTTTCCAATATCAATACCAACAATGAGCACAACGAATGGACTTGCCTCCCTACGACGGCGAACAGTATCCTTTTTTCTTCGAGTTCTTCTTACTGCTTAAAATACCCTTGCCGGCGATGGATATGTTGAAGCACACGTCAATCTGTAAAAGCGTTTTTCGTCCGGAACACTGTTTTTTTATTAACAATATATGTATCATTATTATAATATTACGGGCGGAAACGGTCCGAATGAATTTACCGCGGTGTCGATGTGCGTACTAACCGAAGTCACGGGTCTTGGTGGGTTGCAATTTCTTCCGGGAGTGCCGATGGCCGAAAACCATCGTTTTGTCTTGTCCACTGGTTTCTGCAAACACCACAAATATAATATTATAACTATAGTATTTTTATACAATATTTTTGGACCCAGGCTCCTAGATAAGAAGGGTTTAAGTCAATACTCGTAGGTTTTAGTATAAAAAATTTAATTTTGAACATTGTTAAATCACAAAATTGCCTAATCTAAATATGGCGTTCTAAAAGGCTATAAAAGATTTATATTGCATTGTCATATATTGTATTATAAAATTATATGAATTGTGTTTTTTTGCCAAACTTCCGAGAAATTTGAGATACTTTTTACGAATTATACGTAATACACGTGTATATAGTTGCATATTTATATTAAACTTATACAGACATTTCTTTGTAATTTTAAGTACGATATGTAAATTGTGCAATTTGTAGAATTTGGAATTTAGTTGGAGTGTTAGGGCGAGTTTTTTTTTTTTGAGGAAACATTAAATAACTGAAGAAAAACAAGAAATTTTACTTAACAATACTAAGAACCTAATATATCTTATATATCTAATTTATACCTAATATTTTCACTAAATATTGATATTAGCGTCAATATAATCAAATTTCTAGAAAATTATTGCTCTTTTTGAGTTGATTATTTTTAGCAATTTTTTATTCATTTATCCATGGAATACATTTGATAAATTTGAACGGTTTATTATGAATATTGAGTGCCTAATTATTATTGTTACTAGTTAAAGTTTTACGTTTCGATAAATTTTGCTGAAAATACAATAAATTGTAAAGCATGTTGTAGCTGAAAATCAATAGGTAGAGTTTTCAATTAAAATTTCAACAAAAATATTCAACCGAGCTTCATTCATAATCAGTTTTTGTTTGCAACGGTTCACATCGTTGAATTCATTATAATTTATTACCCTACAATAGTGTTCAAAACACCCATGGTGTTATGTATGTGGCTTTATTGCTTTCAAAAAAAAATCATTAAATAGTTATAGACGTATAATTATTTCACGTAACATGTTACTCATCGAGATTTCTGTTATTATTATTAAAAATGTATAGCTCGTATTTTTGATATTTCAATCGTGCAGTACTACGGGGGAACTTTATGTACAGTTCTGACATATAATCGATAAACACGGATTTGCTTCGGGTCGTTCAAACCAATGGAAAACGACTTACCTATAAGTAGGTACTGCAGGAAACCATTAAAAATATATGGCTATTATATTCTGTGTAACGCGTAATTGGCGAGTATATACAGTGTATTACATTATATACGTGTTATTATTATTATTATTATTATGTAGGTACGTTTTGATTGATATTAATGTCGTGAAACCGTCTGTGATTCGATTATTGTACAAATGATACCACGATGGACTTATTGTGACTATTCAATAATATACACGTGCATGCATATAGCAGGTATAGGTACCAACTCGTGTATTTTAATAATATGTTAGTTGTGCAAGGTTAAAGATAAAAAAATATGTACGTAGGTGTGTAATAATATTGTAAACAAAATTGTAGTATTTTACAAATTGATTACAATTATTATCGCGATATTATTGACCGAAAGCGTGCTTTTGTTAAGATACCTAGCTATCTATTATAATGTTATTATTATTATTATTATTATCTGATAATATCACGATAACGTCAGATACAGAACCACGGAACCTAACCTGTTGTATAGTATTAATTACAGGTACCTACTTTGAGCGGATTAAAAAAAAAACGGGTATGAAATTTTTTTTGTCATTAATTGTGTGTGTATTATTTCACAACGGGATCGTTATACATTAGATACTACATTACACTGAAATATTTCGATTTTACTACTCTTACTATAAATAATATCATATTGGTACCTACATATATTATAATAAATCGGGGGATAGTTTTTTTTTTTTTTTTACAATTTGTATACTATCAGATCGCAAAACGGTCCATGTGCTGTCTTCTTTAAAACTAATTATACCCAACAAGTTTGATTACTCGACTTTCGATCTAATGTGATTGCTACAAACTATACCATAGGACGCATCATCGAATCTCGCCCCACACCACGCATACACACAACAGATTTGGCATTATACACAAAAATAGGCCGTTATTTTCATAGCGTTATTATGAAATAACTATGCATTGATAACCGTACGATTTTAGGCACCAATAATTATAATGTTCCACACATAATCGTTAAATACAAATCATAATAAAAATATGACCTCCAAAAAATATTAGTCAGCGATACTTATATTATGAAAGTCCAAGTAGTTACCTACCTAATTATATTACACGATTGTAAATACATATATACCAATAATATCATAACGCCCATTTTTAATATTTCTAGTAAATTTATTAATCAAGTTGTATATTAGTGATGGTGCAAAATATAAAGTATAAAAAATAATAAATACTATTTTTTTTTTATAAACGTCACAAGCCTTCGCGATAATTGTTTTTTTTTTCAAAATAAATATTATATAATATTACATAAGATAGTGCATTGTCGATAATAATTAATTTGATGATTTTCTATAGGTTACGAATTATTTTTGGCCGGTGAACTTTTACACAACATTACAAAGTGAAATCACACTCGCGTTTTGTAAATCGTTTATAACATTATCGTAACTCCTCGCAGGCACTAATACAATTTTCCCTCAAATAAAACAGTGCTTATTCAAGCAATAAATATTATTATTTTGTACGAGTCGAAGGTATAACTTCGTTTATAGCGGCCAAATACTTTAAAATGAGTTTACTGTTTTACCTACCTACCTTTATATTGTATAAGTATAGTTTAACGATTCTCATTATTCTGTTTGAACGGGGATTGAATGGTCCGTCCCAATGACCGAAACCCGTGCAATTTAGTAATAATTTCCGTCATGTAAATTATATTGTACTAAAATTGTTTTCACGGATTTCAATTTTATATAGGTAAGTCATTATATGCAGTACGCCGTGGTATAAACATAACATTTACATTTCACATAATTTGTGTATTATGTTGTGAGAAACACAATATATTAAAAATATTATTTTTTTCGTAAATCGATTTCTATTGGTACTCGTGTATTTATATAATATTTTAGGCACGTGTTGAGCTATAAATAGGGCTGAGAATGCAATGCTTAATAAAATCGCACACAAATGATTTTATGCCCTACAGATTCTAAATGATGCGCCAAAAAAAATGTCTCTTACTTCTTAATATGCTTTTAAAAAATATATTAGTAAATGACTTTATAAAATAAAAATTTTTAAAATCCAAATAAATACAAAGTGCAAATTCGTATTTCCATTTAAAAGTATCAATATGAAACGAATTAGTAAAAATACGAGCATCGTACAGAAAGCTCTAGAAAATAATGAAAATTTCATCAAAATCTCGGCTCTAGTTAACAAACATGCAGAACACATTTTATTATTTTATATTTTCATACAACTAAAATCATTTAAAAGTTTAAATGTATATTCTTAGGTACTTGAATTAATTATAACCTTGCCTCTAGACTAATTATTATAAAATATAGATAATATAATATAGGTACCTTTTGATGAATTTCTATAGGTGGTAAAACAATAGGGCTGGTTTCGGAACATGGTTTTTTATTATAACTTCTGTTACTGAAAGAAATAAAAACAATTCAAAAATTATTACTATCAGTTTTTAATTTTTTTTTCATAATCCTATCTAGGGGTACATGTGTAGACCGAAAAACGGAAAAAGTTAAAATTGCATACATATATTTTTCGGTGCATTAAATTTACTTGTATTATTACAAAGCAATTTCATTGAAATGTCATTGAAATTTTTAAATAGGGCGTCCCACGAAGATATTATGATCATTGTAATAACTTTTTTAAAGTTTTTTCGGTATTTTCATTTATTTTTTTGACAATTTAAGATATAGGTATTTGTCTTTTGGGTATAAGTAGGAGGAGAGTAGTGGAGTAATATTCAAACTCCATGCGCTGTGTCCCCATACAAATGATACTCCACTACTCTCCCCCTATTAAAACTTAAAAGTGGAATATCTCGTCAGCGGATTGACGGAAATCAAAAATGTCAATACCAAAATGTATTTAAACTAATATTCTGTCTATTTATGGAATTTTTAATATAGGTTGTCATTTAAAAATCAAAAGTAGGTTGTTAGTTCACCTCCAAAACTAACAACAAATAATGGTAATGTACCATTTTAGAGCCACTTGTTTCTTACATTTTCAAAAAAAAGAACTCCGAAAAAAGTTAATATTTTCCAAGGCAAGTTATCGCAATGATCATCCTGTGGAACATCTTGTATAGATCGGAAAATATTAACTACCCATACGAGATAAGTACATTTTGCAAATTCTTATAAGTTTTCGAGAAACTTCCAGTAACAAAAATCTAGTAAAATTTATGAAAAACGGTTTTGTAAAAACTTATATTTTTACGTACCTACCTATCTACCTATAAATAATGTATACAAATTTAAAATCACTCTACGTACCTTAGTCCGTGATATACGAGTTCGTTTTGATTAAGCGATTTTAAATGCGAACGAGATTTGAATACTATATTTGGTGGTCTATTGGTCGGCAGTATCGACGAAACAGTCAAAGTGGATTCAATCCGGCTAGGTTGTCGTGATTCTGACACGGATCTTCTTTGACATACACCTTTGATAAAACTCTTGTCTAATATCCGTTTCCACAAAGTTTCCGTCATGATCTTTATTACTTGATCACGTAATAAATTTAAATTCCCTGCATTGTTGACAGCGGTGGTAGTTTGTTCACCGACAACTTGGCAACTCTGTTGATTAACTTCCAAATTGTTTTCACGTGGACAATCGATTCGTTTTCCAATTATTCTGTAATGTGAACAAGTTATTTATCAAAGTGATTCTGATATTAATTTTATTAATATTTATTTAAGTATATACAATATATATACAAGTAACTTTAAACAAACAAATCTATTAACAAATTGTAAATCATGGAGAAGGTAATTTTGTTTATATCATAAATTACCTAAATTTGTGATATATTACAATATTATGAAATAATTATAGAAAAACTTATTTTGCATCCAAAGTTTATATCCCCGTACGGGACTCAAATTTTTTACTTTTTTTTTCGGAAACCATTTATTTTTATACTTTTGAATGTTTTTAATTTTTACATGGTGGGGGGATAAAAAACCTTATATGTGATTCTTATAAAACATTATTTTACTATTACATTATAATTTAATAATAATAAAATAAAAAGGTTAACCGATTTATTATATTTATTTTATAATTAAATGTTTTGTGCGATATAATACAGCGAGTTATACAACGTGCTATAGAAATATATATTATCTTTTAATATAAAAGCCGGAAAACTGTGAATGAAAAATAACCTCGTACTTAAATCTATATGAAATATTTTCTAAACACGGCTTTTGTCTTTGTCTTTGCGGAGTACTAGCTGTTTAGTATTTGACATCTTAAGACAAAATCAATGATAACACTACACCTAGATATATAATAATACCAGACGCTACCCCGAAAACTGTTTAAGGAAAAAATGTATTATTAAATTAGTTCCGTCGATAATATTCAGTAACAGCTGCTATGAAATTCTAGGCACGTCTATACATTGCAGAAAGTGTCTTTTCCCTAAATCAAATTTCAGATTCTGGTTAGAAAGCGGGAATTTTCAGTATTACAATGTTTTGTTTTTTAAATTTAAACTTTTTAAGACAGAATACGTTCTTAAACAAATTTCAAATGGTAACTTAATATAGATAAGCAAGTTGTCAAATAATTTTCAAATTTTTCAATTCGATGTCCCGGTGATACGAAATCATAGCAGTAAAAACTAAAAATAAATGCAATTACATGTAAAATTGTTTATTAAATGCAAATATTATACTTATACTCTGAGCAAATAAAATAAACTGTATGAATACCTACCGATATTAGTTATTCAAAATTAAAAATTGTATTTTTTTTTTTTTTTGTATAGGATTATTGTTAAACACTTTGAGGGGCGGTTTAATGAGACCACACAAATCACGTTGTCCTATCTATAGAGAAAAAAACCAATATATACGTTATAAATTATATACAAATGTCATATTTGAAAATATATTGCATTAAAATCGCAGTCGAAAAATAACAAACGCAATAAATAAAAAATGTACAGTACTTTTGCTTTTACAATGTTAATCTTAAAATTATTATAATAGTTACTAAAAACTGAATTTTGATCAATGCGAATTTTTTTGAAGGTATCTAACGGTTTTTAATACAGTCCCGATGTGAACTGTACTGTCTACCATTCAGTATCAATTTTCTGTCAATATAAGTGAAATGTGTAAAATATACTGAGAAAAAATTATTCGAGATAAAAAAAATAACGTATCACAGAAATTTTAAAGAATTTTAAATTTTAAAAAGTATTAAAATGTATGAATTACATATTCACATGTATTTTCTTATTGTCTTTATATATGTAATAAAATATTAAAAATTACACGTTTATGAATGAAAGGGTCACTGGATAAAAGTATTAACACTCCGTCAAAAAGGTGTACTGATTGAGTCACTTGTACAACAGTCCAATGGCGTATTAAATAAGTTAATAGACATCTTATTGAACAATAAACAAATCTAACTTTCTACGATTAATCGAGATTAATCATACATCGGTATCTATAGACGACATAAGTAGCTATAGACATTTTTTTCTATAGAATACATTTTGCGATATGTGTTTGTATTTAATAGGTATTTCCTTCAATTGAAATTTTTCATACTGTGTTTTATAAACACATTTTTAAATTATCATACATTTTTCATTTAGAGTTAAAATAAAGCATAATTCAGTTTAAAGAAAAAACACCCTAGGCGCTATAGGATTGGCAAATTATGTAAATAATAAAAACCGTGTACACAAAGACGACAGCGGCGTGTCGATGTCGTGCAGTTTGATGCATTCACCGTGTCCGCGGCAACAGACTTGTCTGTCAATATATGACTTGTGGGGGCCAATTCTTGAAATCACGTGATATAAAAATCATTGATTTTATCGACTGTCACTAATTTTAATCGTATATGACATGCAATCGGTATTCTTGAAATAAATCGAAAAGATTTTATTACTTATCGAATGTAATACAGTAAGTCGAACGAATCACTGTGGTAACAACATAAATTTAGATTTATAGATAAAAAAAAATCTAGATTCTTACGTCAAATAATAATAATTATCGATGTTTATTCTTTGATATCTATTTGTTTTAAATTTACTATTGATCGATGAGCAACACCGCTTCTGTCCTGGGCGCTGAACTGTAACTTGTAAAGTTATAATCTGTAAATATATTTATGAAGCTTTCAATTGTGACTCCCAAGTGGGCATAATTAACATAGATATTTTGCCAAAGCATTCGATTCTATGAATCATGAAGCCCTACTGGAGGCACTTGGGTTCGGCCATCCACCATTTGATTAAATTTGATCCTACATGTTATCATCATTATAATAATAATTATTATAATCATAATGTTATCCTACATGGCCTCAATGAATGAATTAAGTTTCCTGGCTCTAAGTCTCGTATTTTTACAGCTACATCTAGTGTCTTCAATGTGGGCACTTATCTTCAGTCTTATTTTTACTATTCGTTAATAGTGTCTCAAGTGTCCCTCTGAATTGTACATTTCTATGTATTGCTGATAATGTTAAGTTATTTCTTAAAATGTACGAAAAATGTTTGAACAAAACAATATTTATTTTTGGAGACATTTAAGTGGTACTATTATATACTATTATATTACATAGGTAACTTGTATTTTTTGTTTGTTGATACCTTAATGGTGTTATAGTATGTTAACAGTTAACGCCTATTAAAACCTATTCATTCATTCATAATGTAAATGTTTTGCTTTAACATCAAACATTTTCCAATAAATTTTATAATTTATTTTTTAAAATCATACTACTGAACAATTTAAAAAAAATATTAGTTAAAACCTTTATATTCATTGATTTCTTTGAGTGCAAATGTAAAAATAAATATTACAATAATCTAAACTTTTGAAATATATTTTAAATATTAAAATTAATTGACCACGAAAAAATACCGAGACTGCCAATTTAAAATACCATCATAGGTACCATTATTTATTCTGGATAGAATATTTTAATGCGTATTTCTGTAATGTAAACAATTATTAACGCATACCAAGAGACGAAAATACAAAAATAATATTTTACCCTCTAAAAGAACTGCTATAAATTTCTAACTTAATATTTTAAGCATAAAATATAGTCGTGCCCAACCGTATATTTTATTTTTAAAATAAATACCATATTTATATATCTAAATTGTTAAGACATATATTATTATTATTATTATTATTATCATCAAATGTTGAATGAATACAAATATATGGGTTAAAGCGTATATACATTAGAAATTTAGGTTGGATATGTTTTTTTTTTTTAAATATAACTAGGTTTATTCAAAATTAATTGTGTGTCATTCTTAATGATAGTGATTTGATGTCTTTGTTTAAATTAAATGGTATCGTGTCTAAATATTTGAAATGAAATAGTCAAATTTCAAGTGCGAATTTGGGTAGGTTAATGAAAATAATAATCAACTCGATTAAGTTGAATTAGATAAACATAAAAGCCTTCGATTTAAAGTTGAAAGGTACCAAAAAACAAATTGAGCTTGTTAAGTTAAAACTATGTTAAAGTAATTTTTTTTCTACAAAAAACAACATTAAAAGTATTTGATATGTAGCAAAATATATTTATATATTTTTAATTTATATAAAAATAAACTAAATCAAACAATCACAGTAAATTGCAGTTCCAAAAATATCAAATTACAATTAAATTTTGAATTTAGAAAAGGTTTATTTGTTTTCTACACATTAACTCGACTAAATGTCTATGGAAATTAGCTGTACAAATTAAAGTTTATGTTTTGAAAACTTAACTTGGAACACATTGGTGGATATAAGGGAGGGCGAAAGGGCGATCGCAATTCTTACATTCTATAATTGTTTATATAATATATATATATATATATATATAAATATATATATATTGAGTAAAATTCACCACCTATATTAAATAACTCTTGGATTCGCTACTGATTGGACGGTACATATTTGGTATTTTTATGCATTTTCATTAAAATTTTAACTTTAAATGTTTACAAAAAAGATAAAAATCTTTGTATTATACTGAACTTTTCCCTCCACAAATTACAACTCATAATGAACCTTATGTTAAATTTTCGAGCATTTTCGCTTGGCCAAGACAATTTTAATTACATAAAACCAAATAAAATCATAAAAAACCTTGAAAATTTCAAATGGCAATAAATAACTGAAAAATTACTAGAATGTTTTGAAAATTGTACCATGTCTGGAAAGAACTGTATGTATGAGACTATACCTAAATAAGTGTTCAGTGAAGTCGCCGACCTCTGCGATTATTATTTAACGAATAAACAAAATGGAATGTACCAGAAACCGTTTCTGTGTAAATGCAACAGTTAAAAATTGTCCAGATGTTTTTTCTGGGGTTTTCTACATAGTTAAGAGTTCTACAAAGGAAATAAAAAAATAACTTCCTCATGGCATCAAAAATATTTTTTTATAGAAATCCTCACCTCTAAGTTAATCAGAAAAAGAATTCTGGTATAAAAGTTGTTGGCATACAGAAAAAAAAACAAAAGAACATGTCTTGATAGAATTATAGTAATCATTATTGTAAAATCTAAAAGAAATATGTATTATGCAAGCAAAAAGTTAGCTTGCAGTAGTATTATTATTAATGTTTGTTTTCAGAGATTAATTATTACTGAATTATACTTAAAAATTAGTATAGAGTGTGTGAAAAGCTTTTTTTATTTTTCCAATTTGAGCATTGGTTAGGTTAGGTATTGGTTATATGTAGAGATATACAAGTAGAGTATATTATAATCTCGAACCACTTTAACAATACTGTGATTTCGAAATTTATTGGAACCAATTCCGGGATTACATTCAAAATTTAGGATTTAAAAAGAAAATTTTTTTTTTTTTATATATACTCGTATACTTTTGAATAACATTTTAATCAAATTACTATTAATGAACATTATGTAATCTATTGCGGAAAAAAAATATGAATTGCATAAAAACTTTATTATGAAAATGAGCCGAAAAGAAGTAGTTATATTTTAATTTATAAATGTATGAACATACAAAAAGCTTAGATAGGTGAGCCTCTGTTTTGGGGGGAACATTGGAAGGGCAGATATGAAGAGTAATTGTTATTTATATCCGTATACATAACGATAAACTATTGTCAATGAAAAATGATTCTGAGAATAACATTATCTGACGTAATTTTTCCGTTGTTGTCAAAATAATCCCAGAAATCAACAAAAATTATGTATAAAATTGCTAGTTTTTCTCATTTATCTACTACCTCGGTTATATTCTATAGTCTCATGGTTTAGCCTTTATAGTATCGTTTATAATATAATGTCCATTTAGCAGAGTATATAAACTATTATAGTTTCACAAAATAACTACCTACCTATATATATTTACCTTTATATTGTGACATAAAAACACATATTTATATTTTTACGAACAGTGACGGATTTAAGGTTTCAAATAAAGTCGGAAAATCCATAAAAGGGACCTTGTACAAAATTTATCAGTAAAATACTTCCTTCAGATTTACAAAAACGCTCGCTTCGATCGCGATAAATAATAATCAACCTATATTCATTTTATATTATAACAAATCTTCATGTTAAAAAAAAATTACACCAATTTTACAAAATAAATTGTTAGTATTTAAAATAAAATTATTAAATTATAGTTGAGAATCACTGCGAGCTAAAGCTATAGCCTTGGAAAAATTGTTGATAAGATTGTTCATATCGAGAAGTTGTACATTGGTTCATACTCTATGGGAAGTAAGGCTAAATTGGTTGTTCGATTTTGAATCACAGTTGAACGAAGATAATTTTTTAATCTTCTTAGTACACTCGTAGCTTTTTAAGCACTTGAACTTCCAATGGATAATGTTAAAAATATTTCAAATGAGTTTCCATTTGGGGCAACATATCAGACAATGAATGTTTAATGATAAATGTAAAATAACTATTAATATATTATTTATTGACTGTTGGTGTATTTTAGTTTGTATTGTGTGTGAAGAAACCCGATGCGGAGAAATTGATTATAAAATCATACATTCGTACATAGAGGTTAATACTCATTATTGCAGTAGCCTCTATTAAAATTATAAATAATATTATTTGTGATCAATGGTAGTGAATATAAATTATTTGTTCCATCTTTTCTACTTTGTTTAAATATAACATTTTCTACTTTTGAAGTATTCCTATATATTTAAATTATTTGATTATTAAAATAATGGCAAATTATATTCCATTTTGCAATATAATTGTTTTTTTTTTTTTTTTTTATGGTAAAATTTAGAAAAAAAATCAACTTTATACCTAATTTAGGTGGGCTTCAGTACCCAATTTAGGAGGGGGCCCCGTCGGCATTTGCTGGCTAAACGACCGTTATATACGTCACTGTTTATGAACACCAATATACTAGGGTTTTATTGAAATATATAGATAAAAGTATAAAATAAATTGAATATAAAACAAAAATCCGCTGTAGATATTCAACTTTTTTAATGGCATCAATCTAAACAATAAACATATAGGTAGATAGATAACGTGGTGGAAACGTGTTTTTCTTGTCTCAGAAAATTCGTTTAACACATTAAAACTGTTAAAAATAGCTATTGACTAAATATAACAATTAATCCTTGAGTATTGATGCATAAATCTACGTTAGTCTACCCCAAAATAAGTACCAATATAATAATAATAACCAACCACTTTATTTTGCTCATAAATTAACGGTAATCGTTATTGATGAGACTTCAAAATCGTGCATATTTAGCAATATTTATAAAAAAAACTATATGTATAAGAAACCATGTATTTAATTGATTTTTTTAAGAACTTTAGTGAAAAAGAACTTTGATAAAAATTGGTAGTATAAAAAATAACGACCTTAAGTGTGGAATTTTCTTCCATTGTTCATATTCAAAACGCAACCGGTCATGAAATGCATCAGAAAAGTCATCTTCGTCGTGAAGTATACGCGATGATTCTTCAAAAAAATCAGCAACTTGATAACTGTCGTCTGCCTACAAGAAATCCAAAACTATAGAATGATTAAATTAAATGAAAAACATATTAATACTGCGTATTTGCTTACATCTAACCAGGAAGCAGTAGAATCGTCTGGTGTTGGTAGTGTCATGGGACTACGATCTTCATAAAAAAGGTTGGTGCTAAAAAATAAATAAAAACAAATTATTATTAATAAAGTGATACAATAGTACCGTATAATCAATATATATATATATATATATATACTATTTTTGTATAATATTATATTAGTCCATGAATCGAGAATATACTCGAATTCAATATCCATCGCAGTGCAAAAATATTATTATGTGTAAGAAGAAAAATGTTTAAAAAACAAATAAAATAAAATAGGTACTCTCAAATAAATTATAAGATAGTATTTATTAACGATAAAGACGTGTAATTTATAGTTGGTTATTAAATTAATTATTTACATACCTACGTTTATGATGACGTATACTGAAAATATAAAACTTTTTAGGAATGTTTATATTTTTGTTTTGGTTTTTAAGTTTCCAATTCAAAAAAATGGTTTTCGTTATTTGATTTATTTCTGACTATACATCTCTTTTTACTTAACCTTGGGAGATATAAAATAACATAATATAATAAAAATATACTGGGGACATACTAGCACGAATCTGGCGATGTAGAAAAATTTTGCTCCGAGACGTTTTGCTTGTTAATCAAATTGCACGCTACTAACAGACACGGGCTACGGATATCGTTCCGTTTCTTCCGGTTTGTCACGGTCATAATTTCTGGTTGTTATACCGTTGGTTTGTTTTTCGTGGGATGATATCTGGAAACTTTTCCCTTAGGAATGAAAATATTGCACTATTCCGTGTCTACGATGTACAGTCGTGGGTCATGAAAACTAAAGTTGAATCGATATCCCCACTGCCTAGGTGACTAAATGTATCAACTCACGAGGAGCGTGCAGGGCGCACCATGCGGCTAATAGACAGAAATGTCACGGACAAAACTATAATTTGTCGGACAAATAAAAATATATTAGATATTGACTCATATAAAGTTTTTATAACAAATAACGATGTAAAAAAAAAAGTAATAATTATTTAGTTAGTTAAAAATTACCTATATCTTATTTTTAAATCTTAAATATTTCTTAATATTTAAAACCACGGGAGAAAAATCATTAAAGTTTATACTATTGTGTAGATATAGTATATTACAACAGACATTGTCTACCAATGGTTAATTTTATCGAAAATATGAAATGTGTTGAGTGCGTGCATGAAACGATCCGAAGAGGCATGTTTCAATTTAAAATTTTTCTATTATCAATGTATTTTTAAAAAATGTAACAAATATAGTATAATTTCAAATTTGCATATCATATACCAATAAAATTGTATTTTTAATCGAAAACAGGTGCATTTACGATTTTGTCAACAAAAATTTAAAGAATCTACAGCTAAAAAAACCTCACTGTTATCATCTAAAATGTACTTAATTTGATCTAATTGATACAAATAGAGATTTTTAATAGAATAATTGTACTATATAGTTTAAGATACCTAGTTAAGCTTTTTTTCTTTGAATAATCATTTGATGTAGTAACTGACTTTTCGTTTAATTTGTCAAGACAAGACTGAATATTGAGTTATTCTTGTTTAAATTTTTTAACTAATTAAACAATCACAAAAACACAAAGCATTATGCAATTAATTTTAATACAATCGGCGAATATTCGTAAAATGCCTGTATTTAGTATTTAAAAATAAAAAGGGATTTTTCTTTTATGCACTTTTTTGGAATGTTTTAAAAAAACATACTTTGAATACAAATAAGTTAAAAAAAAAATAGATAATTTATTTATCTCTGTATATAAAATTTACAAATAAATTAAACGTCATTTAAAAAAAATAACATAATATATAATTTCAATTAATAGTGAATAGGTAGTCGTATAAAGTTTTTTAAAAACTGGCTACTTTTAGGTGAATAATAATCATTTTAGATAAGTATCTTAATTATATTATGTTGAGGAAATTTCGAAACATTATACAATTATTAAATTTACTTATTATTATAGGTTTATCTATTTACACATATACCTTTTGATTATTTTCAGGGAGATATTTTTAATAATGAACCTAAAAATATTTATGTTGTATTTTATAATAATTTGCATTTGTAGTAAATGCGGATGTTTGAAATAACATTATAAAATTATTTATTGTTTTAATGAAACTATGGGACGAATTGCCTCCAGTAAATACATTATTTGATGTTTTAGCATTATTAATTTTATACAACCCATTATAAGAAAATATTATTATTTCTGTACATAGTAATAAAAATAATAATAATTATTATTATCATCAAACACAATTTCACCAAGGAAAATTGTTTTTTATTTTAGTTACATTACTATTTTTTTATTAAGTTAATTAAAGCATTTAATAACCTAAATACGGTGCAATTCCAGTTATTATTTGATGATTTGTGATATTCTTTTTTATCATTAACTTATGTAAGTTTTGCATAAGTTTTGCATATTTTGTTTAAGATACCTTAAACAAAATAAAATAATAATAATCTAGTAAGATTTTAAATAAGTTTAAATAAAATGTTTATTGATATTACGAATACCATATAAATACATTTTTTTATATTACAGTTAAAAGGGTGTATAATGATGGCGAATTATGAAATGCAACCTAAGTACTTAAAAATTAAAAAAACTAATCTAAGTACCTAATTAAAGAGGAAAGACTGTTTAGAAAGAGAATTTAGAAGGGGGGATATAATACAGAGTAATTTAATTTATATATCTGTACGAAAAAATAAACTATTGTTAAAGAAAAATGATTCTGAGCAGAATATTAGTAGTCGTATTTTTTCCTTTTTGCCGAGGTAACCCACCCATATACGAAAATTATACAAAATATTTTTAGTCTTTTACATTTATTAAGTAATTACAATGTAAATAAAAAGATAACCACCTCAACCCACCAATTAGGTAGACATCAAATACTACAAAAAATTAGTCCCTTTAAAGTTTTTGAGCGAGGTAAGATTTCTGGTAGAAAAATTGTGTATAGATACTACGAAAAAAAAAAACGCTTAATAAAACCAATAGGTTCTGATTGATTTGATCAGAATGCAATATAAAAAAACATTGTTCATGACACACATTCAATGTCAATTAACTGTTTAGTTTGTATTTTGTAACGCAAAGGTAACATAATAATTGAGTATTGTGAGTTACGTAATTCGTGATAAAAATAAATTGTAAAACATGGTGATGATATAATCTAAAAATATAGAAAATTCAAAGTATAGCCGATTTTTTACACTAACTGAGTCGTGCGGATCGCAGTTGATATTTATATTTTATAATAAATTATCATTTATGTATTTTGTACGTCATTTTGATAACATGACAGCAGTCAAATTTTAATCTACACTGTCACTGTAGCAGTTTAGGTTTTTTGACGTATTTATTTGTTCTAAATATTGCTATAACGTCAATGGTTCTGAATTATTATTTATCCGTAAAAAATAATAGGTTTACTTTTTATTTTTTTTCAATACTTTGTCACTTTGGTTTTTTAGTTAGATTTAATTCCCATTGAGCAAAGTAAGTTACGGATAAAAGTATAAAACCATTAAGTATATAAGATCACGGTTATCCGATTATTAATATCCGATGTAGATAACCGTACTATAGATACCATTATATTATGTATACCATATAATAGATTAAAATAGAATTAATATAAAAGAAAATAAAAGAATTAATTATTGTTACTGTTTAATATTTATCGTGTGCGGTGTTAATGTTATTATTATAATTATTTGGAGTTTCACCTACAGAGGTGCCTTCTATTTTTCTTCGAATATAAGCTGGCGAGCACAAAGCTATGATGACCTACATAGTAAATATTTAATTTTTGCATTATTGACTCGCACGTCCACCGGAAACAGTTTTTTTCCATAATTATATATTATGTATATTATATCGTTTTATTAGTATAGCTTTAATCATTACGATCAATGAAGGGGTTAGGTCCTATCCCGTTTTTTGGCTCAAAAAGATCCTTTACGGGAAAAACGCTCATGCTTCGTAGAGTAGGTAGTTAGATTTCGATGATTATTATTCTTTTTTTTTTTTTTTGGAAAGGAAAACTTCTTAAAAAAAAGATCAATTTTCATTAGTTTTTACTATTTTTTTTTTTACCATTCTATGAAATCAGAGTTTAATCCGGTTTATGGAATATTGTTGTTTGTCGATTTTAAAAATGATACCTACAAAAATATGTTGAAAATAAGTTAAGTATCTTTTCCCGTGAAATCATTTTCGTATTTTCGTATCTCTTCCCCTTAAATGGCTATTAGGTAGTAGAATATTGGAAAACTATTATCTTTAAAGTGGCTATTAAAATATTAAAAATAATTTTCAAATTTTACAAAATTGAAGAAAATATGAAAAACCGGCAAATAATACGCGCACGGGGTCACAAAATTGTACCATGTAAAAAAAGCTAATGCCACTTACGAGATTCTAACAAACTTATACAGGTAAATGCCCATGCCCGTGGTTCAAAATACACTATCTATTTCATATCATTATCATTTGTATGTTATTAATATAACAATATCACATATTAAAAGCTATAGCTTGTAATAATTTAGGTTAAATGCTTACTTACTTCAATATTGTTAGGTATATAATTTTAAACAATTCTTAGTCAAGTATGTTTTATAAAAAGAGGATTATACTATAGTTATTATAATAACAAGACATTTTTTAGAGTAACCGTTGTTAAAATTAACAACACCGGTTTAATTTTTCCGCACAATCAATGTGCATAATATGGTGCAAACTATTTACAACGGTTTCATCCCCTCTTATTTATCCCTCGAAATAATAAACCAACAGATAAATGATAATAATAATAATTTAATTTATAATAATTAATAATCAAATTAATTTAAATTTTAATGCCTGTGATATCGACAATTTAATAAAATTACCAAATAAAATGAATACTATCGATTGGGACCATATGTTCCTTAATTCACTTGTGATGGTATCAGCGGTGGCATTACTGAATACTGATAGCACCATGAAATATTAAAGAAACATCGTTTTAAGCAGTGTTATCATGAAACTTAAATCTATAATAATAATTAAATATTATGACCACCGTTTTAGAAGATAAGGTCGGACAACTATACCTTATCAGAATTCCGCTTAGTGAGGTAAATTAATTTGCAAATTGTACTACAGTAAAATTGAGAGTTGCTCTATAGACTTATTTTGAGATTAGGACATTATATTACTTTTAAATAACCACGAACCACCACGAACCAGTATATATTATACTAGATAGCCGACTCCATATATTATAGCTATGACGTCAGCCGCCATTCGTAAATAAGTTAATGTTTGCCAAAATAGACCTTTCTTTAAATTTTTACCTCTAGGAATAATAAAAATGGAGAGTTCCTCCGAGTTATTACAATGAATGTAACACATTTTATTTGGCATTTTCAAATTACATCTAACTACTTTAGTTAAAATAAGATAAATCAAAAATCAAATACATATGTATAAAATAGGTTTATAGTTGCCACTAGATAGCATAGATAAGTATATTAGATAGTAGACAACATTAACATTACGCAGTTTGCAATGTTTGTATCAAATTATGTTAGAATTATCGATTACTAACATAAATAAAACAATAATCCAATTTTTTTTTCGGGTTATTCCTAACCTCAAAATAAGTCTACTCGGCAGGGCTCAAACACATTATTATAAGAGTATTTTAGTAGAG